CCCTCGACGCCCTCCGCTCCTCGCCTGCCCTCCACTCTGCCTGCCCCGCACAGCACTCCAGCCAGTGCCCCTAGCCCTCCCCATCCCCCCCCCCCGCTTCACCGCCCCTCATTAACCTCGACTTGCTGTACACTCACTCTGCCTTGTTGCTTCCACACCGTTACTCAACACCCTTCCTACGCGCTGCAACGCGCTGCACGCTCGTACGCCTGTACGCTCCGGCTCAGATCTTCTTGATCAACACTCGTGCGTCAATCGGCAAGGCGTTGCTCGGCTCGGCACCCTGGCACGCTCGCTCCTAGCTTCTCTCGCCCCTTCCCACAAGTTGCTGGCGGTGCACGCACCACATCCTTCCTCTCTCTGACGCCCTCTTGGCCTTCTCCGGCATCTCATCCCTTTTAATACTTCATCATGGACATTGGCGACGTCTATCGCGCACCTCCCCAAGGTCAAGTCCCCCGCCGCCGCGACCCATACGACGCTGGCCATCCCGCTCCTCCGCCCCCCGTCCCTCCCAACCTCCGCATGGACCGCAACAACGTCACGCCCTCGCCGGGCCCATATCCCAACTATCCTCCCTCGTCGAGCGCGCATGAGAACCCCTTTCAGCACCCAAGCGATCATGGCAATGACTGGGGTCAAGCTCCTCCGGTTCCACCCCCACCCCAGCCCTACGCGCAGCTAGGTCGCACCGACAGCAGCCAGAGCTACCAGACCCCGTACATGGCCGACAACAGGCTCACGTCGCCGCCGCCACTGTTCCCCGCGCCGAGCGCCTCACCCGGCTTCTCTCAGTCGGGTCCTTATGGTCACCCACTCGACGATGATACCAACGATGCTCAGCCCCTACTCCACCACGCGCAGCCGCACCCCGCCTTCAACATTCAGCCCATGCCACCTCGGCCTCAGGCTCCATACGACCCGCCTATCCAGGGGAGTGCCGGAGGCCGAGTGCACTTTGACGACCCATACCAGACCCAAGGGGTCAACGATGAGCAGGAGCGGAACAATGTTCACTACGGTGCGCCGCCCGCACGCGTCCTTCGCCGCAACCGCACGCAGAAGCGCGTCCAGTGAGTAGATGTTTGATACACAGCGATCGCTTGGATCACTAACGCACGCACAGGCTCTTCCGTGGCCACCTTGTCCTCGACGTTGATGTGCCCTCGATGCTCATGGACCAGAGCGCCATCAAGGAGGGCAACGAGTTCACGAAGATGCGTTACACGGCCGTGACCTGCAATCCAGACGAGTTCGTGCTGGACAAGTACACGCTCCGCCAGCGGCTATACGAGCAGCCCCGCAAGACTGAGCTCTTCATCGTCGTCACCATGTACAATGAGGACGACGTGCTCTTCTGCCGCACCATGCGCGGTGTCATGCAGAATGTGGCGCACCTTTGTTCGCGCTCCCGCTCCAAGACCTGGGGCAAGGACGGGTGGAAGAAGGTCGTCGTCTGCATCGTGTCGGACGGCCGCATGAAGATCAACAAGCGCACCCAGTCGGTGCTTGCCGCGCTCGGTGTGTACCAGGATGGCGTCGCCAAGAATGTTGTCAACAACAAGCCCGTCACAGCGCATCTGTACGAGTACACGACTCAGTTGTGGATCGACTCCAAGGGCCGTGTCGGGCCTGGCGGCGACAACGCTGTCCCCGTCCAACTGATTTTCTGCCTCAAGGAGAAGAACCAGAAGAAGATCAACTCGCATCGCTGGTTCTTCAACGCGTTCGGCGACTGTCTGCGCCCCAACGTTTGTGTGCTGCTCGATGTCGGTACCCAGCCTGGTCCTGACTCCATCTATCACCTGTGGAAGGCGTTCGAGGTCAACCAGTCGATCGGAGGCGCGTGCGGAGAGATTGTCGCGCTCAAGGGCACTATGGGCAAGAACCTGTTGAACCCGCTCGTTGCCGCTCAGAACTTCGAGTACAAGATGTCCAACATCCTGGACAAGCCGCTGGAATCGGCGTTTGGCTACATCACCGTGCTTCCTGGTGCATTCTCGGCATATCGCTACATCGCGCTGCAGAATGACGACAATGGGGAAGGTCCTCTGGAGAAGTACTTCTACGGCGAGAAGATGCACGACGCAAACGCCGGCATCTTCAAGGCCAACATGTACCTGGCCGAGGACCGCATTCTCTGCTGGGAGCTTGTGTCCAAGCGCTCATCGCGCTGGACGCTCCACTACGTCAAGTCGGCGTACGCCATCACCGACGTGCCCGACACTGTGCCCGAGCTCGTCTCACAGCGTCGTCGCTGGCTGAACGGTTCGTTCTTCGCTGCGGTTCACTCGATCGCACACTTCCACTACCTCTACCGCTCCTCGCACTCGGTGATGCGCATGTTTTGGCTCCATGTCGAACTCATCTACCAGATCATCTCGAACGTGTTCGCCTGGTTTTCTCTCGGCAACTTCTACATCGCCTTCATTGTCCTGTCCAAGTCGATGGAGTATGCTGTCGACTTGGCGCCCAACGAGCCTGCGTTTGACGAGTTTGGCAACCGTAAGACAAACAAGGTCTTCGAGTACATCAACATCCCACTACAGTACGCCTACCTGGCGCTCCTTCTCCTCTGCTTCCTTCTCTCCCTTGGCAACCGTCCCGCCGGTTCCAAATGGGGCTACACCATCTCGATGATCGGCTTTGCCCTTATCACGGTGTACATGATTTTCGCAGCCGTGTGGCTCACGGTCGCTGGTGTCAATCAGATCAAAGAGGACGGTGCGACAGTTGGCGAGTTGGTCCAGAACCCAACCTTCCGCAACATCGTTTTGTCGCTGCTGGCCACGTACGGATTGTACATTGTCTCTTCGCTCATGGCGCTTGACCCGTGGCACTTGGGTACGTCTGGAGCATCGCACAGCGCTCACTCCAGTCACTTCGTTTGTGCAGTACCTTCTACTCGCGCCGTCGTACATTAACGTCTTGAACGTTTACGCCTTCTCGAACGTGCATGACGTCTCTTGGGGCACGAAGGGCTCGGACAAGGTGTCTGAAGACCTCGGTGTTGTCAAGTCGTCTGGCGGGGATGGCGAGGTAACGGTCGACATGTTCTCGGAGCAGAAGGACCTGAACGCCATCTATGCTGCTGAGTTGCAAGTGCTTGCGACTAAGCCACCAAAGGAGGAGGCAAAGGTCAACACGGAACAGCAACACGAGGACTACTACAAGAACTTCCGCACTAACGTTCTGCTTTCGTGGACGATGACCAATGCGGCCTTGGCCATCGTCATCCTGCGCGTTGGAGTCGACGGGCAGTTTGTCATTGCGCAGACTTACATGGCTGTGATGCTGTACACGGTTGCGGGCCTTGCTTGTGAGTTCAACTTAACAGTCATGGCTGACGTTAGTCTTCCGCTTCTTGGGTGCGATCGTCTACCTTGTTGTGCGGTTGTTCATGGGCGAGTGAGAGGGATAGAAAAGGCGGTCAAGTGCACTGGACCGCATAGGGCGCGCAGCGCGCAACCCGGGTTAGCGTGGTTCGTATCTGTGTTTTGACTTGGCGGCGCGTGGCGGTAGATTACTCGTGTGCATGCATGGAACTTGGTGTCTATCAGTCAAGCAAGTGTGCTGCCGATCTGTTGCAGCCCAGGTCCTATCACACTCGAGCGAGCGCACCATCAGGGTCCCACTCGGCTCTTCGCTGCCAGCGACATTCTTGTAGTGGCGCTTGCAATACTGTTCATACCAGTCATTGCGATGTTTGCGCGAACAGATATTAAAAGCGACCAGATGTATGTAATCAGGCCAGTCTCTGAGTGAATGTTCCAGTGGTGGTGGGGGTCCTCATGACAGCTGTTGGGGGCCTGCATGATGCGATCGCAGATGGAGAGGAAAGGAAGGGACATAGTACAGTTCGTATCAGCGGATCATGATCTGCCCTAAAGTCCTGCTACCTGCTGGGCAACACCACTGGCGTTGGTGTGTACCGCAAGATCAGCACGGGTTTTCAGAGTGTAATATGGCCATGCATCTGTCTGTCCTCCTCTCCCGCGTTAACCTCGCAGGCTCGCTCGCCACCTCGCAACCGACACGCGTGCTTGTAGCTTGATCCCGTCCCACACATCACGCCACCACGCGCGCACCCACGCCTCTTGCCGTGCACGTGTACCGATCTGCCAGTCGCGATAGAACTGGGTGAGGGCTGCCTCTCGCCGTGCCTCATCCTCGGCTGTTGGAGGATCAGACGCGGGCGGGAGGCGCGCCAGGCGCTCTTCGCGCTGCGCTTCGAAGTCGGCATTGTTCGCCGCCTGAAGTCAGCGAGTGAGCAGGCGAAGCACTGAGACGAGGAAGGCCGAGTGCGCGGAACCGCCCCGCTATCTAGACATAGGGGCACATGATAGTGCCTCCGCAGCAGAGGCGTAGCCGGCGTAGCTGGAATCATGCGCAGACCAGTGCTACAACCACATGTTCACCGTCCAGTGCCACATTGCGGCACAGCTGTGCCTCCTCGACGAGGTCTATCTGAGAGCAGCCGCGCAGCGTCCCCGCTACGTGCCGCATCCTCTTACCACCCCTTCTTATCCTTCCTTGCAATCTCCGCTACGTTTGCCGCTCCCCTCTGCGTGGTTTGGCTTCCGCTCTGAACACTCACCCAAAACCGGTGATTCGCCATATCCACACGCTCGCGGTGCATCGTGAAGGCCAGCTCGAGCTCATGCGCGCGCATCTGTGCAGCACTGCCGGCAGCCTCGGCGGGGAACTCGGCGGCTGAGTACGGCGAGTTGGAAGGGCGGCGCTTGCGTTTCGCTGCATAAAGGACAGGACGAATATTAGAGAGTGGGTCGGGACTGGATGTCAGCAAGGAGCGAGGAGCGAGGAGCGAGAAGCGGAGAAGGCGTAAAACGCGCGCGAGGTTGCACCCAAGCCGAGTAGTACTTGTGCTAGGAGGAAGCCTAGCTAGGATCTGCTGAAGCAGGCTCAACGAGGCAGAACGCTGCAGGCAATGATGAGTGATGAGGCTCAACGTACGGAGCAACGAGATCCGAGTCCCCGGTGTCGACAATTTGGCGGCGGCGCGATGCCGTCGATGTTGTCGATTCGCCGGCGGCCGAGGTCGAAGCCGAGGCCGTTGCGTACGCGCGGGCGAGCACGGCTGTCGTCTGCCTCCTGAGCATGGTGTGTGATCGGTCAACCAACCACTACCTGGACATTCGAACTGGCCACTTTATCGGGCGGAACCGTCAGCCACCGTGGGAGAGTGGAGATGTCATGACCGACATCAATCCACGCCTGTTTGTCTTGCGTCTTTACATCGACAGTACAATGGCCCTCTCAATACTTGCGCGCGGGCGGTCCCGCATTACAAGACTTGCTTCGGCTGCGCGCACACTTCATGCTACACATCCCGCCCTCACGCACTCGTCCCCAAACCCGGAGTCTCACGACCCCCTGCGGGTCTCGATTCCGACCGGTCACCTCGGCCTGCCAACGCCTCAGCCACCCCCGATCACAGACTTCGAATCGGCGCCGATATCACGCACCCTTTTGCGCCGCCTGCATGACCTGGCCGCGCTCAACCCGCCCCCGGAGGGGAGCGATGAGGAGGCTGCGCTCCAGCATGACCTCGGCGAGCTCGTAGGACTCATGGACCTCGTGCACGAGGTCGAGGTGCACGACGTCGAGACACTACTCTCCAGTACAGGAGATGTAGTGTTCGACAAACAGGCGGTCGAGGAGCGCGGAGAGGCGCGCTTGGATGCAGGAGAGGGCAGGAAGTTGCTGGAGTTTGCGTCGCGGCGCGTTGGTGATTTCTACGGGTACAAGACGACGATCAAAGGCGAGGATGAGGGATAAGCTAGCACCTCGGCCCCTGCGCCCCCCTTCCTACACTCTCCAACCTCTCAGCCCTCGCTGGCCGATAACGATGACAAAACTCGCACCTCCGTAGTCCTCAACTTTAGATCCACGATGCCATCAACGGCCACGGCTTCCACGCCTCTCCTACATCGCATATGCATACATCCCCATGCAGGGTATCCTAATTTACAAGCTTGTCCCAGAAACCGCGTGTCCCGTTGTTCGGCGGCGCTATCCGGTCCAAACTCTGAAGCGACATGATGAGATTGAATAGCTCGAGATTGCGGAACGCTGCTATCAGCTCACCCTCGATGCCCCAACTCACACTTCAGCACCGCCGGGCTGGTGGTCTCCCACATCTCCCTATGCGTCCCAGATGCGGCCTTGACACGCTTCGCCCAAGGACCTTGTGCGAAGAAAATCGCCTGCATCTCCGCGTGCGCGTTGTCGTAGCCATGAGCCCCTTTAATGTCCATGACTCCGTTGTGACTGTTCCTGTCGAATTCGTCCTGCCGTTAGCGACCAGGCCACGATTGATCGCCCAGGTTGGAAGCCACTCACATGGTCTGTGATAACCCATCCTAACTTCGGGACGAGGTACATTGGCGCGACGCGCGCACCGTAGCTGAAATGCCAGCGCTCTGGCATTGTCTCGTGTGTGAAGACGGAAAACGTTCCGTTCTCGGACGCCGTCTGCAGAATGTCGAGGTATTTGTGCACAGGTGACTGGTCACCGAACCGCAACCCGAGGGATGGCCAACCGTCCCGATGCTCCAGGTCCTTGAATCCTTCACCGAGAAGATCGTCGAGGAAGATTAGCCGCTCAGCACTTGTCGCCGCCATTCCGTGGTCCGAGACGACGATCAAGTCCACGAGGTTGGATAGGTTGCGCTCCGCCAAAGCATCTCTGAGCGCGCCAACAAAGTTGTCCACGCGCACCAGCGCGTCCTCTACGTCCTTGCTCTCTGGTCCGCCTGAGTGTCCTGCGACATCCACATCTGGGAGGTATGTTAGGATCAGGCTCGGTGCTTCATCGATCGGCTTGTCGAAGTACGAGAGGAGCTCCGGAAGCTTCTCAAGCGGCGCGGATTCTCGGAACTCGACCCAGAAACTGGGCGAGATTCCCTCGGCCGTCGTTGGTGGGCCGGGCCACATCATCTGCGCAGATCGCCGTCCGCCCCGCTCAGCCACACTCCACATAGGTTCGCCCCACCACCAGCGGGAATCCCAGGAGCTCTTATTGCGGCTGCTGAATTCTTCCTGTACGTCTGGGGCCCAGAAGTCGTTTGCGACGATACCGTGGCTCTCGGCGTACAGGCCGGTTAACATCGCCCAGTGATTCGGGAATGTAAGTGATGGGAAGATCGGCTGCATTGATCTTGCCCTCATCCCTTCCTTCCCCATCGCGAGAATGTTGGGAACAAGATCACGGCGCTCTAGGTAGTCGGGGCGAAAGCCGTCAATGGACAGCAGGATGGTGGTAGGGTGAAAGTCATGAGTGCCGTTTGAAAGGACTGCGAGGTCGTCGCCGTGAGGGAGTGATGGGAAGCGAACGAGGAGGGAGATTGTCACCAGCGCTGGCGGGAGTAGAAGCATGACAAACAGTGGGAGCGGAAGCTTGAACCCCATTATGGTGATCCAGCGATCGCGCAAACGCTTCCTCCGTCGAGGTGGTAGCGCGCCATGATACAGGAGCTCAGCCTCTTCTTCCTCGTCGCGCGGCGTCCATGGTTCTGGAGATGGGGTCCTCGTACGTAGACCACTCGCGTCTAGATGGGGGTATCTTGACGTGAGCGGGATTGGCCTGGAGCGCGGTGGCGGTTCTTCGTCGTCGAGTGCGGGCATGTTGATGAGATGGTGGAGGGAGGATTGAGAGTGGAGGGCGGAACGTGCAACATGGCCGGGCCGCGACGGCGAGGGTCCCAGTGCCTGATCCTCCGCTCGCCTCCCCTAACCGTCTCATCGTTCGCCTCGCGAGCTGCGACGAGCGTGTGCGTCACACTGTCACTCTCTCTCTCTCTGTCCTCCTCTTCTGTCTCTCTCTCCCTCTTCATTCCCATCCTCTTTCTTTCCCGAGTTTTCTCTCTCTCTCTCGATCAGTCGTCTACGCTCCACAAGACTAAGCCCCGAAAGCGACACAAGGATAGCTGGCCAACCTGTTACCTTCCGAGGTTACATCCAGTGGCGACCAGTCGATTACACACGGATACTTTCTCTCAACAACTGGCGTCGCAGGCCACTGCTCTTCCCGGTGCGACAGGCGCCGTGTTCCTTGTACACTCCTCCCCGCCTTTCTCGTCTCGTCACCCACTCCTCAATGCCAACGCGCCCACGCCTCACCGGCGCTCTGGCCCTCGTCGTGCTGCTGGCGCTTGCCGCGCCGGTCGTCGCATCGTCTGGCGACCGCCACCCATCCTTCAAACTCTGCACCTCGCTGTGCGAGGTCAAGCGGTGCGAGCCACATCATCCCCCGCTGCCCTGGCACTTGCGCGCATTGCTATGGACATGCGCCGATGACTGCGCGTACGTTTGCGGACACCGGCTTACCGATGAGGCCGACGCAGGCCGCGAGGCGTATCACCAGTTCTTCGGAAAGTGGGCCTTCCATCGCGTCTGGGGTATTCAGGAACCCATGTCGGTCGTCTTCTCGTTGGGCAATCTTGCGGTCAACTACCGCGGTCTGCTGAACGTGACGGAATACGTGCGTGACGACAACGGCCTGCATCCGTGGCTTGTCGTCGCCGCACTCGTGCAGATCAACACCTGGTTTTGGAGCACAATCTTTCACTCCCGAGGTTTGTCAGCACTGAGATCTCCGCTGATGCAGACCTTCCTCTGACGGAAAAGCTCGACTATTTCTCCGCCATGACTACCGTCGCGTTCATGCTATTGTACGCCGTCGTGCGTATCTTCGGGCTGCAGACACCGAAGAGCCGCAGCCCATACTGCTTCAAGGTCACCGCGGGCTTTGCCGTGATGGTGCTCTCGCACTTTATTTACGTGTCAAGCTTCGCACACTTTCCCTATGGGTACCACGTCGGCGTGGCGATGGTGCTAGGCCTCGTGTCCAACGCCCTCTGGATTATGTGGACGCTTTCGTTCTACATCCGCATCCCGCCGATCACGCTCGGTGGCAGAGTTCTCACCTGGCCGTATCCCTACCCACCAAGAAATCCGCAGCTGACTGCACGACCGAGCCAAGCCAATACACCTTCCGTTCTCGTCGTGCTTACCATGCTTGCCATGTCGCTCGAGATCCTCGATTTCGCCCCACTACGCCGCACGCTCGACGCGCACTCCCTTTGGCACCTTGCCACAATCCCACTGGGCGAAATGTGGTGGCGTTTCCTCATCAAGGACGCCAATGACCTCCAAGTTGCGCAGGGCGGCGGCCGCCTTCCATTGTCTTCAAACAGCGGAGTCAAGCAGGCTACAAATTAGTGATAGAACGTATCAGTAGAGCTGGGTGATGGTGACGGGATTATTGCAGCAGTGCATCCTTCTGTGCTCTAAGGGGGTATTGCCTAGGAAAGGTGCACGAGCCAACGGGTGCTAGGTAGGGATGATGATGTGATAAAATTGCTAAATGCAGACCCAAGATGCAGGCGAGGCCGCAGCCGAGCGCCGCTCCGTGGCATGGATGGAGAGAGGGGAGGCGGGGAGGGGAGGGGAAGTGGGCGGGAAGGCCGCCGCCGACACGGCTCGCCTGTGGCTCGCCGACTCTGCAGGGGCACGATTGCCCGGACCGCTTTAGTTGGTCTTCTTGACACCGTTGCCGTTGGCAGCGGCGGCAGCAGCGGCAGCGCGGGCGCCCTTCTTCTTGTAAGTCGCCTTGTAGAAGGCGATGAAGAGGAAGAGGTAAGAGGTGAGGAGACCACAGCCGAAGAGGGCAGCTCCCTCGCCGCCAGTGCAGTCCTTGACCCAGGGGAGATTGATGTTGTACTTGTAGAAAAAGTGGTTCGTGGTCGCGTAGTAGGTGATAAAGAGGTCGATCACGAACTGGGTGATCTGCATGGTGGTAAGGTACTTCTTCCACTGTGGGTCAGCGTAATTCGGCCAAGTCTCGCTTCGGTGCGAGATTGAGCAGATGCGGATCGCTTCCTCGCTTCTGGGGAAAGGCCAGGAGAGCAAGCGACCCACATGTGCGCACTCACCCAGATCTTGGCGCCACCGGCGGTCGCCCAGTAGTAGTAGTACATGATAACGTGGACGAGAAGGTTAATCGAGATCACGACCCACTGGACCGAAGTCGCGCCCTCAAGCTGGGTGAAGCAGAGAAGAGCAGTCGCCGAGTGGTGGAAGACGTGGAGGAAGGCTGGGGTCAGCCAGGACATCTGAGCCCTCCTAGGCGGCGAATTCGCTCGACTCACCAAGGGGCTTCTTCTTGAGGAAAAGGAAGACGGTGTCGATGAGCTCAATGTACTTGAAGTAGTAGTTGATCATGTAGTAGGTGACGGCGGTGGGGGTGAAGGCACCGGGGTGGCAGATCGAGTAGTAGAAGCCGCGGCTAAAGTAGAACGCCGCGACCTCCTCCATGAGGAGGACAAGGAGGATGAGAGAGCCGCCAGAGAGGAACGCGTTGTGGATGCGGAAGAGCGTCCTAAGCTTGAAAGGCTCGCGGTTGCTGCGTGTCAGTCGTAGATCAGCGGGATTTAAGCCATGGGTCAGCCGCTCCATCTCTCCTCGTTTCTGAGACGCAGTGGGGCGCAGGTTCTGCACGCGTCAAGCTAAAACGCGGCTGCCCCGAAAAAAGATGCGCGTGCCAGCGCGTGTCTTTGTGCATCTTGAGAACCGACAACGTCGGCCCAAAAGCTACGCCACGCTGCACTCCGCGCGGCCACGCCACGTCAAAATACCAGTTTGAGCGGAGTACGCCGTGGACTGATTTGGCACGAGCATTTATCACTCACCGCATGAGCTCACGGCCACCGAAGATGACGACGAGATAGGTGATGAGGGCAATGATGACCTCCTTCTGGAGGGAGAGGGGGCTCTTGCCGGGGATCCACTCCACGTATTCCTTGGGCGGGTAGGGAAGGTTGGCGGAGGACCAGAGGGCCTTGAGAGTGGTGATGAGAGGGCCCTGGCCCTGCTTCCAGATGGCGACCATGGTAGCAAGTGTAACGGGACGTAGAAGGAGGAAGTGGAGGGGGGAGGGGAGAGGCGAGTTGTGCAGAGCGCGAGTTGGAGGGTTGGGTCTGTGATCTGCGGAGCCGCGAGTAGCGAGCAGCAAGGCGAAGATTGAAGTAGAAAGGAAAATGGGGGTGGAATGAAGGCGGTAGGTAAACTAGTTGAGGATTAGATGACTATATCACCAGAGTCGAAGAGAGAGAGAGAGAGAGAGAGAGAGAGCAGAGAGAGATGGCGATGGCGAGGAAGAGAGATTGAGGAGCGAGAGAGAGTGAAAGAATGGAATGAACCAGTAATAGTAGTGGTTGAATGAAAGGTACCGAGGTAAATGTTGGATGGATGTGGGGGTGGGGCGGGCGGTCAGCGCGGGCGGGGAGTCGTGGCCGCGTCTCGGGCTAGGTGCATGGGTCAAACCCGTTGGGTGAGGCGAGTGAGGCGCCGAGGCGGAGCGTGAAAGGAGAGTGCGGAGAGTGCAAAGCGCATGCAAGCGATGAAGGCGCGTGGTGCGCGTGGCGCGTGGGTGTGGGCTGTGGGGACTGTACGTGGGCAGAGGCAGGGCAGGTGCCCGCTCCATCCGTGGACGTGTCCCGAATTTTCGCATTGACCTCATGTACCTACCTGGATATCCTGCCGTTTGTCCTGATCAACCTGAGTCTCCAGTCTGTGAGCCAAACCAAGCATAGACCCGCTTCAGGAGCCGCTATGACTCGGGAGAGAAGACCGGTGGCATATGTGGGCCGACATGCAGACGTAGGCCGCGCCCCGTGGCCGTGGCTTTGAACGGATCACGCCCCCCATCTCACTATCTCCCCTCCGCCGCGTCCGCCGCCCTCGGTCTCTTCCAAAAAAAAAAAAACAGTGGGATCGGACGGACCCTAGCCCGCCCCTGCCCCAAATGCACAGGGACATGTACGCGTCGACGTCTTGACATGCCTATCAACACGCGTCAAGGTTCGGCCGTGGGAGAGTTGGGATGGTTCTGGGTGGAATGGAATGCGTGGGCGCCCATTGGAGATACCCCCACCACCACCCGTCGCCGCCGTGATCGCCGTGAGCCGCGGTGCGATCGGCGCGACAGAGTTATGCAATCAGATACAAGATACAAGATGCCTATAGTCGCCGATTGATAGGCTGCAAGCTGCCTTGTTGACGGCTTGATCAGAGCGCAGAGATGAGAGAGAATGGAAACAAGCGGTCAGGAGCTTTGGCTCATGAGATCTGTCGATCTGACGATCTGGCGATCTGGCGAGGTCTATGCCGGCTGCCTTGTCACTTGTTATGCCGTTATGGCAGTTGCAATTGCCGAATTGCTACCCCTGCCTCATTGATCACACTGGTCACTCACTCTGATCAAGGCCAACTGCAACGCGAGCTCATCGGTATGATCGGATCACCTACTGGGCCCCAGACACAGCCATCTGAGGCCCCGTGGTGAGCTTGAAATTGAGAGGTCTGAGCACAAGCTTTCTCCCTTGCATTGCGCACGACGACGCCAGCACTCCCGGGCTTCCGACCTTGAGGCCTTGAGGACCCTGGGCATGAACCACTATGAAACGGATCTCTCCACTTCTGGGCATGTAGCTCGGGCCTCGCGAACGCAGCGCGATCGCGCTCGATCGTCAGCTGTCAGCTGATTCTGTCACAGAGGGCCCCCGAAGTCCCGGGCGCGATCTTGCGCGCACATGCGGGGAAAGACTACCTCGTGGTTCATGGTCACCTTCCTACTTTCCACCACGAAGGGTCGTTGAAGCAGTAGACCGAGCACAGTTGGCCGTCAGAATGTAGATGATGAATCAACGTGGGGCCCGAAAGAGTGGAAGGGCTCAACCAATCGCCACCCGATGTGGAATGATGAGGTGATGTAAGGAGGTGACTGCCGAGCGGAATGCCGCTCGCGGCTGAATGATTTCCAAGGCAATCTGATGCCGCGTATCTGCATGAGCAGCGGCCTGTGGCCTGTGGACGTCTTACACCATGCAACTCGTCGCCTCGGTTGACCCTCGTCACCAAGCTATCGAGGGAAGCCCTGCTGCAACCAGCACATGAACATAGCTGCAGAGAGGTGGGGAGCGACAAGGTGCTTTGGTAGTGATCTATTCGACCTTCAAGAACGGCTTGCCCTTGAGAATATTTGTGTCATACATGGCAACTCCTGTCAGGTGCGGGGGCGAGGTCGAGAGTGGTCTGGGCAGCTCATTGAGAATTGGAGCGGCGGTACTGTGGACGGCGGCCAAGCTTGGAACATGTCGGTGGAACGGTCTCCAACAGGGAACCGTCTGGGTGATGTCCCAGCACTTGCATACCGGGGACCGGGACGGGCGTTGCGGACAACCTTCGGGCACAGGTCTTGCGCATCGCGCGACGCACTGCGACGTCGCCGCCATCGCTGTGCAGCACCGAGAAAAGAGGGGCCATGGGTTTTATGACTAGTCCATAAAGAGTCCGTCAGTCGCCAGATCGCCAGATCGGCACGTTTCTCTTTACAATGCAGTCTACGTATCAGATTAGCAGAAGGCATGTAAACTCTGTGATCACGGCCATACTCGGATATGGGTGACGTACGTTGGATGGGTGAGGTGGATGAATTGGTCTACTTATGGCATTCGTGACACGGTCCAATAGAGTACGGATGCTGAGCAATAACGAGCAAAAATACAGGCAAATGGAGGAGACCAGATGTCAGCGGATGCAATGACTGCGAGGATGGCCGAAGAATGGCCGAGTGTGTTGCCAAAAGCCCGTCATTTCATAGGGCCATATCTGATAACCCTGCTGGCCCCACCCATCTCCCCAGGCACGCCCGACTGCCACACTCACAAAACTCCGCTCCGTCTCCCTTTCCGGCCCCGCCTTCGCCACTCAGTTCTCACTCTCTTCATCTGGTCACTAACCACCCCCCTTCCTCCATCACACTCTTGCCCACAATGTTCCGCACCGCCCTCCGTGTCACTGCTTCTTCCTCATCTCGTGCGGCCCTCCGCCCCGTCGTCGCCGCCCGCCCCGTCCTCCGGCCAGCCGTTGTCGCCACCCGGAGTTACCATGCCAAGGTCATCGACCACTACGAGAACCCTCGCAATGTCGGCAAGATGAACAAGGACGACATTGACGTGGGCACCGGCCTGGTTGGCGCCCCGGCATGCGGAGAGTGAGTCCATCCTTATCGCCGACTCGGGCTCGTTATAGCGGGTATTTGAACCGTGCCCGCCTTTTCATCTGGCGCCGAAGCCAGCTTACCCGGCGAATCAACGGCCGCTTCTGACCGCCTGACATCGATCAACCTGATTTCCACACCGTCTTGGGAGCCAATGCTAACACCAGTGTAATGAAGCTTCAAATCCGCGTCGGCGAGGACGGAATCATCGAAGACGTCAAGTTCAAGACCTTCGGCTGCGGTTCCGCTATTGCGTCCTCCTCTTACATGACCGAGCGTGTCAAGGGCCTGTCGCTTGAGGAGGCCGGCAAGGTCAAGAACACTGAGATCGCCAAGGAGCTCTGCCTCCCGCCAGTGAAGCGTAAGTTCAGCGCCGGCGGGCTCGCGGGCAGTCGACCCAAGGACGGGGAGCGAGTAGTTGGCTTTCACCAAGCGTGACACGCCATGCCCTCGTCACTGTCAACACGTCCTGCCCTTATGCAGCGGGGATGAGGCGCTAATGACGGGGCGGGGGCGCGACGGCAGAACGTGACGCTCCCGCGGACATTAGCTGACCCCAGTGCACTGCTCCCTGCTGGCTGAAGACGCAATCAAGTCGGCGATCAAGGACTACCAGAGCAAGCGCGCTAATCAGCTCGCTGCCGCGCAGGCCACTTCCGCTCCGATCCAGCAGGCCGCCCATGCCTGATCAAAACGCCTCGTTCAAATGTAGCAAAAGTTAGCCCAGTTTTTAGCATCTGGAGGTTGTGACAGGTCCATGCAGTAGCGTCATGAGTGCGTCAAAGCTCAGCAGCGGATACAAAGCGAGCTAGGCTGCAAAGGAAAGGAGATAGCGAGAGTACCTGAGCGGGCCGGTGCGGGGCATGAGTTACTGTCAGTGACTGGGGTGCGGCCGAAGTCATGGCCGAAATGCTGTCGGAGGTCGCCGGCCGATGGTATGGAATGCAGCTGTCTCTAAACCAACGTCTCCTAGCTCCTAGCACGTAGCTCACGCCGCCGCTTCGGCCTCCGGGTCCTTCTTCTTCTTGGCTTCCACTTTTTGAACTTGGTCGGCCGGTGCGCCATTCAGCACCGCCACCTTGTCCTTGAGCATTTGGATCTTGGGTCAGCACGTTTCCGGAGATGAGTGGCGGGTGCGCGAATCTCGGCTTCCTCCTGTCCTGGCGCTCCCTCAACTGTGGCTCAACTGATCCCCACCAGTCGTCGTGTCAATGAAGGCGCGACGCCCGTGTCAATGAAGGCGTGACACCGTCTCGGAACCGCCGTGGTCGTAGCCGTCCGACTCGTGGCCTCGCATGTGCGGTGGCTTCCCCCCCCCCTCTCCATGTGCATTCTGCCTGTACTCGCTCGCACGCCGCTGCAACTCACAATATCGTCCCCAACATCGCCCTGCACCACAATCTCGTCCTCTCCCTGTGGGTTCTTGGACAAGCTGCTCCCCGTCGCAAACTTGCCTGCAAAGAACTTGGCTGCCTTTTTGAGGTCTACTCCGAACAGATCCAGCCCATGGATGTGCGTCGCAACCTTGCGCTTCGTGCGCATCTCACGCTTAATCGTGATCTGGAGTCAGCAACCCTTGTTGACCCCTCATCCATCTGGCCTCCTTGCCGATCGTCCCTCCCAGTTCTTGAACCCACCTTTGCCGCCTGCCGTTAGCCGTTTGACCAGTTGCTGCAGCTTACCTGCTTCTTCGCTGCCTCAGCCTCGGCTTTCTTCTCAGCCTTGCGTTCAGCCTTCGCTGCGTCCGCCTCAATCTTCTCCTGTTTGTCGAGGGACAGTGTGCCGATGCGCTTTTCGAGAGTGCCTGTAAGTTAGTATGTTTGTTGCCCAGGGAGGAGCAGCGGATAACATCAATATGCCCGTTCGGCCGCATGGTGCTCTGACCATACTGTATTCACGGCCAGCACTCACCCTCGCCCCAGAGTCGTTCGTACTCGGCCTGGTTGTTGGACTGGAGCCAGGTTTTGCACTTGGAAAACGAGGGTCCGAACTCGCAGTATTCTGTCGGAAGGGTGCACACTGCACAGTAGAATACTTCAACGGGCTTGGACGAGGGGCCTGCGACGGACATGGCTGAGGGTGATGTTGGTATGGACAGTTGGTGTATGTAATTCAGTTCTCGCCGGACATAAACCACTAGACTTGGGTGGATGTTCGTATGGTGCGGAACCAATTCTGCCGCCACCAGGCACGGATCAGAGTGACGACACTTGCGGCCATGCCTTCCACTGCTGGCCTCACAGTGACATTAAATGCGAAGACGCGTCGCCAGAGTCCACTCTTGTCCTTCCTCTCCATCACCATGATCAACGACAGCAGCAGTTCGAGCGCGCAAATTTGCGAGACGCTAATAGAGTTCGGGGTCACACCCGCCATTGCACATGAGGCGTCAATTCGCTACTCGAATGTGGAGACCGCCGCCAACTGGGCTTTCGGCGACGGTGCCAACGTATGTATGGCCCGCCATCACTCCGCTGACAGCAGTGGCAGCCGCAGCAAACTGCACCAAAGGACCCATTTAACGCAGGCGTGATGGGACGAGGTGAGCGCACTCGCGTTCTCGCACCATCGCAACGACTGCACTCGCTTGTCGCTGCGACTGACAGTAGCGCCATCACCGATTCACCTCTCCTCGCCAGAACCTCAACCCTTTGCGAGCAACAATCCCTTTAACCCATCTTACAACGCTGCCCTGCCTCCTCCCCCTATCGGGACACCGGGCGTAGCCCAGGAGGATGCTGACCTGGCTAGAGCGCTTGCTCTCTCCACCGTGGATCACGAGCGTGAACGCAGCGTGCGCGCCAGCGCGCCCCCACCTTCCCCCGGACGTGGCGATGAGCCTATGCCCGCCACAAGCACCAAGGAAGAACCGTCCGGCCCGCTAGAAGTGGTCCGCATTGTGAGTACTGACCGAGTCGACCTGACGATAGGACCGCCCAGCCAACGGCGACGAGGAGCTAGACTTCCAACGTGCTATCCAGGAGAGTATGATGATGGCCTCGTTCCACTCTGCAAGTGCGTCTGAAGAAGATCCGGTCCCCACCGAGCGCGATCCCGACACGCCGTTGGTGTACGCCGCACGCGGCGAGCTCGCATGGGCGTCCAACCTCGTTCAGGGCCTTGCTGCCGTCCCACAACTCTGCAGACTCGCCAGTCTCGGCGACCTAGACACCGATCCTAAGAGTGAGACCTTCCGAGATGGCCGCTAACACTAGCGTTTCGCATATTCCGCACACTTTTCGGCATGCAGAGTCTCCACTCTCACCCTAACAACTACCAGCGCATCGACCACGAGATCGAGGCGCTGAACTCCGAAACGGGCGTATCAAGTGACGTCTGCCTGCCACCATTCGGTGTGCTCATCGGTGCGCAAAGCTGCTTTCACAGCTCACGGCAGATAATTGGATAGTGCACCTTCCCCAACATCTTCGGGAGGTTGTGGAAAGTCGTGTCGCTCTACTTCAATCTAATCCTGATCACGAGCTTCGGGGAACCCTGTCCAACTTGAAGTTCCATGATTTGTTACGATGCCCCGAACAGTGAGTTTACAGGGCTGCGGCGTTGACCGCAGACTTTTGACTACCGTGTTGCAATCGCGACCCTCAGCCAGACAAACACATGTAACGATCCAGCGCACATTATCAGAGCCCGCGGACATCCACGGCAACCTCGCCCAGATAATTTGGAACAACGACGGCTCTAGCGAGGCAATTCTCAGTATGGCCGATGTCGTCTTCGTTGCAATGCGACGCGTGGCAGGCGTTGGTACGAACAAGTGGCAATTCGATGAAGAGGTTATTCTTGGTGAGATAACATACCGAAGGACAACTAATGCAAGATCGTTACATGGCAGACAACATTGCATGGGCGACGCAGCTGCGGGCGCAAGAGCACCTGGTGAAGACTGACCAGCAGCGGTTACAGGACCAGATTGATGCATTGTCAACTTTCCGAGTGAGTGTGCTAACTCATAACACGCTGACGCGACAGGGCCAGAGCCTGCCGGACGCACTCGCTGCTTTAGTTAAAGAATTAGAGCACGACTCTGAGCGCGACGGGCGCGCCGATATCAAACACGAGTTGGAGCGCGTCGCGGAGGTTATCGGCACCAAACTTAACACGCTCAAGTCGCAGGCGGAGGAAATGCAGACGAACATTAATGAGGGGCTGTTCGCGACTGACGACGAAGAGCGGTGCCAGCATCGTTACGGTCTGCGCGCCGTCTTGTGGCACGACGGCTTCTCGCCTCCCGTCAGCCGCTTATACTCCTATGTGCACTGGAAGGCGAACTGGTGGAAGATTGAGGATCTGTCCATTACGAAGGTGGGCCCCTGGCGGTGTAGTGGAGCTGATGGACCGCAGGTGGACTTCGAAACAATCCAGAATGACAACACGGGGGCATTTACAGACGGCGGCCCGTACTTGCTCATCTACTCACGGCTGGGGCCGCGTCCACACGGTCACTCACGTGAGGAGCAGCAGGCCGCAGAAGAGGACAACATGGACATCGAGTCCACTGCCGGCTCCACGGATACACTGCCTACTGCGCGGAGAATGGAACGTCAGCCCGACCTGCTAATGGAGAACGACGAGGGAATCAGATTGGATGGCGACTCAGCTTTGGCTGAGAGCAAGCCTCGGCCGCAGCTTCCGCGGCGACCATCGTCCATATCTGCGGCAGCGCAGGTCCCACTCTCTCCCACATCCCATCAAGAGGTCGACATGCGGGACGATGAGTGTCCGGAGGATCACCACGCGCTCACAGTGGACGATAAGAATGAGTGGGAAGTAGTTGAGGACGAGGAGCACCCTAGGCCAGTGCATGCGGCGACGTGATGGAGGCTTTTGCACAGCGTCTACATGTACTATTGAATCATGATCATCCACGCAAGGACGAAAAAGAAGAGGCAGAGCGGGTAGACCGCGAGCGCTGTGCGCTGCTCGGGCAAACCAGTGCCGTTGAAGAAATTGACGGACGCTGCTATCAGCCAATACTTTGGGAGTCAGCTTACCCCACACGCTCCATGCCCAGCATGCCAGGGAGACAGGTACTCTCACAAACAGGTTGTGCAAAAGCAGTGCCACGATGCTCGCGAGCAAGAGGGGTGCGAGGGCGTACCCGAGAACACACAGGGATTGGAAGAACGAGCTTGGGGTTAGACGACGGGACAAACTGCACAAGTGGCTTAATTCGGGTGAAAACACACTCACACCTTGCCCCCGAGCAGTTTCGAGTTGACTGTGACCACCACACTCCCGATCGTGACAAGTGAAATGACAAGACTGAACACAGGCATCGCCTGCTCCTGTGGCGACTGCGGTCAGCTGATGCAGTGCTGCAGACCTACGTCAAGACTCAATGTTATTGCTAGGCTGAGACAAATGACAAGCGGCCCCCAGAGATCCCAGTCGCGCAAGGCGGACCGACTACCTCCCTGTGGAGGGTAGAGGACTTGCAGGAGTTTTGTATAGATGGAGCGCAGATCCCGCATCTGTTGTCAGCTCATGACACCCTAGTCAGCCTGAGGGGTGCTAGTCCAAATCGGTGGCTTTCTGTCCCCCTCGACTTTCAACGTTGGTGCCAATGGCTTCTTTCTGTTCAACTCTTCCCTTCCTCCGCTACCTCCCAGCCTCCGCGTCGACAAGCCCGCTTCCACTGACACCTGCACTCACAATAGTGGCACTGACTGGTTCGTCCAGAGTGCTGTTCCCCGTAAACCTCCTCTCAACGCGCACTCCGCCCCAGGTCGTACTACTCCCACTCGGCGCCGACCCAATTCGCCCTGACACCGCCGGTGCTGGTTTCGGCTGGCTAGGGTGACTAGGCCCGGCCTCGGGCGCGAACGAGAGCGCGTCGAGGTCGTCGTCATCCGCTTGTCTGCTGTCAGCTCGGCCTCACCGGCGATGATACATTATCTGATGTTCTTGGGGGACGGCCTGGTACGACATTACGAATGTTGAGATGACGAGTGAGGGCGGACAGCAGACGCGGCGGATCAACATGAGGTGGTGACGGACGTGGCTGGTGGAGGGTGGAGGTGGCTTGCCTAACTTATTATACGCTCAATTAGGCACGCGATCGGCGGAATGAGAAGTGAGAGTGGCCCACGTCATAGCACCAGCAGCAGCACCGCTCGGCCAAGTCGCAGTTCGCAGCCTGCCAGCGATTCCGGCCACCAAGAGTGCAGCGCAGACGGCTTGTGCGCGACCAAACAACTCTTCTTCCTCTTCGTCTCCTCGTCTCGATCATCCCTTCGTCCCAAGAACGCAGCTCTTTCCCACATACTCGGCATCATGTGCGTCCATCCACTCCTTCATGCTTCCTCATCTGCGCTCGCCCCCCACGCCCACTCACACCAGGTTTGGGCGCGGCCACCCTCAGGATTACGAGGACGGGCCGTATGGCGGCCGGCCCATGGGCAGTGGCCACCAGCCAACTCGCCCCGTCGACAAGGATAAGACTGAGGCTGAGCTCAGCCTTAACATCAAGAAGGCGACGAGCCCCGAGGAGACTGCGCCAAGTGAGTCTTGTCAACTGTCGAGCTGACGAGCAGAGCAGAAGCATGTGCGAAGTATGTCGTTTGATCGCCCTGCGACGCCACTGACCCACAGAGTGCATCGTGTACACCTGGGATTACCACTCGTCGCTGAGCGTGTGGAACGGTCTTCGGACGCAGCCTATCCTCACCGACGAGGTCCAGACGTTCAAGGCCTTAATTCTTGTGCACAAGGTGTTGCAAGAGGGCCACCCAGTTGTGAGTCACGATAGGGGCGCTACCCTCACGGTCGAGAGCGTCTGACACGTAGACTCTCAAGGAGGCGCACGCGCAGACCGGCTGGCTGGAGACGTGCGGTCGCACCGTTGGCGGCGATGGGCAGAAGGGTTATGGCGCGCTCATCCGCGCCTACACGTCGTTCCTTCTCGCTAAGTTGCGCTTCCATCGGCACCACCCTGAGTTCAACGGCCTGTTCGAATATGAGGAATACATCTCTCTGAAGAACATTGATGACCCAAATGAGGGCTACGAGACGATCACCGACCTCATGCAGCTGCAGGACCAGATCGATTCCTTCCAGAAGCTCATCTTTGCTCATTTCCGCGGGTCAAACAACAACGAGTGTCGCATCTCGGCGCTAGTTCCACTCGTTAAGGAGTCGTTTGGCATTTACAAGTTCATTACGTCAATGATGCGCGCCATGTACCGCCGCACCGACGCAAGCGATGTCCTTCAGCCCCTCATGGAGCGCTACAACTCCCAGCATCACCACTTGCGTCGCTTTTACTATGAGTGCTCCAATCTCAAGTATCTCACAGGGCTCATCAACGTACCCAAGCTCGGACAGGAGCCGCCCAACCTCATGATCTCGGACCAGGGCGACGCGCCTGACTTGCCGCGGCGTCCGAACCCAGAGCGCAAGGCGACACCCAAGGAGGCGCCGCCGCGGACGGACACCCCCTCAGCGAGCCAGGCTGAGATCGAGGAGCAACGCCGCATGCTCGAGGAGTATGAACGCAAGCAGAACGATCTAGTCAAGCAACGAGAGAACGAGGAGCGTCGCCAACGTGAGGAGAAGGAGCGGCAGGATCGCGAGTTCGCCGAGGCACAGCGGCTGCAGAAGGAGCGCGAGGAACAGGCCCAACGCGAGCTTCAGCAGCAGCTCATGAATCAGCAGATGAACCAGCAGTGGCAGAGCCAAAACGCTGGTCAGCTTGCTGAGCTACAACAGCAGATGCTCGCAGCGCGGGGTCAGTACGAGCGCGACCAGATGATGCTCGAACAATACGACCGGCGCGTCAAGTCGCTGGAGAGCGAGCTCGCCATGGTTGGCGCCAACGTCGGCGCCCAAATGAACGCCAAGGATGAGCTCATCGCGCAGCTCCAGAAGCAGATTGAGGTGTGGAAGAATAAGTACGAGGCCGTAGCCAAGCTTTACTCGCAGCTGCGCGGTGAGCACATCGATCTTCTCAACAAGAGCAAAAGCTACCAGCTCAAGGCGAACTCGGCCCAGGAGGCGATCGACAAAATGGAGCGTATGGAGCGTGACGTCAAGGCGAAGAACCTCGAATTGGCCGACATGATCCGTGAGCGTGAGAAGGCGCGCTACGATCTCGACCGCGTGCGCTCCACCCATAAGGAGGAGATGGACCGTCTCAAGCGCGATCTCTCCTTTGCGAATGAGCGCGCTGAGGATGCGTCGCGGCACAAGAGCACTGAGGTGCGCGACATCATGGCCAAGTACAACCGCCAGCTCAACGAGCTTGAGGACACGGTCAGATCTAAGCAGATGCAGATCGACAACCTCCTCTCCAAGGAGCATGACCGCAACGATGATGTTCACCGCCAGCTCGAGGAGAAGGAGGCCGAGCTTCTCGTGCTCCAGGAGGCTATGGACCAGAACATCCAAGAGCTTCAGGAACTTAAGCTCACGCAGGGCGAGACGTCCAACACGTTCGACGCCCAGGTTGACACTCTCATCCTCGATCACCGCAAGGAGCTCAACGCGATCATTGACTCGATCCTGCAGGCTTGCGTGCAGAAGGTCGATGACGCCATCTACGAGCTGGAGGCGCCCACGCACCTCGGCAACACGACCGCAACCGCACCTTACACGCAATCAATGATCGAGAAGGCCATGTCCAACGCAACTGAGTTTACGTCCACGTTTAACCTCTACCTCGGCCGCAAGAGTGGAGGTGGATACGTCGACGTCATCAAGGCTGCCAATGAATTTGCGCAGAGCATGTCCGAAACGCTCGTATCGAGCAAGGGCATCACGCGCCTTGCTGAGGACGAGGAGAAGTCGGACAAGCTTGTCCAGGTGGCCAAGCGGGCCGGTGACGTCGTACAGCGCCTCTTCCTCAACCTCCAGAGCTACAAGCTCGTGAGCGGCAACAAGGAGGAAGTTGTACTGCGCAACAACGCCGAGGCCCGCAACGCGCTCTCCAAGCTCTCGGAAACGATTGAGCAAGTCGTGCCCAAGTCTAAAAGTAGCCTCACGCACGTCAACGGTGATTTGGGCGATATCGTCGCAAGCGAGATGGAAGCAGCCGCGCGCGCGATCGCGCAGGCCACCGAACGCATCGCGCAGCTCAAAGCACAGCCGCACGACAAGTTCTCGGCGCTCGATCGACCGGTGCACAACGCGATCCTGGACGCCGCGGCGGCGGTCACGAACGCAATTGGGCGGCTCATTCAGGCTGCGACAGCGTCTCAGGAAGAGATTGTGCGCGAGGGCAAGGGCACGAGTTCGACCACACAGTTCTACAAACGCAACCACCGCTGGACGGAGGGTCTTATCTCCGCAGCCAAGGCAGTTGCGTACGCGACAGGACTCCTGATCGAGAACGCGGACGGTGTGATCAGCGGGACTCACAGTTTTGAGCAGCTAATTGTCGCATCGAACGAGGTAGCAGCCAGTACGGCGCAACTCGTCGCAGCATCGCGTGTCAAAGCCAACCTCATGTCTCGCGCGCAGCAGAATCTCGAGCTCGCTTCCAAGGCCGTCACAGATGCGTGCAAGGCTCTCGTCCGACAGGTCAAGGTGGTGTCCAACCAAGCCGACGCAGACGACATGGTTAACTATGCCGCGATGGCAAGCCACGAATTCAAGACTCGCGAGATGGAGCAGCAGGTCGAGATTCTTACGCTCGAGAAGAAGCTGGGCGCTGCCCGTAGGCGTCTGGGCGAGATGCGCCGCGCTGGTTACCACCAAGAGGACGACTAAGCTGTTAACAATACATAGATACCCTATGGATGAAGCTAGAGGCCAAGGAGGTTGCGGACCTGCTCGCGGACGCGGCGCTCAAACTCGGCTTTGTTCTCCCGATACAGCTTGCAGCACTCGACGTCGGCGCCCGACTCGATGTTGGGCTCGGCGAGCATGCTTAGCACAGACAGGAGGACACTGCGCACGCCCTGCACTGGCGACCAGCGCTCGGATGCCGATTCATACCGAAGTGGGTCATCGCCGGGGGGGTGGAGGATCGAAATGCACACCGTGCCGTTGGGGTAGACTTGCGTGAGCGAAATTTCAAGAGGTCGTTGGCTGGAATGCGATCACGCGTTGACTGGAGTAACAGAGATCCTTCCCACTGTAGATGTTTGGCACTTCACTGGCGAAGCGGGGCCATTGCTGGCTTTGATACCACACATCGCACTCGGAGCCTTGGGGGCCCCAGGAGGACAGGCAGGAGATTCACACGCAGCATAGTTCTGCATCACACTCACTGTTGGGATGCAGCAGCGGCGGGTCAAACACCATCTTGAAAGGGTTGAGCGGGTAGTCGGGCGGGAACGTAAGCTTAGCAGCGAACACGCCGCCTTCCTGGCTGTCAGTTGAGTGTCCTGTCGTTCAGATGTGCGTTGCGCCCCCGGATAGAGGAAGAGATGACGCTTCACCACCACTTGGTTGACGATGCCCCCTTGTCACCCCGCCACTTATGCGAGTTGAGCTGAAAGCAGCGCTCTTCCCCTTCCACCAGTTCACAGACACTCACATAAGGCGTGTCCTCGGGCCCCTGGATCAACGCCTCCCACTCGAGCATGTTGTCCTCGGACACTGGACCGGCAGTGAGCGTGTCGTTGATCGGATCCGCCGTGAGATCGCGGTACTCCTTCATAAGCCTGGAGTCAGCTTCGTGCAGCACGAGACGGCATAGTATCGATCACTCCGTTCCCGGTGAGAGAATCGCACTCCGGCACCAGCATTGGCACGACGTGGTCGCAGTCATGACGTGGAAGGGTTCACGCCTCAAACGTATCGTGCAAAGCGGGTAGCGAGAAGGAGAATGTGAACAGGGATGTGAGTAGCGATAACTCACCGCCGCGTTGCGGTCGACGTCTGGGCGCGGGTGTTGTTGCCTGCGAACATGGTGATGGAGTGAAGGTGGGTGGCAATTCTATGTCAACGCGTTGTGATACCAAGGGGGCGGGGCTAGCCGACTTCCCTTGAGAGCGATTAGGTCACAGTTTAATGAAATTCATTACTCGTCCGATCTGCCCCACTCGGGTGAGAGAACATTGTGTTCTTCCACCTGCCTGCATATGGTGACATATGGCCGGGAGCTTAACCCAGGCCATGGCCGACTCTGTATCACGCCAGGACAGCTCAAGACAAACTGGTCGTGACTGACTGGGCAGCCGTGTTGTCACATCGCCGTATTCGCCATCCCAGTTGGAGGTGGATCGGTGGCCGGTGGATCGGTGGAGGAGGAATCGAAAGCGGCCACCTGGATGACGAGGTTTGAGGAGATTTCCCTGATCATATCGTGACCGAAAAGTGACTACCACGTCCCAGCAGCACCTCGACTCTACCTGCAGTAACCAGCGTCGCTGTACTTCCCGAGAGGGACCGGGTGGGTGCAATGTCAGATGGCCAGCAGGAGGTCACCCGTGTCTGCATGAACAGAAGTAATTACAGCCGAGTGCCCCCTGTCGCGCTGCTGCAAGGCATGCACGGACCCATTGGGCACGATTGGACAGGGGTTTGACGAAAGCAGGCCGCGCGGGCCACCACCGAATATGCCATGACGCAGTAATTGTCTCCTCCGTTCACCCACTTCACCATGAAGTCCCACGACGATTGCAACGAACACGGGCCAGACCCGCTGGTTATTGAGAATGATGCCGATGTCGCCAAACACGCCGCGGGCATACAGGACGTCAAGAGCAAGGGCGTTCTCGCTATCGATATGGACGATGTCCTGTGGTACGCTGGCTGAGCTTTTGCAAGCCATCGCTAACAACAGCAACACCAACCAGACGATCGTTGACAGTGAGTACACGGAAACGATAAAGCATAGAACAAGCAGGCTCTGGGTTGGGGGCCGGCTGGGGCTGCAGCAGGGGCGTGGGCTGCGGAGCAGACAAGACAACTCACACACAGTGCATGCTGAACTGTTCCCGGGCAAGGCCACTCCTCCGATTTCGATCGAAGAGTTCGAGCATTACCTTTATTGGCACAATCGGGGGTGGGGCACGCAGGAGGAGACCGTCGACATGGTCGTGAGTTGCAAAAGACTGTGCTGTTCTCCGCAGCTATCCAGCAAGGGCGGCAATTCCATTCCTCTCTAACCGTAGAGCCAGCTGTACCGCGCCGGACTCATGGACCGCCCTAGACCACTTCCGGGGGCGCGTGCGGCCCTATCGAAACTTAAGAACATGGGCTACTCGCTCATCGTCATTACGGCGCGTAGCGAGATCCAACGGGAAGGCACTGAAGTCTGGCTCGAGGAGCACCTCCCTGATCGTGAGTCGCATGACCCCTGTGTCCGGCTGCTGTCACCTGTCAATTAGACTGACCCCAGTCTTTGACGAGCTCCACTTTACAGGCGCATTCAACCACTTGATTCCTGCTACCCACGCTGAGCACGAGGGTCACGCGGCCAAGCGCGCCGTCGTCTCGCATAAGAAGCGCACGAAGCACGAAGTCATGAAGCAGACGGGCGCCATGCTCCTCGTCGATGACAGCGCCGAGAACGCACTTGCTGCCGCCAAGGCCGACGAACCCCCGCGCGTGCTCCTGTTCGGGAACTACCCGTGGAACGCCGAGATCGTCCCGCCCGGGGAACACCACCCAGACGACAAGATGATCTATATCGATTGTGAGCAATGCGGCAAGCTCCCTGCACGGCGGCAGCGTCGACAGGCGCGCATTGAACGTGGATGGCTTCCTGACAACGTTACGCGAGTTGCCGACTGGAACGCCGTCATCGCATGGATTGAGAGGCACGAGCGGGGAGAGAACAAGTTATGACAAGAGTTTAGACTGAGGCGCAGTTGCGAGAGATGTTGAGCCACAGAGTCTGCATGCTTATTGAGCTAAGTTCTGACGCGTTCCCCGACTTGACCATCCGCGGCTACTCCTTACGCTTCTTGAGCGCCGGCTCCTCAACGGTGTAGTCAGGCTGAGGAGGAGCGGCGTTCTCCTTGTCGCTGCTGCCTTCGTCGGACGACGTGTCTTTTTGAGTTGTGGCCTCGTTGGTCTTCTGGATGCAGCCGCACTTCCACATAGGGGCGTTGAGCTCACACGTCGCAAGGGACCACGCAACACGGTTGGCAAACTGCGACGCGATGGCGTTGCTCGCAGGGTCCACGGTCAGACGACTCAATTTGGTCGCGAGTTTGACCTCCTCCTTCGTTATGTGGTCGTCGGCGTGCATTTTCTCCTCGGTAAGCCCATCGAGAGTAGCGCTGAGGTCGCCGCCCGAGCCGATTATCTCGGACAACTTGCCAAGCACGCGGTGGGCGACGGGCGCCCACCCGGCACGCGCGAGCATCTCCAGGCCGGTGCATACCGCCACAACTGAGTAACGTATGTGGATCGGGCGCTTTGGCTACTATCAGCATGGTGGCCTACTTAGGCTTACCATTATAACGTAGTGCTCCTTGACATCAAAGACCGAAAGGCGCCCCTTGATCTCCTCAAGGTCCTCAGCCTGTCGTCAGCTGAATGCGTACTGAAGCGACGCTCACGGTCAATGTGGCACAAGGGTCGAAGATGCACGCGCGCTGGTCGTGCGTTTCGATCAGGACACCGATCCACGCGCCGAAGCGGTGCGTGGGAATGACGATGCGAGCGATCTGCTGTCAGCTAACGTATAATCACTCTCACATCGTCGCCAATGCCATGGTGCGACAAGTCGGTCGTATACGTCAGGTGCGAGAAAAAGCGCGAGGGCAAAGCCATGACGTGGTGGTTGAGCGTGTTGAGGACCTTCATGAAAGCGTTGACGGGAAGAACCTCGTTACAAACTTCATTCGATTGAAAGCTGTGAAGGCTGTTCACAATGGTGATGGCTGGTGCATCGGAGTAGGGGACACACGACCACGTCTCGTCATTCATGGTCCATCCGCGAAGTTCCGCCTCGCGCTCCTCCTGTAGTCAGCAAGTATCGCGCAGACACTCACGCTAAGCACAGGGAGAAAGGTCTTGATGAGGTGGCGTGTGACGCTGGCGCACTTGCACTTGTGGTCACTGCAGTCGCATCCGCTATTCTGGAACGAATGAGAACTGCTGTGCGATTCCGTGTTGCTGCCATTGGCTTCGCTGCTGGTTCCAGACTCAGTAACCTCCATGGTACGCGAGCCCTTGAAAGTCGCGGCCTTGACCCCGTTGGCATCCGTCGAATCGTCCACGGTCATTACTGCGTTGAAGTAGAAGCGGAGTTGCTGCGTCACGGCTCTTTGGGGAATGTTAGCTCCTCAACGTGAATGTGTGTTGGTGAGAAACGGCAACCGCGGTGCAGAGTACGTCCTTTTGTAGCTTCTCGCACTGCTTGAGGCGAGGGCGAGTCGGTATCAGCACCCCATAAGAGGGCTGGTCCGGACGGAGCGGATGTTGGGTGCTTCCGCTGCCGCTCTATGTGTAAACATCAGTAATCGAGTTGGTGGTCGACTCGACCGCGTGCATGAGAAGCTGGGGAGTAAATGGTAGCACAATTCACGACTCCTGTCTGCATTGTCTCAACATTCCATCCATTCCGCAGGCCCCAGCCGCATGTACGCTAACGTTTAAACCGCCAGAAGCCGCGCCTGTCGAGTCAGTTCCAAAATGCAAGGGAATGTAGTGCAATCTGCTTGAATTAGCAGCATCTCATTTGCTGTTTTCGCCCCGCTTAGGAGCCCGAGAAGCCTTGGAAAGATCGAAGTGGTTGTTCGGATGTGGGGTGCGAACGAGAGGGCAAGTGTGACGCCACACGGGTGTAACCGACATTCACCCTGCCACCTGCCGGACAAACAGAATCATGGACGGCCAAACATAGTTCTGACCTAGTGCTCGTCTCGCTCCCTCTAGCAGTAAGCACGCTTTCTGAACGCGTTCAGCACGTGCCCCAAAATTGCCGGAAGTCGGAAGAGTTGGCATTCTGCTCTCAAACAGAAAACATGCCTTCATTTTTTCTACACACCACACCCTGAACATCGGGGTGTGAGACGCTCAATCGACTGCCTGACTAGCTGATGGCGCAAACAGTCCTAAACCTTACGGTCTGGACTCCGCTGGATCCGATCGCGATTCGAACGCCGGCCCGCCTCCGTGATCTGTAATGGGCCCTCAGAAACCTTGGTGGAGGCTTGCCAAAGCTAGTATGAGAACCCTACACCATGGAGACGGATTGACCTTGTGCTGTCGCTGGCTCTACAGTGATGAGTGACATCTCGTGAACTCACGATTAGCCTAGCACTCCCACCTCAGAGTTTGCAAGCACATCAAACTGTTGTTGGTGGATGTCGTCAGTACGTCGTCGATGAGCGAGATCCACCCGTAAAGTGGAGTTCCCCTCAGGTTTCCTACATGCCCCTAGCGTCAAAACCGCTCGCGATAAACTGCAAAGCGTGGCCCAACTCATTGGTTAGGCTGACCACCGACCAACTACTTGGTTGTCACGACAGACAGCCGTCTATGGCATTTACATGTCCTTCTCATGACACTGATCCTCCTTGAACGGCGCTGGTTCTGGCCAGTATACAGTCTTACACAATCGTATTCATCCACCTTGTAGACATACTGTAACAATTGTTTCATCCGAATAAATGCCTATCACCTATAGCATGATTCATATCGCCCCAAGGCTTGAGCGCTCAACCTTGAGCCTTCTCCTAGGCGTGACAACTTTATAATGGGAATGTATTGGCTCAGATGTCAGAAGAACTGAGCCCAACTCCGTACATGCTTCCCGACCTGATCCCCAGTCAGCATAGCATAGCAGCTTGCACGAGTTCGCTCTCAAGGAAATTTTGAGTAAAAGACTCCTGACATCGCACCGATGCTTGTGGCGATGGAAGGTTGAAAGTCGATAGTAATCCCATGGAACAATATACGCGTTTAATCGTGAGGTTTTGCGCGTGTGGCGCCCGCGGACGTCCTTTTTTAAGTCCTAGAACTGCTTCTGAAGATGGTGGTGTCACCTCACCCCACTCACCGTTTGGCAGTCGCACGTCCGAAGGGAGTGCATGATACAGCCTTAGGCGGATGCGAGGGCTTGGCAACACAACATTTTCAAGCCTTTTCCTAGGAGCACTAGGTCTTGGAGAAGATGACCGGGGCATCATGTCTGCTTTTAATTGCAATGCGCAGACGTGTCTCTTGGCCTGTTACTGTCCATCGCTCACGGCTCGCAGCCCCTGCGCACTCCCGATCCACCTCCGATTTCCCCGTGCGTTGAAAAAGATTTCCACGAGTTTACTGGTAATGATTTCTCTCTGTCGGAGAATTGAACTCCGGTCTCCCGCGCATCTGAATGACAAGCGAGCATACTAGCCACTATACGAACAGAGATACGGCTCATGTTGGACGGTCTGACCATCCCACCCACAACCCCGATCCTCCTGGGGCACAATGTGTGGTTCGTTGCGTGTAGTCGAATGAGGGTAGTGAGCAGCAGGGTGTGTTAAGCGAAGTGAGTGGTGTGTGTGCCGCAAAGTACCATCAGAATCCACGCCGTCAAGCTACATCGCTCCCATTGCAATGCGACAGAATCGACAGCACACGTTGGGCAATGAGCCCTGTTACACACAATGCTACACGACAGTCTAGCGCGATCTAGCGAGAGCTCTAGCGACGACCCCCCTTTTTCTTCTTCTTGCGGTCGTCGTCCGAGAACTCATCAGTACGCTTGTCGTCTGCTCGCTTGGCCTTGCGCTCCAACGCGTCCCACGACTCGCCACTCTCATCCGAGAAGTCGCCGCCGCTGCCGTCCGAATCGGCGTCGTCATCTGAGAAGTCCGACTCGGAGTCACTCTCATCTTCGTCAAAGTCGTCGCTCTCGTCTTCAAAGACCGACCCCTCGGAGCTCTCGTCTTCCTCGTCCGACTCGCCGTTACCTGTGAGGAACTCCCAACCGCCTTCCTTGTAGAATTCGTAGGGGTCGTCGTTGATCGTCTTCATGATCTGAGGCCACGAAAGGTTGACGGGACCCTCAGAGATGGGAATGTCGACGGAGCTGAACGTTAGAAACGCAAAATGCACGAACTCACTCCAGCCACTCCTTGACATTGTCCAGGTGGACGACCGGGATCGAGTTGATGGCGACCGGGGTCTTCTTGAAGTCGTTGAAGACAAACACCATGTCGAATGCCTTGAGGCCGAACTGAACGCGTTCGAAATGGACAATTTCGATTTCCGACAGAGTGATGACTGTGAACGGCATCTCGCTCAGGTGGACGAGGCAGTCAGTTGTCGGCATCAATGTGACGTTGGTGCGATGCGGCACACCGTTGAAGCCGAGCTCGCGGAATGGCACGTCGACTTCAATCTCGTATTGCTGTTGTTGGGCAGCATCCGACACACGCTTGGCAAACGCCTGGAACATCTTGTCCAACTCGGCGCGCCTCCTACGATCCTCCTGTTCCTGCTCGATTTCATCTTCATCGCCGTAACGTGCCTTGCGCCGCTTGCCAGTCGTTTCGTCGAAGTTCATGTCGGACACCTCTCGGAAGAACTGGACGTCCCATGTCTTCTTCTTACCGATCATAATTGGGGCCTTGAGATGGACATGTAGAAGCACTATGAGCTCCTTCTCGCTGGGCTGGAAGAACAAGTGCTTCATGTTGCCAAACAGCAGATCAATCTTGTGGTCCCTGTCGCCTTGCCTCCCCGGGGGTGCGTCAGGTCGGAAGCGAATGCCGTTGGTGTGAATTTCGAGGTTGCCGTCCATCTTCTTACCCTCCATGTTCGGGCGGGGGAAGACATTTTTGAGGATATAGGGATGGCGGCCTTTGATTTCGACCAGTCGCTCCTGCTCGATAACGTCGGCCATCTCTTTGCGCTCGGCCTCGCGCTTTGTGGCGGCCTTTTTGAGCTCAGAGATTTGGTTGTGGACTTTCTGTATGTGGCTGCTGTCTTTGGACCTGAACGTAAGGGAGCGTACAAACGTCGCATCTGGATCCTCGAAAGGCTGAGGCGTCAGTAAAACGATAACCTATGTCACTCACCATGTCTTCCTTCTTGCCCGCAATCTGTCCTGGCGACTGAAAGTTGATGCGCAGGGCGATGTGTTCAGCCTCATCGATTTTAGAGACATTCTTGATAGTCGAAACGTGAAATGGTGTCGCAAAGCCATTGATGGGCAGGATCACAGATTGGCGAGCAGTGTCGACGTAGATTCGCCGATCCTGAATAACACCGGGGAGTTGTTCCTCACGCTTGTATGACTCAAACTTCTTGATGACCTTGCCTCGCCCCTCATCTCCACCCTTTCCGCCATTGGCCCACTTCTTCAAGCCAGCTGCTTTCCGCTGCGCGTGCAACTCCTGCTGATGCAGTTTGATACGCTGTTCGGTAGTGGACTCGATCTGTTCGCGCTGAGCGCCGCGGGTGGCCTTTCCAGCGGCTGCGCCGCGAGTCTTCGCTGGCGACTTGGTGGTCCCGTTGCTGACTGGCTTCTTCGGCTTGGTAGCCTTAGGCTTGGGCTTGGGCTCGGGTTCTGGCTCCTCCTCCTCGTCCAGTTCCATGACCACGTCGCGCAGCTTTACGCAACCTTCGGTGAGGGAGGCGCCACCGTTGGAGCCGACCTGGACGGTGTCGGAGAGGAGCAGGCTGTAGCTGGAGTGTCAGTGTCCTTGTCGTGATGAGGGACTATGAACTCACGTGCCGTTCTTATCTGACAGATCCTGCAGGCCAAGTGAGATGACAAGAATCATGTTCGCCTCCAGCTTGCGTTCGTTCTTGGGTGCAAGCAAAAAGGCGCTGTCGCGGTACTCGAGGCCAGTTGCGAAGCCAATGTTCTTGGGGAAATGCCCACCAAGACCGCGCTCTTGCAACGCAGCGTGGGCAGTGTTGTAAAGCTCCCTCGCGGTGACTCCCGCCTTGCACATTTTGATAACCTCCAGGCGCACGTCGAGGAGAGTCGAGAAGTTTGTTTCCTGTTTCTGCGAGGTTGTCAGAACCGTGCGAGTTTCTGTGTCCTCACCTTGGAGGGGTTGATCATGAAAGTCCTCGCCGAGCTCGCACAGTACGACTTGTACCGGATGCCCAGACTGGAGAGGATGACACCAGGCTTCAGCTTGTTCTCATTGGAGAACGCCGACACGCGGAGGTCGTAATCGCCACCGGACTGGATGATCGGCGAGTAAACCCAGTCGGTATTAGTAAAGTCAACGTTCGCCAGCTTTGGATTCTTGTTCCAGAGCTTCATGTCGGCAGCTTTGTCGTCGTTTCCGATTTTCTCTTCCACCAGCTGCGAGAATGCCTCGTGGGTGATCTCGGTGCCTCGGTCGATCAAGGCCTCCATTTTGGACTTGAAATACTTTTCCATACACGTAGAGACGAGCCGCGCCGCAGTGATCGTCGCATCCTACGCGCATTAGCAGAGGTAACTCATGACGATCGAAGTGACGCAATCAAGCTCACAATCTCGTCTTGGTCCTTGACGGCCAAGATGGCCGACATGGCAACCGTCACGTCCACGGTTTGAAGGCCAGCCTTGGCATTGGCGACGCTGGCATTCAGCTGTGCTCGCAGTTTGCGATCCACACCGTCCCACTCACGCCGTGTTCCACTCATCAGACAGCTTGCCTGTCGCCTTGTCCTTAGGAATAATGCCCAGCTTCATGTCGGCGAGCGACAAAACGAGGTCGGGGATGACGCTAGCCGTCGACTCATCCTTGGGGGCGCGCACGCGCACATCAATCTCAACCCCTTGCTGAGGCTGCAATTGCCGTAGAATCTTTGCTGTCACATCAGTGGCGGACTGAAACGCCACTCACCCTTTGACGAGCTGCACACGAACGTGACCTTCCTGGATGACTTCCAAAAGATGATGATGGTGGACGGGAACTCAAATCCTAGCAAGTAGGTCTGCACGTCGAGTTAGCACGAGCGCGGCGTATCCACGGCGGCTGCTTGCAATGTTGACTCACCTGAAGTGCAGCCGTTTTGTTAAACGAGGCCGAGTCGTCACCTGCGTCGCCCAGAAAGATCTGGAGCGCATCGACATCCGCAAGATCGGCAGTATCCCCCGTAGCATCCTAAAAGGCAAAAGGTAACAGCGTGAAGGAACATTACCACATAGCATGGAAGTGAACATTCGAAGCATTAGACGAGCGTATCAGCTGCGTTGCGAACCTCTAAGTTTGCTTTCACTCACATTCAAGGCGTCAAATATCTTGATCGCGCGCTTGAAGAAGACTGTGGTGTCTAGCTTGACATCGGACATGTTGGTGAAGGCACCGTACGCGGCGGAGTGATTGTCGTAGTGAGTCAAGGCCGGAGTTGGATCCGCTCTGCGCGCCGGAGGTCACCAGTGGGAGATGGTTGATGATTGCGGTGAGAGATTGGAAAGGAGGGGAGAGGACTACAGAGGAGGAGGAGGAAAGAGAGGCAAAATGGTGCTGTGTGCGGAGTGGAGTTACTTGGTAGAGCGCAGATTGATATTGTGACGTCCTGGCCTCAACGCGTCGAGGCTCATCACAAGGGACGCGCCGCAATCTCCGCCTCACCCAGACGGCAATTTGCCCATGTGGCGGCGTCATTCCGGACCTCCACTTTAGTGCTCCAGACAAGTCTAGCATGTCGTCTTCAGCCTCCGCACGTTTCCGATACTGATCACACCGCCTGCGTATACCCACGATTCATCATGGGCCCCAAGAAGGGTGCAAACACCGGCAAAGCGGCGGCCAAGGCTGCTAAGAAGGAGAAGCAGGCGTCCAAGGCGGCAAAGAAGGAGGCCGCAGCCATAAAGGCTTCTTCCAAGGGCAAGAGCAAGGCAGCCAAGGAGGAGGATGAAGAAGACCTCGACGCGATCCTTGACCGCTACAGGGCGGAGATGGAGGCGGTGAGCGTATGGATTCTCGGATTCTGACTCCTAGCTGGCCGCAAATACCGTGACGAGGCTCGAGAGTCCGCCGCCGCCGCGCACGGGCGCGCTATTCCTTCCTTCGCCTTCGACGTTGAGCTCAGAAAGCAATCATCTGTATCTCCTTTTCGGAGAACACTTTGACGGACAGCGGGCGACGTTTTATCCGTCCGTGCTGCGGTATGACGTCGCGAAGGACGAATGGCGCGAGTACAAAAGTGGTACGGCACCCGCACCCCGCAGCAGTGCCGCAGGCGTGGCGGGTGCTGGGCTCGCTGAGGGCGGTGGTATCATTATTTTTGGGGGAGAGTACGCAAGTCCGACTCAAACAAGCTTTCACCACTACCGAGACATGTGGCTCTTCTCGTGCAAAACTCACAGTTGGGACAGGATCGAGTTCAAGCGCGGGCCCACAGGACGCAGCGGCCACCGCATGGTGTTGTGGAAGAACTATGTCATTCTGTTCGGCGGGTTCATTGATGTCGGTGTAAAGAGTAAGTCTAGGTGCTGGCCGGTGGGCCGGTGGGGCTGAGACGGTGAGAAATGGGCGTGGGTCGCAACGAAGGGAAGACCACCTGGTGATGGCACCTAACCGCAGCCAACTACCTCTCGGACCTCTGGGTCTTCGACATGGACACCTTCCGATGGCATCAGATCGAGCACATCGACAAAGACCGTGCGCCAGGTCCACGCTCCGGCTTCAGCTTCATTCCATGCCCGGAGGGCGCGGTTCTCTACGGTGGCTACCGGAAGGAGTACGTGAAGGGCACGCGGCCAAAGGGGATGCCACTTGACGATTGCTGGCTGCTGCGCATGGACGGGGATCTGTCCAAGCTTAAGTGGGAGCGCCGCAAGAAGGTAGGATACGCACCGACGCTACGATCGGGTGCAAGCATGACGTACTGGGCGAGTAAGGGAGTCGGCGTGCTGTTCGGCGGTGTGCTCGACGAGGAAAGGGACGAAGAGAGTATGGAATCGGTATTCTACAACGACCTGTTAGTGGGAATAGTGGCTCGGTCGATGAGCGTTGGAGGAGAAATGCTCACACAAGCTTCATGTATAACCCCGCAGGAAACGGGCGATGGTCAAGCCTGAATCTTAAGAAGAAGAAGGTTGGCGGCAAACGGCGAGCGCGCAAAGCGGCTGCGATGGAGCGGAGAGACGGCGAGGACGAGGACATCGACATGGATGAGGCTCAGGACGACGGCTGCGACAATCTGGAGTCGACAAGGAACCCTTCACCCTCACCGTCCCCGATGCCTTTGGAAGACGACGACGACGACGACCCGCAAAAGACTGTACCGCTGACGAGATACAACGCGATGCTGGCAATCGTGAAAAACACGCTGTTCATCTATGGCGGAATCTTTGAGACGGCAGCCCCCGCCCGTGAATATACTCTGGACGATTTCGTGACGCTCAATTTGGAGAAATTGGACAGGTTCAATCATCTGCGGGGAACGGGCATCGATGAGATGGCGTGGGCGGGGAGCGACGATGAGGATGGCCCAGACTCCTCTGCGACAGAGGATGAGGATGAGCAGGAAGGGGAGGAGGAGGATGACGAGGATGACGAGGATGACGAGGAAGAGGAACTCAACGCGCTTGAGGACGAGGAGGAGGGCGACGACGACGCCCGTGCGGCGCGGCACGCGGCGCTGTCTCAAACGGAAAAAGATGCTTTGCGGCGCGAGGCTACGAAGTTTATGGGAGTGGCCAAGGACAGTGGCCGAACCGAGGAAGACGTCCTCTCCACGCCGCTTCCAGGCGAGAACTTGAGGATGTTCTACGAGCGCACCCGCGAATACTGGGCCGGCATGGCGTACAATCGCAGCGGGAGTCGCGGGAAAGCGCTGCGTCGCGAGGGCTTCCATCTGGCGAGCGCTAGGTACGATGATTATCGCCCCATTCTGGATGAGATCCAGCGCATCCAGCGTGAGGCCGAACTTGATACCGCCGCTGTGGCTGCCAGCAAGCGCACAACATTGGGCGTCGTCGGCGAGGGCGGACGTAACCGGCGCTAGGAGCTATGCATGTACACTATCATCTACAACTACTGATCCGTGGACAGGGTGTGGTCTAGGACAAATGGACAGGAGGTGCGTGGTCATCACAAGACCACTACTCTTCTGTTCCTTTCTCGGCTTCATCCTCAAACATGTGCGCGAGTCCCTCAGCCGCCTCGTCACGCTCCGTCTCGAAAACCTCGAATGCCGTACGCTCACCCTTGGCAAGCTGCGCCTCACGGCCCCGCTGGCCGACCTTACCGAGGCCTGCAGCCCACCCCTTCTGGCGCGCATATGCCTCGGGCGAGCGGTCGAGGAGCATCTCAAGATCGGCGTCTGAAATGATCTTGTCTGACGCGGCCGCGACGTTGATCTCCTCGCCATCGAGCTCAAGCAAAGCTCGGGCCATGTCAGCTGTTGATTGCCCACGTTGGTTGCTACGCCCCAGTGTCACACGCCCGTTCTCATCAACGAGCTTGCCGAACTTTCCCTGCTGGATCACGAGGGCCTCCAGCTTACGTTTGTGGCCGGCCTTTTGCAAGATCTTCGTCTCAACAGTGTCTTTTGTTAGATTGGCCGAAAGATGTGTAGCTCGAAGACACTCACGCTCTGACACAAGACGGAAGATCAGAACAGGTTTGGTTTGACCAATGCGATGCGCACGATCTTGTGCCTGCAGGTCCATTTGCGGGTCTTGAGGATCAGCAAAGAAAACGTTGGAACCTACTCCAGTCCTGATCGAAAAAGACAACTGTGTCGGCCGCCACCAAATTGATGCCTAGGCCACCCGCTCGCGTGCTGAGGATGAACAGTCTGCACGCGTCCGGCCCATCGCCGCCATTGTTGAACTCCTCCATTTGCCTGCGCCGCTCCTCTTGCGATGTAGTCCCGTCAATGCGACACAGCTTGAAGCCCTTGTAAAGGGTCGCCCAATCCTCCTACGAAAGTCAAAAGGGCTCGATCGAAATACTCACGATGATGTCCAGCATGGTTGTGAATTGGGAGAAAATAAGCACTTTGTGGCCTTTGGCGAAAAGGGCATCCAGAAGGCGGTTGAGAAGCAGCATCTTGCCGCTGGCGTTGATCAAGCTCTCGTCGACAATCTCTGAATCAGTCTCCGGATCCTTGGGCCAGTTGAAAAGGAAGGGATGTGACGAGATTTTGCGCAACTGCATGATGAGATTTTGCAGACGCAAGTTGTTGACTGTCTTGACTGCGGCCTTAGCTCGAGATATGACAAGGTGTGCTCACCAGCCCGTTCCACCCGCAAAGCCTTTTGCTCTTCAGCTGTCAATTGCTTAGGCTTGATCACCGCGGTCTTCTCTTTCTCTTTGGATTCTGCGGCCTTCTCCAAACTACGGAGATACTTGAAGTCGTTCGTTTCGATGTGATAATTGACCTCGCCTTTGTTACGGCTCGCACGCCCGGAAGCGTCCACTTCGTCGTTCAGAAGGGTGGCGCCATTCTCAGCGTCTGGGTTTATACCTGCGATGGCGTTGATGAGGTATTGGCGATGGTTGCGACTAAGAATTGCCTGATAGAAATCTTTCTGCTCCTGGGTCAGAGGAGCGTAGAGAAGATATTCCTTCTTCGGCGGTAGGCCACGCTCGACCTCTGATTTCAAACGTCGGAGAAGAAACGGCTTGAGAATAGCGTGCAGAGATGTAACGATGGCCGTTTTGTCCAACAATCCCTCGTCCCCCATGTCTCCGAGGTTGAACCACTGCTGGAACGCGTCCAGATCATCGAAGATGTCGGGCAGGATGAAGTTCAGCAACGACCACAGCTCAGCGAGGTTGTTCTGATATGAGTACGCATTCGGAAAACGTCACTTACGTGAAGCGGCGTGCCAGTGAGAATCATTCGGTTTGCGCTCTTGTACGATTTCAACTCGCGGATGAGCCTCCCGTCAGCTTGGCCCTCGTTGCAACTCACTTGCAGTCGAGGTTCTTGAGCCGATGGCCTTCATCTACAACGATGAACTTCCAGTCCAACCCGCTGAGGTGCCTCTGGTCGTTCATGCAGATGTCGTATGTCGTCACGACAATCGGGAACGTGTCTGTCGTGTTCGTAATGCGCTTGAACTTGAACTGCGCGGTGGCGGGTCGTTTCTTGCCCTTTTGATACACATTTTCGCGGATGTTACCAACGCCCGAATTCGATGGGGCTTGGAGACGTGTTGCGCGTAGCTCAGCACGTACATCTGGTGCGCCGTGGTACATCACCACCGGAATGGAGGGGGCGAACTTTTCGAATTCAGTTATCCAGTTGTGCAATACCGACAGTGGGCAAACGACGAGGAATGGCCCCCATGTCCCCTTGGCGCGAAGGTGTGCGAAGAACGAGATAGTTTGCAACGTCTAGGCTCAGCAGCGGTCATTCGATCACATACCTTGCCGAGGCCCATCTCATCAGCCAAAATGCCATTCAATCCGTTCTCGTAGAGCGAAATCATCCACTGTACCCCGGCAAGCTGGTACTCGCGCAACTTGGCGCCGGTTACAAGCTCAGGCTGGCGGAACGAGTATTGCTTCGGCTCACCATCGTCTTCCACCTCTGGCTCGGGCTGGACCTGCGCCTCGAGCTTGGCGCGCTTGACTGGCCTCTCGTCCCGAACATTTCGCTTACGCGGGGACGCGGTGGCGTTACCGCTCCGCGTCTCTCGGCTCGGCCCTGCTTCCCCTCTCTTCTCCTTATTGGCGCGTCGCGTCGCCGCCCGCGCCTCAGCCTTGGCCTTCTCGACTTGCTGCCGCTCCATGCGATCGCCGATGACCTTAGCGTAGATCTCCGACTTGCTTAGCAAGAACTTGAGGCGGTTTGCGCGAACGGCGTCCTGTTCGGGGCTCATTACAATAGTGGTGATGATGTTGATATGATGGCGTGATGTTACGATGAGATGAGGGCGCAGAGCCATGTCAGCAGACACTCGCATCAAAGTTGCGGGGAAAGGATTCACCTCTGGATCAACAGCAATAGGTTCCTCTTGATCTGGGTCTGCTGCTGGCCCTTCCTTGCCATTGAGGACGGAGATCGCGTCATTGTCGGTGGTGGCTGGAGTGCGTGGTGAGGAAGCCATGGAGGAGGGTTCTCCATCCGCAGAGACGAGCGATGGAACTGCAGAGGCGCTGGGAGGGCGCATGGTCATCACAAGAGCAAATGCGAGGCGATAGGTGGAGGAAACGGTGGAGGTGGTGGAGGTGGTGAAGATGATCAAGGTAGTGATGGTGAATCTCATGGAGACGCGTCTTCACCATACTACTGCTATTGTCCCCAGGGTCGCAATAGCCCTCGACGCGCCTCCTCGGTATCCAACATTGCTGATGGAGCTCCACGTGGTACTCACGTGGGTAATGACGTTTGATTCTGTAGCTATCACACGTGGAAAGGGCGGCCAGTGAGTGAACAGACCACCAAATTTCTTAAACGCCGAAATTACCGGTTCAGTAACATCTGTGGCAGAGTTGGAGAGGTTGGTCGTCGTCGATTTCGTGGTTCATGTCAATCGTCCTCGTCGTCCGACAACCACCACCCCTCACCGCCAAAAATGTCGAAGAACGCTGCCACCGGCACCAAGTTCAGGATGTCCCTCGTGCGTTTAGGTGAACGAGTGTATGCTGACAACAGGGTCTCCCCGTCGGCGCCATCATGAACTGCGCTGACAACTCGGGGGCCAAGAGTGAGTTACACGGCGTGCGAGTGCGGAACAGCGTTGCAAAGAACGGCAGGAGACAGCGCTTGGATTAGCGCTGCAGAGGAGCGCGCAGGTAGCCCTGTCGGCACGATATCACACGCACCATATCTGCGAGCGCGAGAGGTTTCTGCAGAGGATCCGGAGGAAGATGATGGGTGACCTCGCTCCGCATAACTTCGCGCCCTTCCATCCCAAGTTTGCGACTATTTCTAACCCGCAGACCTCTACGTTATCTCGGTTATCGGCTTCGGTGCCCGCCTTAACCGTCTCCCCGCTGCCGCCGCCGGCGACATGGTCATGGCCTCCGTCAAGAAGGGCAAGCCTGAGCTTCGCAAGAAGGTTATGCCCGCCGTCATCTGCCGCCAGCGCAAGCCCTGGCGTCGTCGTGACGGTGTCTTCCTCTACTTCGAGGACAACGCCGGTGTCATCGTCAACGCCAAGGGCGAGATGAAGGGTTCGGCCATCAACGGCCCGTGAGTCTTCAGCAATACGCTTGCCGAGTTGAGTAGCTAACAGCAGTGTCGCCAAGGAGTGCGCCGACCTCTGGCCTCGTATTGCCTCCAACGCCGGCACCGTCGTTTAGACAGGGGGTCTTCCGTTGGGGTATATTGGTGTACGATGCACGAGCTTCCGCCGACACAGGCAATCCTACACTCTGCCAATCGCAGCGAGGCGCGGAATCATCGTGCATGCTGCGTACCGAGAGATAGGATTCAGAAAACGAGGGCAGTGTTGCGCGAAACCGGGGCAGATGACCACCACATCACCAAGAGGACAAGACGGTGAACAACCTGGGTCAGGTTCAGAGCTTCGTTAGGCCCCAAATAAAGCCCGCGATGCCGGCGAGATACGCGACTGAGATGGCTGCTGTCAGATACTCCGACGGGACACCTCACCGAGCTTGTTCTTCGGGTGGCGGCGCGAGGCTGTGCCGGGGCCGTAAATGCCCATGACATTGCAGAAGATGTGCGAGATGACGGGTGGAAGGACTGAGCCTGCACGTCAGTAAGCACGTCAGAGCTTCAACCGTCCAGGGTGGCCAAGTCGTGAACGGGACCAGAACAGTGGTGCTCACCTGTGCGGATGTATAGGTACGACGCGAACCAGCCGAAGAGCGTGGTGTACGACATCTGGAAAACTGGGGTTAGCTGCTGCGGAGTAAACATACGGCATCCCAGGCCTGCGCGCCAGAGGGCGTCACGCGTCCTTCCCCCGTCGCGATATGTTTGAAGAGCGTGATGCGCATGCGCTAGTTTCAGCAGCGGGCACTGGAAGAGGACAAACCCAGGCCGAACCAGAGAGGTGTGCCGAAGACGAGCCAAGAAGCGGGAAGGCCACCGAGAATGGACACGGCCAGGATACACGAGCGGAAGAGAAGCTCCTCGGTGACAGGACCCTTGAGTCAGCTTGCCTTCTGCGAAGAAGAGATTGAGGCTAAGAAGGCCAATAAATGGCGTGCGTGCATGATTGCCCCCCGTTGACTACTCCACCAACACGTACCACAAGGTAGTTGCGCCGCTCAGCCAGCCCCCAACGCCACTGCCCAAAGTGGGCTTGACCAGGCAAGGTGCAATCCAGCCAGGATGCGAAGAGGGGGCCAAGGAAGAGAGTGGGCGCGAGCAGATACGCGAGGGGCATCTGGCTGCCTGCCGAATGGAGACCTAGAAGGCGGAGAGTGGGGACAAGCTGCAATTAGCGAGCAGTAAAAACAAGACATACGGCGCCGCGGACGTCGTACCCGCCAACCTGCTTGACTGTCCAGTACACGCCAAGAATGCTGAGTCTCGTGGCCATGCTGACTGCGCGCATGCGCATCTTCATAGTAGCTGGGTGGTCGCGGTGTCCTACGGGGATGTGGCTTGCCGCATCTTCAGCGGTGGTGCTGTCGCCCTTGGGCGTACGGCCAGCCCAAGGGAAGACGAGCGGAGCTACATACAAGCTCCCGACATATGAGGCCGCGAACACGAGCGCGAGCGCGTTGGCCGCCTTGGGGGAGATGCCGGTCTCGAGGGGCGGGGGGAGGTAGAGTGTCGGATCGAGTGTCAGAGGCATGGCTAAACCAGGCCGACAGTCGATGTTGACTGAATGCGTCGCAGATGGTGGCAAGAACGGATGTAGGGAACAAAGGAGATGGATGACGCGCCCAACGCGGAAGAAGATGTGGGGTACCCCGCAATCCATACAACCATGTCGTGTGCACCTCAACGTGTGCACCTCAACGTGTGCACTCCCTCATCGCAGCACCATCTTCAACTCCATCTCTCGATCATGGCAGACAGTTTGCAGAGAGTGCGTTTCTCACGACCATGCTGATGCAAGGCACACCAGCTCTCTGCGCAGGCCTCCATCATCGTGCGACGGCCGGAAGCGGACCGGGCCTCTCTCGACCGCGCGCTGAACGCATACAAGCAGGCTGCGGGACTGTTCGATGCTGCAGCCCAAGGGGCAGACGAAAGTGTACGTCCCCGATCACGCACTTATCTGAACATCGTTAGAACCGCGGCACGCTCAAGATGCTCAGCAACCAACACACCCGCTACGTGCGTGACGTTGAGCGCCGCATTGCCGCACTGGATGCCCCCCCAAACCCATTCCGCCCGCCATCGCCTAAGACTGCGTCGTCCTCCCGGCCCGCACCGCAACGTTCAGCGTCAACACCAGTGGGCCCTGTGGGGGTCGGTAGTGCCGGTATGGTCTTTCCTTACTCGTTCTCTTACCCTTCCACATCCCGCAAACTCATTCTCTTCGCTGACCGAAGCACGCCCTGTCCCTCCGTTTTCCATGCGCCCCGTTGTCCCCCGATTTGCCCCTACCTCCCCACTTTACAGCAGCTCATCGAGCAGCGATCCCCCGGACGAAAGCTATCTCCTTCCCGGCGCGATTCCCGACACCGGCGACCCCTTCGCACGATTTTGGGGTATGCTCGAGAACATGATGGAGGAGATCTCCATCCCACGGGCGTTGACCACGGCGGTCACATCTGCGACAGGGAGAGACGATACCAAAAACAAAAGCAGGAGTAAGAAGGAGAAGGAACACAAGATTGAGAAGGAAGAGCCACCATCACCATCTGAGTCGTTTTATGTGGTACCAGACGAGAAGACGACGGACAAGACCCCAGAGGAGCTGGCACTCGAGAACGCTAGCTTACGAGCGTCGCTTGACGCACTCGCTGTACACGCGCACGCAGTTGAGAAAGAAAACCGCGAGCTCAAGAAGCGCACCGAGGAGCGGGATGTTGCGCTCCGCAGCATGGTCCTTGACGTGCAGAAGGAGGTGAGTCCGGCGTCAGGAGAGGGGGCATCTTTAGGCCACAGGAGGCTTTGGAGAAGCTGAGGATGGAGCGCCGAGCAGAATCGAGGTGGTGGCCGCGATATCTTGGAGGAGATGGAGGACCCGACCTGGCTGAGGTTACGGTGAACTGAGCTGACACTAGGCTCGCAAGGCGCGCCATCATGAGGTACTGCGCTCACAGATGATCATTCCATCGGCGGAGCCACAGGGTGGCCAAAGTATGTCAGAATCCGCGTCCACGAGGGTGTCATGGAGATGAGATCGGTGATGACTCTCTGTCACCGCACAGTCAACTGGTGAACGAGCGCCGTAGTCCAATCGGAGTTGCCGCCGCGGGCTCGGAGCGCACCGCTTGTCCACACAAAGCACTAGTCAAAGTGGCTGACACCAGCTGTGCTGCGAACTCGCATCGCCGAGCTGGAAGAGGAGGTGCGGGCCGCCAACAAGAAGCTCGAGGATAGTCGACAGGAGAATGTTAAGCTGGTGAGTGCGGTGTGCGTTGCGATGTGCACCTTGCAAGAGTAGCTGGGCGTGCACGATGAGAAGTGGGACAAGGAGTGCGGAAACGAGGCATGGCATTGAACCATCGATGTGTGGCGACAGCACCGCCAGATCGGGTCATCCCCGCAAAAGGCCTCCTATGATTCAAACGCCGGGGTGACGGGTGTCACAATTCTCACTGTGGCCAACGTGCACGGTGGCTAAAGGAATGGCGCGTGATATGCTCCGGTGTCTGAGTGACATGGCGATATGCTGCATTCGCCTTCATGGTCAGCTCAGTTAGGGGTGATGCACCTTGGTGGAGACGAGTGTCGTCGGGCGAGTTACCACTGTTTCTGTTGTTGACTGTTGATGCTAACGTCAGAATGCGCAGCTGAACAAATTCAAAGAAAAGGTGATCAATGCCGGAATGGGCTGACTATAGTGGGACAAGCTCAAGGCGAAGAAGGAGGCCAAGGCGCGAGCGCGCGAGGACGGGAAGCACTGATCCATCTTTTATGCGGTTCGATATGCAGAGGTCGCCATCGATGTTGCAATACTTAGGAGGTTGAAGTCGGTAGAAGGAGAATGTGGGCAAGGTAGCGCACCACTCATTGTTTGTACATCCGGTCTCTGTGCCCTCTGTCTCAGTTCATGCGCAATGTATGCATCTCTTTTCCTCCGCCTAAGTCGATAACCGAGTAGCGAGGACCAGAGTAGGATTGTGGATGGGATGAAAGTGGCACTTTACGTCCGGCTCAGCAGCCACTCCTGCGCCGCGCCTGCCTCTAAGGTGGAGGGAGGGTGGGCGCGAGAGATTGTGGGGGTGGGGGTTTGCTCTGCATAGCCATGTCCGCTTGGTTGTTCTCTGCAACCCGTCTCCATGTGGGACGTCCTCCTTGTCCTCGACTCTCTGAGATCCCTCCGGGACCTGGAGCTTTGAGCTCCTCATCTACTGTGCTCTGTGTTCCCTTGTGGTTAAACTTTGAGCGCCGCGGTGCTTCCCACCTCCCACTGTCCCGTATTCACACGCCGGCCCCACCACTGCGCTGCCGCTGTTCACACGCCGTCTCCGTCTGCAACGGTCTGTTTTTTGGACAGTGGGTCGTGTTCGGCTTCGTATTTTGGGTCCCATGCTTGCTCGTAAGCGTCGCACTTCTCCCCGTCTCTCGGGATCCAAGCCTATTCATGGTTTGCCACATGCCACACGCTCCGGCTTTCCTCGTTCATCGCTCCGTCACATGCACCTGACCTGCACCAGCCATCTTTAATGCTTGCCCTCCGCGGCGCCGTCCCACTCGGGCTTGGCGAACCGCTCCACTTCTCAGAGGGGCCCAAAGCCTTCGGTGCTTGTTGCGCCGGCCAGTTCTCCGTGCAGTTCCAGCGCGGTGCCAGGGTCGTCCCTGGCCCAGAAGGCACTGCGTGACACCCGGAAGAAGCGATTTGGGGTGCTGAAGGCGATTATAACACATGGTGCGCCCATACATGCGGTAGTGCCGGCACTAAGGGTGAATACCACGGGATCGACGATCAGGAGGCACATGATTCAGCGGCGCAGGTACCATTGGCCGCCTTGTCCGACACCGCCGGCTGACAGACCGTGAGGCCCGTCGGCGAGCGACGACTTGGAGAGCATCGAGACGAGCAAGGGGAGGTATTACTCGGCGTCGATGGGAACCGAACCTTGTACGGCCCGGGAACCGACCTATAGTGTCTGCGACGAGAGGCATTGGCTTTCGCCGCCGAGGTGCGCGAGCTGTCGAAGGGTATTGGGGCGAGCTGGAAGAGGAGCAGGAAGGCACTCCTGCGCGCTGTGCTAATGACGACGCCCTTGAATTGGAGCGCAACCCTTCGAGCGAAGAGGGTCAATTGATTGAGCTGAGCGTGCGTTTCGGGCGGGCTGGTATCGCCGGGGCATACGTGCATCGGGAGCTCAGGAATGGACGAACGTGTGGTTCCCTTGGTACACAGTGGGTTTCCGTCGTCCTGTCAACAGATGGCCGCCACTGATCGGCCTCTCCGGGGCCGGCAGTGGCGCAGGGTGCGCAGAGGCCGGGTTGGGTGAGACGGAGACGGAGATTAATGCAAGCTCTCAACCTTGCAGCCTTGGCCCAAGCATGGGACTCCCGGCCTCACGTGTAAATGGGTCACGCGATACGTCGCACTACCCCTTCGTACGTACTCCGTTCCAGCGCCCACAACACACGGAATTGGGCAGTCCTGACGGCAACTCGCCATCTGCGCCAGACGTGCTGTGGCGCCGCCACAGGTTGACCAGGTTGGAACAAGTGACACAAGATGCTTACCTGAGCCTGTTTTGGCGGTCGGGAGCAAATCTGCTGAGCAACTGCAGGCCCATCGCAACGGGTGATCCTGTGATCTTGTGAGGCAGTCTTGCGCTTGGAACCAATCACTGGGCCCCGCCTCGCCGCGATCGCCAGCTGCCGTCCCTGCCGATCTGTGGCTGAGGGCTATGGGCCACGATGTGGCGCCGGTTCTGTACCTCCGAGAGCTTGGAGCGGGGCATTGGACGCAGGGGAACTGGAGTGGTTCGTCGTATGTCTCATCTCGATCTGGGCTAACCAACTCAAAGGTCAACAGTACGTGCTGCCCTACAGCGTAGGTAATTACGAAAGGCATCGCGGCACGCTCAACTCTGTCTACTCATTCCAAGACTCCGAAGGGGAAGGGGGCCGGGAACGACCTTAAACCATCGCGTGAAGAGCTTCTTCTCACCTTTTGCAGTGAGATCGCCAGATGAAGGGAACTCGACTCTGCCTAGCGACGTATCGTCATCTTACAAGCGTGACAGCTCATTTAGTCACTCGTTTGTCGGTGGTCAAAAGCAGTCGCCGTTGCGCCCGGAAAATTCGGGATATGACGCGAACACAGGGCTTGATTCAGCCATAACTGCAGCGCCATTAGTTCAGCGCAATCGCGACTCTGTAACTCAACGCGTCATTTTGTAGGCTGGGGAGAAGAAGACAGGCAAAGTCACCCGCAGGGTGGCACCTGCCAACAAGGTTCATGCTCAGGTCCTGTCCTGGCCCACCGGCGCTGCAGCGGCGCTCATGCCTTATTGGAGGTTGTGCTCCAGCTAACTTTAGCTCGGCCCGTCTCGACATTGTGGGAGCCTATCGGCGACTGTGGCCCAGTGCCCGCCCTCGTTTGTATAGCGTTTCATGATGACTCCGCTCACCCCCGTGCTAGCTTTACGGTTCGGCTGAGACGCAGGGCTCCGTCCGGCGTCATTGGTCCAACTCCGCCCCTCAGTTCTCGATCAGCCTCTGGTAGGTGCGTGACTGTTAGTCGATTCCGGAGGTAGCATTTTGTCATATTGGACTAGCGCGCCGATGGAGCAACTGGTTTCCAGAAGGCTTTGGCACAGGTGCAGTGAGCCTCCTCGTCCTGCCGTGCCATGATCAATGTAAGGGCCTTGTTTGCAAGCGCTGAGGCCCAGGAATGAGGCTGTTACTCGGAGGAAGTGGTGTTGTTCCTCGCCGTGACTGTGTCACGTGAGGCACGATAAGCGAACTGGGCATTGTAAATGTGGCGCCTGCAAGGGGGTGTGGGAGGCCTCTTTGTCCGGCGCTCTGCACATTCAGTCAGTGGCGGCAGAAGGGGAACATCGGACGGTAAACTTACGTTCACGTGAGCAGATGGTCCGGATGGTCGCCGCCTTGAAAAGCTACCAATCGCAGAGGTGTTGGTGTACAGCATTTTGACCACCGAGATGCCGGGGTGCAGATTCACAGAGAGGTATTCGTCAGAACAGCACATGGACGTGACGATGGCATGTCGCTGTGGACCTGGAAGTGGCATGTGCCACGCTGAGGCGAACAGAACGTGTGGGAGCAAGGTCTCCGCCCTTGTGCCTCTGAGTCGTCCTAACCCTCCGTAACTGTGTCGTAACTCAGTGGCAGAGCTTGTTGCCTGTTGCTTATTGCTTGTTGCTGAAGTTCTAGAAGAGATTGGCCGACATTTGCAGTTTATCCGAGACGGATCGTATCTGGTTCTCCGAGACGGACTGTTTACTGTTCCAGATCAATTTCGCGCATCTTGAACATTCCAGCTATGAATCGGACCCTGCGTTTGGCATTTCGGACTTGGGACACGGGTCGGAGGATCGGAGGAGCGAATCACGCGCAGATGAGTACGCCCCGCGGCGCGCATTTTCCTAGATGGCAGTCGATTTTGGGGTCGATCATAGAGTGTATTAAGGGGCAGTACGAGTTGCGTAAGACAGCTCCAAGACTTGCCGGGACGGGTCAGCAACTTGGTAATCTGGTGAGATCGTCAGATCTACAGTATGCTTGCGGCTTCCCCATATCCTCATAAGTCCAACACCGATTACTTCAAACAGGTCCATTGCGGTTGGTTGTGATGCATGTCCATATGTGCGCGGTGATAACAGTCATGTTGTGCATGCCGGCAACGCGAGGCGAGAATGATCCAGGATGAAAGGCTTGAGATCCCAAGAGACGAGAGGTTTTGTGTGGGCATGTGGGTTTCAACACGTCGTGCCATAGGCCATGGAACCATCACAAACGCGTGCAGGCGTGTATACGATCTCGCGATCACAGAATCGACGCTCATCGTAAAAACAAGTGTGCCAGCCGGCTAGCCGCTAGCCGCCAAGCTTCCCCCGATCGGCCCCCGAACCCCTTCCCCACCTCCCCACTCCATCCAATCTGCCGCGACCTTCCCTTGCCGCGATCGCCGCCGCGTCACTATCGCGTCACCTCGATCACAGCAATGCGTCGACACGTCACCTCCAGTCATCTTGACCACCTTCCAACTCCACAGAGCTTCTTCCACAACGCGGTGTACGGCGCGTACGGGCCTCACTTGCGTCGCTCCTTCACGTCCCGTATTCCGTTTGGTCGGCTTGATCCGCTTGACATGTGTGATTGGACTCCGTTGCAGTAGGTAAGTGGCCTAGTGGTCGTTGAGTGCAGCGATTTGCTGATACTCGCAACCAAACTGGGTTTGTGGAGCTGCGGAGGGAACGTCGGTCCGTCGGCGCAGTGTGCGCTCAAAACGTGATGGTAGTGTACCTGTCGGCCTGTCGGGCAACGTTTCCTGACGATTCACAGCTGGTGGCTAGTGGACGGCTCAAAGGATGTTTAAGCCTAATATATGGGAGTCGCCAGTCTGCGCGGACCTGCGGGGACCTGCAGTTGGTGCAGACGGAGCCCCCCAGCCTGACATGTGGTCGGTTGGCAGGGACCACCCCTGCCTCCATTGTTTGTTCAGGCTGCACCTTGTGTACTTGGCGACGACCAGTGAGGATGAGTCTCTCTGATCTCTAGATCTCTCTCGTGTTGTGTTGAAATGGACCAAGGCGCCGGGTGCCTGGTCTTATTCCGCCTCCTTCCTATCCATTGGTCGGTGGCTACCTGTTGCGGCGGAGGGCGGGGGGCGGCGGGGGCGGCGGCGGAGGCTGTCGAGATGCCAATGGTGAGGGTCGACGGCCATCGCGGCGACGGCGAGAGAATGCGGAAGGGTGACGTAGGATCAGTCTGGACTAGAGGTGCCTGGGCGACGGAGGCGGCAGAGGGGGAGATATAGGAAAGGGAAGAACAGGGGGAGTGTGTTATCCGAACAGAGAGCGCCAGGCACAGCGGTACTGCGGATGGAAGGGGCGAGGCTTGCGGCTCAGCAGCGCAGCTGGCATAGCTGGGCTGCAAGCTGGGCAGGAGGAGGACACGACAAGGAGAGCAGGAGGCAGGAGGCCAGGAGGCAGGAGGCAGAGGGAGCATCTTCATGCTTCATGGATCATGGATCATGGATCATGGAACGAGTATATCATTTGGCGTTAACTAAACCTGTAAGTCTGGCAAAGGTAAAAACAGTGGCCACAGATCCACAGATCCACAAGCACAAATCGGCCACGGAGCCCGTGAGGCAGCTTGTACGCTCAATGAATCATTGTACTGCACATGTGAGGCATGAGGCAAAACGGCAGCCGAAAGTGGGCTAAATATTTCAAACTCACAGAGCGTAAACCTAGGGGTGTCCAAGTGTCCCACCAGTTTGGCTGTCTTCGTGCCACAATGACGAACTTGCCAAGGGAGAGATCGGAGAGAGCATTGAGGATTGAGGATATCCAGGCGGAATGGGCTACGTACATGCTGCCTCGCTGCCTCGCTGCCTCTTTGCTCCCCTCCATTCTGACATCGCGGTTTGCCCTCACGAATCACAGATCACAGACTCTGGACCGAGATTCACCTCTGATCTCTAAACGCTCCACCAGGCCACCAGCTCATGCAATTCTCCGGTCTCCGGCCGGCCGGAGAACAGCAGGATCCGAAGGATGAGTTGGAACATTGCGAATATCTTGTGACATCGCCTGGGGCCTGGTGCGTCTTTCGGTCTGCGCGGTTTGGCCCGTTGATTGCTGTAATCTGTTAGCTGTGCGCCGTGAGTGATGAGATGAGTGTCATTCTCACTGTCATCACTTGAATCAGCGAGATGGGCGAGATGGGGGAGATGGGGGAAGAGGGAGGGAGCTGAAGAGGGGGGTTCATCCAGGGCACAGGGAAGTGACCGGATTAAGGAACCGGCCACCAAGGCACATCCCCCGTCAACAGGGTCCGGTGTCTAACTCGTGGTTCAGGAAGATGTTCCCTGAGGCTTACTCGCGATGCTTGTGGCCTATGAAGAGATCAGGGTACTCAATAGGGAAATTCCAGGGGTGAGCTACAAGTTGAGGACGTGCTGGACGGCCACGGCCATTTCGACTTGGCCTCCAGGCCCACAGATCCCCAGAGCTACAGACCAACTGCAGCCCATGGCCACATCTCGTGCCTCGCACAAGATGCTCCTGCGTTCCTGTCCGCTTGGCCCCATCCTGCGCTTACTGCGCATGTTAGCACGCTCTCGCTGCTGCGGGGTGATGGTTTGTTGTTCTCTCCATCTCCTGTAATGCCTCCCAGCATGCCCAGCAACTAGCAAGCCAGCCAGCAGCTACAAGCTACCAGTGACCAGCTACCAGCTTGCCCGCAATACCTCTGTGGGCGTTAACTCTGCTCCTAACCCTCCTACCTCCCGGCCTTCTGCCCCCTGCCTACTGCCTCCTGCTTGTTCAACTAGCCGACTGTTGAGTTGCGTGCCCATGCGCACCAGGCACGATCCACCATAGGCCACCAATCGGCCCCTCCTATGCCTCCCAAATCCCCAGACAGGCCAGACAGGCCCCCATTCCCCCCTTGCCTCTTCTCCTTGGATGCTGTGGGCCTTGCTCGCCGGCCGGCAGGCCAGCAGGGCGACAAGCCAGCAGCCAGCATGACCAAAACTCTCTCGCGATCAGCATGTTGTGCGCGGTTGGGGCATGTGAGGCATATGGGCGTGGGCTGCTTGCAGGCTGCATGGCATGTGTTCCCAGCCGATCAGCCGATCGCGGCCGCCTCGGCGGGACTGGATTTGTTGGATCGCTGCATCGCTGGCTCGCTGGATTCGCCCTTGTTTAATTGCTCAATTGTCGAGCTCATCGAGCTCAGATATCGGCTAGTACTTTTTGTCATTCGTGGATCATTCAGACGCCAGACCTTGGGTGATCTGGGTGATCGTGACTAGTCGACTGCGCGACTGCTTTGCTGACTGCTGGCTGCTGGCTGGCTTGGATGGGATGCTTGGAAGGTCTAGAGCTTTGGAGTCTGCCATCCTTGATCCGTGAGCTGTGAGACCTCAAAGCTCAAGGGCCCAAGGGCATCAAAGGGCAGAGGCGCGTGCCTGTGCTTGGGTGGTGCCCTAGTGGTTGCGTTCCCTTGTCCCTTTGGGCCCTCGATCCTTGATGACAGAGCAACCATCCCTGTCTCTCGCGTCTCTGGCCTCGCTCCTCTGATCCTCTGACTCTCTTTCTCCTCCTCCGCTCTGCACGCCCCAAGCCCCTGGCTGGCTGCTGGCTGCTTGCTGCCGGCTGCTGGCTTTTGACCATGCTGCAATGGCGGGCATGGCGGGGCTCAACGGCGGTACAGCGGCCCACGGCTCCCTTCAACCTTGGGCGCTGCATAGTTTGATGTCGGTCTGGCCGCTGGCCTACTGGCCTGGCAGCCGCCTGGCGGCTTTGCATATGATGGTCGGACTGATATGACTACAAGTGTGCTTTTGCTGCCCGTTCTCGTCGTCACACCACCGTCTCAAGTACCGTCAACCGGAGGCCATCCCAGCTCAACTCCGCCAAATCCACTCCATCACCGAACCCATAACCTTGCATCTTAACCCTTGTTTCCCCTTCTTCTCCTTCCACTTCCTCCTCTTTTAATTTCAGACGCCACATCCCATCCTTATCCCTCCTCCTCCTCCTCCTCAAGTCCTCACGATCCTCACCTCGTTACTCTTTCTCTCTCTCTCTCTCCCTCTCTCTCCCTCTCTCTCCTTCATTCATTCTCTCCCCCTCCATCTCCACATCCCTCCCTCTCACTCATCCACATCTTCGACTTAACACCCGTCCATCTTTACAACATCCACATTTCCCACTCTCAGTCAATCAGTCACACTCGTCCGCAGTTATCAACCAACGCGCCCACAGCAGCTACCCTTCCCCCCCCCTCCCCCCCCCCCCCCCCCCCCCCCCCCCCCCCCCCCCCAAGCCACCATCCCCTCCACACTCTACGCGTACCCTCTGTTCAGCAGACATTGCCAGCGTCTAGTCACCTCAATCCCCCTACCACCCCGCGTAACGCACTCTTCCTTCACCTTGTCACCAACAAGCACCCGTGCCTCAACCTACATCTTGGGCGTTGGCTACTGTCCTTCTCGCTTCCCTCTCGGCATCAGCCTAGCCTCATCATCTTTGGCCTGCTCTAGCTCAAGAACGCCGGGCGACTTGGACGCGCGCTCGACTCCATTCTTCTTGACGAGCCCCCTTTTCCTCGTCCTTGCCCTCCCATTGTCTTTCGGCGCCTCAATCTTGACAGCGGTGTGCGCGTCGGAGTTGCCTCTTCGCGCTTACATCGCTGCAGGCCGTCATCATCAGGGGCTGACATAGTCTATCACGATCATCAACCATCGCAAACGACCGCGCCCACGACGCCCCCACACCCTATCATACTCTTCCCCATTCTCTTCTCTCGCCTACCCAAACATATCCGCTTCCGCATCCCCCGTCACTTGGCCCGCTCGGCGCGCATTTCTTGACGATTTGCGTTTTCTCCCCCCTATCGCCACTCTTCTTGACGTCTCCATGTCCACGCACACCACACGGCGCGTATGACTTTCAAACTAGCCGATCAGCATTTCATTCCTCACTCGCAATCAACCTTACACCAGCTACCCAACCTGCAGCCTCACCAGCTCGCCGAAGTGTTGCCTACAACACACACAGTCTACCCTCCTCCCTCCTTCCTCCCCACTCCTCCCCCCTCCTCGTCTCCGCCCTCCGCCATCCTCCTGAATCGCGTCATGGCGGACGATAAAGCGGAGGATATCGCCCCTCCGTTTCGCGGCTTCATAGCCACCACGTACGATGCCTTGCTTGTTTTCGAGGCTGCCCGTCGGGGAATGATCCCTCGTGTTACACGACGTCTTAACGACTCGGAACGCAGCATGGTCCAGTCTGGCTCGGTCTTCGTCTATGACGAGCAGGAGAGTGGGATCAAGCGATGGACGGACGGGCACTCGTGGAGTCCCAGTCGGATCTTGGCAAACTTCCTTGTGAGCAACGCTTTAATCCGCAGTCATTCTGACTGACCAGGTTTACCGTGAAACCATCAAACCGGCGGAAAGCAAGGATGGCAAGGACGGGGACAATGCCAAAAAGGAAGGTGGCAGCAGGCCTGGGAGCTCGCACGGCACCAGGCCCGCTACTGCGCATTCGACACCAGGCCACGCCTCTCCCGCTGACGGGTATGGCGCAGAATCGTCCCGCATGGCTATGGAGGCCAACTCCCGACGCCCTCCCACTCTGGCCCATGGCCAGATGCGGCCACGCAGTGCCGCTGAAGCCGGGGGATGTCGCCTGGAGAATGGCATTGTCATTGATCGCCATCTTGAGCGCAAACTTGTCGGCAGCTTGACGAATAGCTACCTATTCCATCCAGGCGGCTTGGTTAAGAAGGTACGCTCAATCGTTGCAACACCCCAGACTAATATCAGACTATGACTCTACCAATCAATGGGTTCCACCAACACGTTGTCTCGTACTACACCCTCGAGGACGCTGTCGCAGGTCGACTGCGGCGCCCGTCAACCATCCCAGAGTTTACCGCGCTGGACATCAGCCCCGAGTACCTCAACTTGGCAAACTTCCGCTACCCTCCATCAATTGATATGGGTTCTGATGGTGTGCCTCGCTACCATGGGGAGCAGGACGATCGGCCGGTATCCCCCGCACGCATGCCTACGGCGTACGCGGACATGTACGGCGACCCGTATGGGCAGCCTACTACCTTTGACAGTCATCATGGCCCGCGAATTCGAGCAATTACCGCCCCAACAGTCAGCGCCGGCTTTTCGCCAACGGTGCCTTCCCCTGGCTACCCCGTGCCTCCCCCGTCCGCCGGCTACTACGACCCCCCGCCCATGCACCCCATGGCTGCCGCACCTCGGCCTTCAGGGCCTATACGGCCCAGCACAGCTCAGTCCGCGCATCGGTACGATCCATATGGAGGCAACCCTCGAGCTGGTGGACAAGGTGATGGTGCACATGCTAGACGCCTGTCTCAGCCGCCCCCCAACAGCAACAGCGACCCAGGATATTATCAACATAGTGACTACAACTATCAGCCTCCCTCTACTGCGCCTGGGGCGTTTCCTTACTATTCTGCTGCGGCAGCTCCGCCCCCGTCGCAAGCTCCGATGCCATCGCCGATGATGTCGCCGGGCTACCCCTCGAGCCAATATACTGGCTGGCACCAGCCACCAGCAGCAATGCGGCTGATGCCGCCGTCGAGATCTGACATGCTCCACGGCGCCGGCGACCCTCCCTCGTCGGCAGGCTCAATCGACAGCGCACCGGGGTCGTCGGGCGCACACATGGTCCCACCCTCCGATGGGTGGGCGCCCGTTCCCTCGAACGCGCCGCCTGCTTGGGATAACCATCCACAGCAGATGGCGCAGCCTTACGCCGTCACCCAAAATGATGGATGGCAGGCTGGGCTTGCGTAAGCGCAGTACACATACACGATCACTGCGTAAGAGGACTCGCTGCATTCGTGTGCGGCGGGCCGCTGGCCGGCCTCGTCCCCCACCCCCGCTTTCCGCGCGAACCCCTCGCAAAGATCGAAATCATACACGACGAACATTGCTCCTCCCTCCACACTACTTTTGGGCTCCTCCAGTCGACGGACGACACTCGAACTATGCACAAACGATCACGTCTCTTGACGGATCTCTGACATTTGGCATTACCCAACGCATACAACACCACCAACTACATACATGGACGCTGTGCTCGCCAATTCCGGCTGCGGCCGCCTCGCCCTTGCCGTTGGGCTTTTTTTTTGCAAAGTCCTCGTTGACAAGGGCGCACTTGAAACGACATGACACGCCACTCGCGCTCGCAAACACGCGCTGCGAGCATTTCCTTTGTCCCCTCTTCTGTCCTCCCTTCCTCGAGCCGTCTCCTCCACCTCTCCGGTCCTCCCTCACGTCTCAAACCACCGACCAACCTACATTCGTCCCGCGGTGGGTCAGCCTCCAGTTCACTGCCGCGTACGCGACCGGATTTTGGGAGCCTCTGTTACCCCCTGCAGTACTAGTCACGCTTTCTTACGAGTGGTCGTTATGAGATTTACGTTCGTTCATGAGCCCTGTTGGTAGCATGGGGTAGGGTCCACACAACGTGTTCAGAGGAGAGATCGTGCGGCTGGTGGTCTCTGACACTGGTCTCTTACACGATGATGGTCGTGGTCGCCATGGCGCCAGTTGGAATGTGCTGTCCAGCTTCTGGGCGAGGGTCCAGGTGCTTCCACGCTTCCACGTACGAGAAAAGGCAAAACCTTGCAGCTTGTTGTGCTGCTGCATAGTTGCTGGTTGCGCAGTCGGTCAACCTGGATGTGACTCTGGGCGGGTGCATCGTGCCCAGGTGCCCAGGCACCGCGCCAGCGCGTCACGCCAGGCCCGGGTGTCATGTCATTGGCGCCTAGTCATAACCTGGGCGGTTGGTCCCAAGACTACATAGGCATCTGCTACACACGTCTTGGACAAACTCGCGCTTCACCGAGAGGCGCGCGCTAAACTAAGCAGAGGAGAGGCGTTACATCCTAGTGCCGATAGGATAAGGGATGGGCCAGATCTAGCCTTCTTGGGGCAGGGCGTTGGTGGGGCCAGGGATGCAGGGCAGCGTGCTTGAGGAACGTCGAACCTTGAACTTTAATCTCTCGCTCTTCGCTCGACAGTTCCTCATGGCCCCCCTGCAGTCCGGCAGCAGGAACCACTCCTACGCTTGGGGGTGGTCTGACAATGTCCCCATGGTTTCACCTCGTTCTGTGGCACCAGGACAAGGCGTGTGCCACGGACGGGGCTTTTGACGGACGCCCTGCCCACGGCGTGGGGATACGGGTTCGAGGTGCGAACAGGCCTTGTACAGTAGTAGGGATGGGTTATCAGCGGCTGACAGCCAGTCGTGGTGAGGCAGGTTTGTGCCAGCGTTCGGTCAGGAGAAGGGAGGGTGCGGAGCTGGTCCTCAACATGGGGAGAACTCGGGGAAAATGAATTGGCGCGCTGCTCGTCGACAGCGACCGCCTTGCTGGCGAGCTGGCAGCGCCCGACGTTCAAGGTGTCCTGTATACCAACGGCTCCAATGCTGAACTGAAGTACATTGTCGCTACTCGCAGACTTGCTGCGTCGTTGAAACAAGCTCAGCCTGCAGATCTGTGTTATTAATTGCAGCCAGACTCCCTGCGCCGCATCGGTCTTTTTGACCATGTGCTTTCTCCTCCAATTTCACTCAACTACAGCCCAGCCCGCAACGAACACCTCTCGAGGTGGCATCTGATATTACGAGACAGATCGCGTCCCACCATCGCCGTCAGTCAAACTGTGGCCGCCAGCATTTTCCGCCGGCATTTTTCAGTATCACCATCACGGCAGCCTCGGCCTGGGCGTCGGTGGACATCGGTGCGGCGGCTTCTTGTGATATCTTCAGTGGTGTTGAATAATCATCCCCTTCATCCCACGTCTGGTCGTACTGAAGTCGCGCTCGGACCTCCGCCATCTCTTTCATGCTCACGGCTCTGCTCTTCTTTGCTTGGCACCGGCGCATCGCGTTCTGTCGCCCGCCTAATCCCTACCACCCTGCATTCCGTGCTCACTCCTGCTCACATCTCATCCCCAGACTCACCCTATGTCACGACCGTGGGTTCGACTCGCTGAGGGTGTACCCTGCACCGCAGATCTGCTCACGATGGCAGTCCTCTGCGCCTCGTCAACGGCAGGGTGACGCCTTCGTTTTCCGCCATACCGCGACGTCGTCGCCTTCGGTCGATAACGGCACGCAGGGCCAAGTCAGTCACCTTCCACCTTCGGAGAACTTCTGCCGTGGAATAACAGTCACGTCAGCATCGCGGGCCTATTATTGTCGAGGGAACGACGCAGGATTGAGAGTGGACTTTTGGCTTTTACATTGCATACTCACGCAGGAGGGAGGGCTAGAGTGAGTCGCGCCTGCTGGACGTGGCGGCCGAATCACTCGGTTCGAGGCGAAGCCCTCCGCTGTTCCGGTGGATCTGGCTCCGCTGCCCCTCCTCTTTGCGACGAGCACACATCGAACACGTCCACCTGATTACTGGTCAGAACATCACCGCACATCAACGGGTGCATGACCAGCGCGTCTGGAGGGCTGCCTTTGGCATCAGTTTCGGAAGCTTCCATGGTCGTCGGGGAATATCGGAGACGAACTCAAGATGTGTTGGAAGGTTGAAGCTTGAAGTCAGAGTCAGAGTCCAATGGGTCGACAGAGGGACTGCACTCGGTATTCGCAGCGACCGCTTTTATGCCCACGGGATCGACAGAGGGGTCAAGGCGAGGGTGTCACTGGCGGAGAAGTGGTTGGGATCGGGGGTAGCCCATCCACCATGGGCGGTTGACGGCAGTCGCGGGAGGCCGGGTGGTAGACAAATCTGCCGGGCTGACCTGTCGTCAGCCTGAGTCAGTGCGCAATGGTCAATGATCCTGCAACGGAGGAGACGATTCGGATGAGTGCGAGGCGAGGCGCAGAAAGATGACACCGGTGACGTTGCTTTGCCTTTCCTATGAATACCCGTGCTTGGCGCAACGGACTCACCCCTGTTCCCAGGTGTGGGGAAAGCCCTGCACGCTCATCAGTGCACGGCGAGGTCAGTGCACTGTCACCTGCTCACGATGCTCGGACTGACCTGTGACAGTTGCTCTGGAGCGCCCTGTCGTCGCTACTCGGCTGGTGGAATATCTTGCACGCAGATCTGACCGGCCAAAGCATTGCGAGAGAGCAAGCAATGGGCGGGTGCGAATAGCAGGTCTGGAGGCGTAGAATCAAGCTGAGTTTCTCGGTATGCATTGTCAAGCTATGTGTCGGCTCCTGCGATTATTCGGAGTCAGTCTCATCGTGGTTCCTGCCACTTCGTCGCCGCGGCTCTGGCATCTCTACTCCTCTCTTAGCGCTCCGGTGATCTCGAGCGTCGGTCGTAGTCTTAGTGGCGCAAGGTCTCGGCGACTGAAGCGAGTGCACCAAATGTCGACTCGCTGAGAATATCTTCTGTCAACAACAGTGAGTGGAGAAAGATCGGAGCCGGGCCAAGCCTCAAGCCTCAATTGAGGCCTACTCACACGCCATGGGAAGAGAGTGGTAATGCTGCGGTGCCGGAGGCACCCGTAGCCACGGCGGGGAGGCGTGCTCCACCGTCCACGGAGTCCACGTCTACTCGGCAGTCCCGTCGCCCAACAGCAGGCGGCGGCGATGTGCAACACGAGTCGGTCCTTCACCACGAGCAGATTAGCGCAGCGTCTCAGGTCGAGGGTGATGCCGTTGCTGGTGGCTGCAAACCCCGTCGGGGTGACGACAGGATCACACACGCCGCCGAGCGATCGCAGGAGTCGACATGGCCAGGTCATGCCAGGTCTCTAGCCTGAAACCGTCGGTCTCCTGGTGCCGTGAACCCGTCGGCTGTCAGAGACCCCGGTGGCTGGTACAGAACCGATAATGATTAATGCATGCATGTACGTGCCAGGCTCTACTTGGCCCGCTGTGCGTCTTGGATGACCTTGATCATACGGGCACCAACCTTGCCTGCCTCTTCGAACCGGGGCGCAAAGAAGTCTGCCGTCAGGAGGAACGCCGGATGCAAACGGAGGCACGGAAACGACACGTCGCAATTTCGTGTGCGAGTGCAATCAATTTCGACGCAGGGGGATTACGTGCCTACTGCCGTCATGTTATCAACGGCTTCCCCTCGCGTCGCACCACGAGGGTCTCATGGAGGTGCGAGCGAGGGGGCTTTGCCGCGATTTCTTGCGGGTATCACCATGCGACATGCCTCCTCTCGTACATCGAGTCCTCGTACGACCAGCCGCTGAACTCCGAGACAAACATCCGATCGGCGGCCCACCTCCGCCCGCGAGTGACTCACCTGCTGCCTCCTTGAAGCGCCGCTCGTACAAGTCAAAGTTGCCAAAGTTGACGCACTCGTTCCACCCTCGAGCGGCAACAGTGAACTCGAGGTCGTCGGGGCGGAACACACGGTCCGTGATGCCCGCGTCGATGGCCTTATCCAGCCTGTCGCGGCTACGGAACAGGTGCTCCGCAACGCCGATCCAGAGCATAAACACAGGTGTGCCCGCCACCTCGAGGTGCTCGAAGGGACGAATGCCGAGCGCGGCCCAGCAGTCGACCATGGCGAGCAGGGAGAGGTGGCTGTTTGGTTCCTCGACAGCGTTCTTGTCGTGGGTCCCCAAAGAGAACTGATCAAGCACATCCTCGGAGAGGAGGATGGGCTGGCGGCCCCCGGCCTCGTCCAGCTCGGCATCCTGTTCGCGCTTCCAGCCAAACACCGCTTCACGCGCCGCCCATACTCGCTTCTCTAGCTCGGCGCGATGTCCCCCGATCATGAGCTTGAACAGCTCGCTCGCGCTGCGCGCGTACTGCTCAATCTGACGCTGCGCGGCAGGGTTCAGAATCGCCAACCCGGCGTACACGTGCCACTTTGCCGCGTAGATCCGCAGCGTGATGTTGACCTTGATGACTTCGATACCACTGACCCAACGCGCCTTCTCCCATGGGTAACCGCCCTCTGCCTTCCACGCCATCCCCATGCTGGCCGTCAGCGCCGCAAAGCCACTGCATACCTCAGGAATGCGGCGTGAGTCACGGCCTGCGTGTTGGCCGTCACCTCGTCGTGCTCCTCATACGTAAGGTAGACGTAGCGGCTTTTGAAGGAGCGAAACACGTCCTCGACCATTGTGACTTTCTCCTTTGGCCCGCGGTGGTGGATGATGATCTGGCGTCAGTATGGAGGGCGAGTCACGAGTGACGCACAAGTGGCTGTCCCTCGGTTGTAACGCCAGGCCCATGTAGCGAGTGGACGGACACGATATCCACATCGGCGGGGAGGTACTTGTCGAATGCGACCTTTTCCGGCGCCTTAACGCTCGTTTGCCCTGCCACCGTGGCGCCAATCTTCGTGCTGGGCCCATACTCAGCCACCACGTCGCCGATGTACGCCGCCTCAACAGAGTAGATGATAAAGTCGGCTGCGCGGGACACGGCGTGGCCGTCGTACAGCGCCGTAATCCCACTCCCTCGGTACTCGCTCGCCAAGCGATCGTAGGCCTCTGGCCGATCACAAACAATAACCGTGTGACCGGCGTCGTTGAGGCGGCGCGCGTACATGCGGCCCATCTGGGGTCAGCAGGCGGCGCCGAGAGAGTTGGAGGGCATAAAGAACGGGCGGATGATGTAAAGAGTGGGTAGACCGCTGTCCTCGACCGGGGTCACATTACGCGGCAAAGAGCAATCGTCTGCTCTTGCGCGGTCCTTGTAGCATCTATCCCACCTTGTACTCACATCTCCCATGCCAATGATGCCAATCACTGGTCCAGTGGTGGCCGCCGAGCGGGGGTCGAAGCTGGTGCTCATAGTGCGCAAGGAGGCAGAGTGGGCGGCGTGAAAGCAGGGGCTATGAGGCTTAACAAGGCGCAAAGACAATGGGATTGCTGCAGTCGACCGATATATGGAACCAAAGAGGCGTGGGAGCGAGGCCGCGAGTCGAAGAGACATGTGAGTCGTCAACAACTGCTTCGAAAGAGAGGGATGTTCGGCATTCAGATCACGTGACTTAGGTGTGGAGGTCAACCCGTTAGCCCTCAACTCCGATGCAGACCATTATTGCATTGGGCTCCTCCGGACTTGGAAAGTGATGAGAGTCACATAGACTGCACTGACTACACTCAAAACGTCTAGCCCCTCGATACTCGCTCTACGAGTCATGTGAATCGCTACAATTCGTGGCTCATGGCCACCCTAGTTACACTTCAAGACCTAAGGAGGAAAATAGGACACACTCAGCGGCTCGCGAGTACGAGCGTCCGGTCCGGGTCGTCGAGCGTTGCTTCGGGGAGGTACAATGCCTGCGACGTCTGCGGTTTTGCCTGTAGGACCTTGGAGATAGCTTGCAGGAGGTCGCCGCGCCGTAACGGCTTGGTCACGTATGCGGTCATTCCGGCCGCCAAACACCGCTCTTTGTCTCCTATCATCGCGTGAGCCGTCAATGCGATAATGGGCGTCGCCATGACCCCGTTGAACGCCTCATACTCGCGGATTAGCCCTGTCGCCTCCATGCCCCCCATGACAGGCATAGACACATCCATCTGGTGTGAGTGGGCAATCAGTGCGGGTGGGTGGAGTGTTTCTGTTGAGGAAAGAGACTCACGAGAATCACGTCAAATGGCTTACGCTCCGCCTGTCGACGCTTGTATTTATCGATCGCAATCTCGCCATTGTCCGCCACCTCGATCTTGTGGCCTGCAACTTCCAGGAGCTTGACCGCAAGCTTCTGGTTGACCACATTGTCCTCTGCGAGCAAGATGTTGAGGACAGTATCTTTGACGGTGTCACCTGGCTGAACCTGGTGAGACTCAAGCGCAGGGAGGATTGCATTGCTGAGCTCCTGCAGGTTGAGTGGCGTGGTGTAGTAGGTGTTGATGCCCATGTCAAGGCAGTCCTTGACTGGTACTGGTGAGAGTATCTGCTCAGTGGGAGACGGGAGGTTCAGCAGCTTTCGCCGCGTCTCGTCCAGGTCGATGAAAGAGGGGTTGTCGGGCCCGCTCGGCTTGTTGGACGGGGCGAGCAGCACGATAGGGATGTATCGCAGGTGTTCGATGGTGCGAATCTTCTCGGCTGCCGCGAGCGAGTCGACGATCATCGTGTCAAAGTGTGGGAACCCTTCTGGGGCTTGCTTGAGATCCCAAACGGCGTTTGGCGAGTGAATCACGGTTGGTTTGAGGTGCAAGCTTTGCAGCATTTCGCTAACCCCCGTGTTGTCGTTCAGCGTGTCGATGAAGAGCACCGACCGTCCAGCCCACGGCGCCAGCCGTTCGGCGACTTGCTCGCGCAAGGTCGTCGTTGTTTCGGTCGTCATCGTAAAGTAGAACCGACTACCCTCGCCAAATTCAGACTCGACCCACAGGTTGCCGTTCATGAGGCTGACCAGGCGCTTTGAGATGGTCAACCCAAGACCCGTGCCTCCGTACTTGCGCGTCGTAGAGCCATCGGCTTGCGCGAAGGTATCGAAGATGACGTCCAGCTTGTCCTGCTTGATACCAATGCCCGTGTCGGCCACGCAGAATTGCAGCTCGACTGTGGCATCCCGCCTCGCCTTGACACGACAGGAAAGGGCGACTTGGCCCTCGGTGGTAAACTTGACCGCATTGCCGATGAGGTTGGTGATAACCTGACGGAGACGAAGCGGATCACCGATGAGCTGATCAGGTATCGTGGGGTCGATATCGAAGATGAGGTCTAGCTTGTTCTGTGATGCCTTGACGCACAACGTCTTGAGGACGCTGAAGACAGCCAACCGGAGCGAGAAGGGAATCTGTTCCATGGTCATGCGACCAGCTTCGATTTTGGAAATGTCGAGAATGTCGTCGATGATCGTGAGCAGCGATTGCGCCAAGCTCGAGACAATCATCAGATTCTCGCGCTGCTGGCGAGTCAATTCGCTCTCAAGTGTAAGGACAGTCATGCCGATGATACCGTTCATGGGCGTGCGGATCTCGTGCGACATGTTGGCGAGGAACTCGGACTTGGAGCGGTTGGCAAGCTCTGCCTGCTGACGCGCACTCGTGTTCTTCTCAATCGACTCGCGCAGATTGTACACCATTTGGTTGATTTTGGTCTTGAGACTATCCATCTCGCCCGACGCCTCGACGGTGATGAAGCGTGTAAAGTCACCGTCGGTGGCAGCGGCCGAAATCTGAGCAAACGCGCGCACTTGCGATGTAAGGTTGGATGCCATGGTGTTGACGTTGGAGGTGATCTCCTGCCATGTCCCCTCGATGTTCTCTACCTCTGCTTGGACACCCAACTTGCCCTCTGTACCGACCTCGCGCGCAACCCGCGTAACCTCGGCAGCGAAGATGGCCAGCTGGTCAATCATGTTGTTGATGGTGTTGACGAGGTCGAGAATCTCTCCAGATACAGTCACACCAGTGACCTTTTGAGTGAGATCACCTCTCGCTACAGCGGTAGTGGCGTGGGCGATGGTTCGCACCTGGACGGTGAGGTTGGCGGCCATGACATTGACACAGTCTGTAAGGTCCTTCCAGGTCCCGGCCACGCCGGGTACATGGGCCTGGCCACCGAGGCGACCATCGGTACCGACTTCACGGGCAACACTGTTCGTCAGCCAGCCTGCAAGACACACGAGTCTTAGCTCACCGAGTGACTTCGGACGAGAACGAGCGAAGGGAGTCCACCATGGCATTGACAGTGTTCTTGAGTTGAGCGATCTCCCCAAAGGCCTCGACAGTAATCTTCTTGGACAGGTCACCCGCTGCCACGGCAGTTGTAACTTCCGCAACGGAGCGGACCTGCGTGGTGAGGTTAAGCGCCATCAAGTTGACGTTGTCCGTGAGAATCTTCCAGGTGCCCTCGACGTTGGGGACCAGGGCCTGACCGCCGAGCTTGCCTTCCGTACCGACTTCAAGGGACACTCGCGTGACCTCAGCCGCAAACACGTTCAGCTGGGCCACCATTCCGTTGACAGTGAGCTTGAGCTCGAGAATCTCGCCCTGGACATCGGCGTTTACCGTTTTAGTGAGGTCACCACGGGCGACCGCTTTGGTGACTTCCGCAATCTCTCGCACTTGTTCGGTAAGATTACGAGCCATTTTCTTCAGTGAGCAATGCAGTCTTTGGTAAGGCTTACGTTGACGTTCGTGGTGAGGTCTGCCCAGACCCCTTCCACCCCATCGACCACAGCCTGGCCCCCCAAGATTCCTTGTGTCCCGACTTCGAGAGCTACACGGGTGACTTCCCCGGCAAAGATGGTGAGCTGCTTCACCATGGAGTTGACCGTGTCTTTGAGCACGGCCATTTCGCCTTCAGCCTCAATCTCAATTGTCTTGGACAGGTCACCCTGAACATGTTAGTGGCGGCTTCCAAAGCGGCTCACCCTTGCTACTGCAGTTGTGACGCTGCCGATCGACCGTACTTGAGTTGTAAGAGAGTGACACATGCGATTGACCTGAAAGTCAGCTTTGCACTGCGGGTCAAGTAGCTAGCTGGCTTACGTTCACTGTGAGATCTTTCCATACGCCTTCGACATTGGGTACATGCGCTTGACCACCCAACTTTCCTTGCGAACCGACCTCGAGAGATACACGACTGACTTCGTCTGCTAGTAATCGTAGACTATACACCTAGTTCATCAGCCACAACGCCACGCACGCCACAACCACCTACCATTCCGTTAACCGTGGTGGCCAGTTCCGCGATCTCGCCGCTGGCGACGACAGTAATGGTTTCGCTCAGATCGCCACGCGCCACGGCCTTTGTAACCTTGGCGATGCTGCGCACCTGATTGGTGAGATTTGCTGCAAGACGGTTGACAACGTTTGTGAGCTCGCGCCATGTGCCCTCGACACCTTCGACAACAGCCTGCCCGCCGAGTTTGCCCTGAGTACCGACTTCGAGCGAGACGCGCTCGACCTCGGTGGCGAATGTTTTGAGCCGGTCGACCATGGAGTTGATAATATCCTTGAGTTCCGTCATTGCCTGGCCTTTCACCGGGACGATAATCTTCTGAGAGAGATCACCGGTAGCGACGGCCTGGCTGTCAGTGCGATTAAGCTAGGGGCTCACCTTGCAAACGCGAGCAATATCCTGAACCTGAGCCTTGAGCAATTCCAATTCCTTCTCAGCGCTCATGCCAGTGTCGGCGACGCCGTTGGACCACGACTGGCGGGGCGACGAGAGTTCGAGGGAGGCGAAGGGTGACGTGGGGGTAGCAGAAGGCGGGGGGATCGGCGTGGAGCATGACGGACAGGTAGGCGTGCGCGCCTCAGCGGAAGGCGGCGTATGGGGCAGATGAGAATCAGCAAGAGCGCGGCGGGCGGTAGACGGGGGGGAAGACGCGTAATTTGAGGCGCGCTGGGCGAGGGCGAGGATGCCGCGCTCAATGGCCTGCTGGGACGGAGTCTTGGCAGCGGGGACGGTCTGATAAGCGAGAGAGGGATTCTGCTCGAACGTGCTGAGGAGGTTGAGGAGGTGCGCCTCGAATGGGGACGGGCCCTCCGGTGGATGAAGGGACGCAGCGTCCATGGCGAGAAGGATGCTGAGGAAGCAAGAGGAGATACCTCAGCGACTCGGCCGTTGTTGATCGGGGGGGAGAGGCGGAGATGAGATTTGGGTGGGTGGAGGGAAAGGCGCAAGGATTGGGATCTGTTCCTGTATAGCTGGGGTAATCAGTAAACGATACACGATCGTACGCTATCCACGGCCACCATCGGCCATGGGCCATGGGCCAAACTCGAGCAAGACATGTCGAGACATTTAGAGTTCTTCTGCTGCTTCGCTTCCCGCAATCCTCTTCTCTCCTCGCACTACTTGTTTTAAATCTCCGCGTTCACTCACAAGAGATGCAAGACACCCGATTAACAGTCAAGGCCAAGGAATGATTTCAAGCTCGTCGATGATCGCGTCTGACCCGTATCAGATCTCAAAAGGCCGAGAGGTGAGGACAACGCAAGGTGCCGAGAATGATGGATTCCGCACAGACTCGCTCAAAGGGGAGAGGGAGTGCGGAGAGAGCGCTGCCTAATACAGCTAGTGCTCTATCGCGTGTTGATATGCCGAGGGCCTCGTGAGCGGGGCTCAGAGCGCGAAGGGGTCGCGCGTGGGGCGACCGTTGGCTGTGAATGATGGGAGGGATACGATGTGCACGAGTGGCGCAATGAGGATGGGTGAAAGAGAGAGATAGATGTGAGGAAGAAAGAGAGAGGGTTGGAGGAGAAAGTGTGACGGTGACGGTGATGGTGCCGGTGAGGACGGGGTGTGTGTGTGTATAGTACACAGTGTCCGCGCGGTTCTCGCATCAGAAGCCCGAAGAGGGGGATGGGGGGTGAGTGAGGCCGGAGCTGGAGCTTGAACTGGCGTCGGCGGCGGTGGCGTTTACAGGAGAGAGGATGCAGGAGGCAGGCAGGAGAAGGCAGGAGCAGGCAGGAGCAGGCAGGAGATGCAGGAGGTTGCAGGAGACACAACGCAGTGTGCCGAACTGCGCGGGCTAAATGCTTCAACTATTCACGTGAGCCATCCACCAGGTCACCAGCTTTTTATTATGGTCTACTAGCCACCAGACTATGCAGGCTATGCAGACTATGCAGCTAAACGCAGCGTACGCAGCTATGCAGCCTCCACGCACACCTATTCCTGTCCAATTGTTCAACCCTGATCCTCTGCAAGTGTCAGACACCCCCCTCGGTCCCACCTTGTCAACTTCCACACCTCGCCCATGATAGACCATCGCCCATCCGTCCAACCCCCCGGCTGTTATTGTTTATGCTCTCCAGATCACCAGCGACTGCGATCTGCGAGCACTAACTGCATACTGTCTGTACACCCTCTGATACGGAAGCGATTTCCCTCTTCGGCGTCGGGGGGCACACACCACTCGGCAGTCCTCCCAAGTGCTATATGGACGTAGCTCGTTTCAAACCTACCAAGGCTCGTAGATTGCCGCTACACTCTGGCCGAAGCGGCGAGAAACCTTGGCGGTCTGACAGTCCCAGACACAACGAGAGTCGGCCGCCGTCTCGATCCCGTCGCGTCGGTCATTATGTGATTGGCGCCAAAGCGCGACCAAGCGTCACGCCCTGAAACTGCGAGGTCCGACGGAGATAGGCTCGGCGACCTACCTGAGCAAGAGAGACTGGCATTGCGGCAAAGAGTGTGCGGATTCGCTGGCCGCTGTGTCAGCGAGCATTGCAGCAAGCGGAAGCTGTTTGATCGCGCGAGGTGCATTGAACTGGAAGAAGCTGAAGTTATTATGTGCGCGACAGCTGGAAGTTTACGTCGAGGTACGATGCCGGTGGAGAACATGGTGTGAAGCACGAGGGGTGAATGAGCTTTCCAGGTTGAACAGCATGAACAGATGTGGCCGGTGCCCATCGATGCGCGAGGCGGGGGTCTCTAGCACGTCCAGCCACAGCCACACGCAAACAAGCGTGAAGTGAGGAGCATGCAATCTGCATTTCTGCATGGTCTCCGTCGTCATCATCAACTTGCAAAGTCATTGGTGGACGTGAATACGTAACTTAATTTGAAGCGCGCGTCGCGGGAACAGGACGCCGGTACGCCGGTTCCCTTCCACGCAACCTTCTGCTTCTGTGCGCTGCGCGTCTTTCTCCCATACGCCGCATGCCGCGGACGGGACCTCGTCTCTCCAAGGCACGCGTTCCGGCGCGTCCAATATCTGCATATCGACAAGAATCAACTTGACATGGGTGCCGCAATTCTCTAAGCCCCTCATGCATATAACTTGGACACGGAGGTTTCATCACAACAGGACAGCAGCAGCAGCATTGGGAGACACGGTGTGCCAAGGCCTCGGGGGTTCTGGCCAGAGAGGCCAGGGCGTGGCGGTGGCGCATTGAATTGACTAGTCGGCCTTTAGGCTCTGGAGCCACTCCGCATCTCTTCCAGCTCCCCTGCCGTCGCTGCCGTCCATCCATCCATTCGTTCTCATCGTCAATCGACTACTCCTCCACACTCATTCACTTTCACACACTCTCCTTCCCTTTCTCGCTCTCACTCTCACTCTCACTCTCATTCTCCCACATCAACTTCAACTTCGTCTCAACATCTCGGTGTCCACAATCTCACCACTCCCATTCTCAATCAGCAGCTCAGCAGATCGTTGGGCACATCCTTCTCTTCCGTTCTCTTTCGGCTACCCCGCTCTTCATTGCCGACCTCCTATATCCCGACCCTTCATTATGAAGCTTGCTGCCCTCTACCTCGCCGTCATCACCGTTGTGGCCGCGGGTAAGTCTGCGCTCGTCTCGCAGTTGATCGAGGACAGCGCACGAGCCTCCGCGCCCCCCTTTGCTGACCCCAGCTCCGACGTCCCTGCAGCACCCAATCCTCCGCGCTCCTGAAGGATGCTCTGCGCACTGCACCATCCCGGATGCCAAGGAGACGCAACAGCTCCGCAGTGTCCTGTGTTCGCGTGAAGGACAGCGGCGGTTGCGTGAGTTCTGCCCCCCTCTTTCTCTTTCTTGTCGTCCACGCCGTCCTCCCCAGCCTCCTTACAACGCCCAGCATGGCCAAGCACGGACCTTCTTCTGACGCCAGTCGCGTGCGCCACGTGCATTGACTCCTCCCCTGAAGAGCGCGCCCAACCGGCGATGGACGAGTATCGGCGCGTAGTGGAGGCTTGCGATGCTGAGCTAGTGAGCTCCCGCCCAATATTTGAGTCTGACAGCAGTTCAACGAGTAGCGCATCCCCGAATCCTCGGAGTACTATGTTTGTCATAATCCTGCTTGTCTGTACATGTATCTGGTTTCTCAGTGTGAACGTGTAGGGATCACTATGTCGGCTGAGATGAGGCAGGTGGGGTTGGGAGCATGGGTGATCGAGATGATCGAAGATGTGATGGAAGTTGTCACGTGAGCTCATGGAGCCCCAAGGCCACGACACAATTCGGGGCGGCAGGGGGACCTTCCTCCACTCTCCATTATCCTTCTTCTATCTCTTCTCTCTCTCTCTCATGCGCATATGCCCCTGGGTATATGCCCTCTTTCTCTCGCCCGCATGGGCTATGGACGCCTGGGATGCCTCGCGGCGAGCGGCTCTCCGTGAAGAAGTTCGCGATGTGAGTAGCGCGTGAGCTTAGCAAGCTCGTTCATGACCGTTATGACACTCTTTATTCACTCGCTTCATTTCCTTCATCACTCCATGCCGCTACTTCTCGCTTACACCAGATGTTCCATCATGCTTTCACAGGGTACATGACCTTTGCGTACCCCGCCGATGAGCTGCGCCCGATCTCTTGTGCGCCCCTCCATCGCGATCCCAATCCCGCCAATATAGGGATTAATGACATACACGCCAACATCTCCATGACGCTGGTTGATGCCTTGAGCGCTCTCCCTTTGATCTTGCCGGACGAGTATCCTGCCGCTGTGGAGCGTGTTGCGCGCATCTCCTTTGATCAGAATGTCAAAGTCCAGGTCTTCGAGATGACAATCCGCGCGCTGGGCGCGTTGTTGTCGACATACCAGCGGCTTGACGCGCTTCCAGAAGATCCGCGCGCGCAAGCCGAGGCGTTGGGTATCGAGGGGACGACAGACATTAAGAAGTACGCACCGAGGATGTTGGAGCTTGCGTGGGATCTCGGGAAACGACTCTTGCCCGCTTTCGACACGCCCACAGGCCTTCCCTACGCTCGCGTCAACCTGCGGCAGGGTGTCGAGTCCCGCGAGAGTGCAGAGACCTGCACTGCTGGTGCAGGGAGCCTGGTGCTCGAATTCACGCTGCTGTCGCGGCTGACGGGCGACGAGCGCTTTGAGGTGAGCCAAGCATCAAACAACGCGTGGCTTTGCTGTTGGAGGAATTGGGTTTTGAAATGCAATGCTGACGCTAGGACTTGGCTCACCGAGCTTTCATGGCACTCTGGAACCGGCGGACAGCCGAGGACCTCGTCGGCAATGCCATCAGCGTCAATCATGGCCAGTGGCTGCAGCCGGGCATGAGTGGGACAAACGCGGGCATCGACTCGTTCTTCGAGTACGCGCTCAAGGGCGCAATCATGCTCGACGATCCGACGTACATGGACGTGTTTCACGACGCGTACGCGGCAATCCAGACCCATGTGCGAACGAAAGACGGTTTCATCGTTCGTCTCCTCTACAGCTGCTCTAACTTCAGTACCGTCCCGTTCAGCTCCGCAGTCTCCGACCAGCGTCCACGTCAGTGATTGATTCGCTGTCGGCATTCTTTCCAGGGGTGCAGGTGCTTGCAGGCGATATCGAGTCGGCGATCCGCAATCACCTTATCTTCTGGAATATCTGGCGACGGTACAGCGGCATCCCCGAGTCTTGGGCTCATGACGAGCGCGTTGTTGGCTGGGCGGGGTGGCCAGGGCGACCTGAATTCATCGAGTCGACGTACTATTTGTACACGGTAACGCGTGACGACTTCTACTTACGAGTCGGCGAGCGCGTCTTGCGAGACATTCGGAGGCGAACAATCACGCCGTGCGGCTTCGCAACCCTCGCGAACGTCGAGACTGGTGAGACCGAAGATAGGATGGAAAGCTTCCTCCTCTCCGAGACGCTCAAGTATCTGTACCTCCTTTTCGCAGACCTGCCAAGCGCACCTCCGTCCAATACCGTGTTCACCACCGAAGGACACCAGCTACACCTCCCACGCAACCTCACTCGTTCGCCAACGGCTACACGAAGGGCATTACACAAACGGGAAGACTTGTACTGTCCTGCATACGTCCCACAGACGCTCGGCGGGTTACCCGTGGGCATTGAGGGGCGGGACGACTACGAGTACGCGCGTGCGCTCGTTTATGGGCCTGGAAAGGAAGGACTGCGTGTCGCAGAAGGACGGACGTACGATGGTCTTGGAACGTGCACTATACCTGAGGTGCCAAGATTCGCCTTCGAGATTGTGCTCACGCCATCTAATGTGGATCCCGAGGCGCCGCTGCCTGCGCACGACGCTGCGCCAAGCGCGACCAAAGTGTGGCAGAAGAACGACGGTGACTGGGTCATCGCCGATATCGAGGGGCTGCGGCTAGGATGTCGGTGGCGTTTTGACCGCGGCGGGTACGACGTCACTAACATTGGCCCGCACCGGGTTCGATATGGGCAACACATCTTTATTACTGATCCCAAGATGGAGGGGTATCTACCATCACTGCCGCCAGAGGCACCGAAGGAGGACGCACAGGACGTTGTGCTCCAGATTCGGCATGCAGGCAAAGAGGAAGTGGTCATACGCCTGCAGACCTCGACATCAGACTTTGGGCGGGCTTTTCTGCCATCATCGGTCCCGGCCGAGCCAGATTCGGAGGATCAACATCCCTTCTCGGCGGAGGTCCCACTCGACGCACCACTCTTCGTCGTCGTGCCCAAGAATACGTTGAATGGGTGCGCAGCAGTGCAGGAGAAGCGTCTCGACCCGAAGCCCAAGGGGCCTTTTGCGCTTTTCGTCGCCCGGGGCGGCTGCACGTTTGCAGACAAGGCGCGGAACGCTGTGCGCGCTGGCGCATCCATGTTGCTCGTTGGCGACAATGAGGCTGGCGGGCGCCATGTGCGACCGACGGCGGTAGACGAGCCAGCCTCGTTCATGGAGGAGGTAGCGGGCCTGCGAGTGGGGTTCGTGGGCCACGATGAGGCGATGATACTCGCGACGCTGCACAATGCGGCACCGCTCGAGGTGTTGCTAGAAGGGCCGTTGGCTCAGCGAGAAGGCACCGCGGTGCCGTTGCCGCAGCGGCGGGAGGGAAAGCTAGTTGTGGGAGAGCATGACCTGGTGAATATCCGGGTTGTTGAGGCATAGACATTATTGTAGCGACCAGCAGCACGGAGCACGGCACACGCAGACATGGCATGGCATGATCTACTGCATGATGGCTTTGGAGATATGGAGAACAGGACATGGAGGACAAAATGGAGGGATCTATGGTATGGTTGAGGCACGAGGAACGAGGCACTGAGCGCGTCGGGCTGTCCGGGCGCGCCGCCCCGCTGTGAGAGGGAGAGCTAAGGAGGAATTTTTCGGGCGACGGCTGTCAGGGAGAGTTTGCAGGGAGAAGCCGGCCGCAGCAGGAGGGAGAATACAGCAGTAGTGGCACAAGTGAAATGGCACGGGAGAAAGGGACAGGCAGGGCAGGACATGGACCAACACCCACCACCCGCATGGCTCCCTCGCGCCCTCGCGATCCCCCCGCTGCCCTCTCACTCGCTCTTCATCGTCCTCACCTCACACTCCACGCTCATTCCCCTCCTCCCCTCCTCCTCTTCATCTTCATTCTCATCTTGTCTCCATCTCGCGACTCTTTTCCTCCCCCGTCGCGACCTGGCCCTCTTTTCTCTCTCATCACACGCTGAATCGACGCGTCGCGTACTCACGCCGCCAGTCGATCCACGCGCCCTCCGACTCACTCCGTCACCCCACTCGCTCCTTTGCCATCCCTTCGACTCTCCTGTTGCGTTGCACCACTTCTTCTTCTGGCTCCCCCCCCCCCCCCCCCCTCGCCTCCTTCCTCTACTCTACCCATATCCCAGCCCGTCTTTGTCAACTCGCCGACTCCGGTTTCTACAACCCGCCCACCGGCACCCACTCCGCCAAGCGCCACCATCCAGCATCGTCCCCCCCCCCTCTTGCTCTACCTCGCGCTCGGCTTCCTCCGCGTCTTCCACAGCTCTCGCCCAACACCCGCCGCATCACCCCCACTCGCCATGCTCGCCCACCTCTTCGGCATCATGGCCGTAGGGGCCGCTGCCGCTCGTGTCGAGCCAAGGGGTAAGTTAGCCTGGGCGGGGCGGCTTTGCGTGGTGACCCGAGTTCCAGGTCGTGCGCGTCCTCGTCGTTTGCCACGGTCGTGACCTGGGGGAACACCTGCTGCATCCCACCTTCCCCAGAGCGTTCGCTGATGACAGACCCTTCGCTTGGCTGTCCTGCCCTCTACACATACCCCACAGCGAGCGACATTGTCGAGATCACCCGCGACCCGGTCATCTTCAAGTGGGACACGTCATGCAAAGTGAACACAGACAAGATTGACCTGTACCTCTACATGGCTGAGGGCAACAAGCTTGTCAAGGCATACCAAGGTATCGCGTTCTCCGACGGCAAGTATGAGGTGCAGCTCATGCCTACGTGGTGGAACAGGACAGAGTCCACCACCATGTACGTCAACATCCTCAAGAACGGAGGTATGGCGTGGGACACGACATGGGCCCGTGGCCCCGACTTCAACGTCTCGTATGACTCGAGCCGGTTTTACTCGGTCACAACGAGCAACGGCGTCGTTTTGACGATCACATCCGGCGCGCCATCGCCGACGAGCGACACCGTGTTCGAGTCGGTCGACCAGCAGCAGGGCCATAAGGTGTCCAAGGCGGTCATTGCGGTCGCAGTCATCATCCCCATCGTCATCATCTGTATTCTCGGCGCGGTATGGTTCTTCTTCTATCGCCAGCGCGAGAAGAAGAAGCTGCAGCGCTGGTCGCAAGCGCTCAGCCAGGCCTCCAACATGGAGTGGGAGAAGGGCGCCTTGCCTGGGGAGCGCAGCTCATCCTACGGTAGACCGAGCTCGCATTACTCCCGCGCCGGCCGCCCAAGCACGCATTATTCGACCACGAGCGGGCGACAAAGTATGGCGGCCTATGGACGCCCCAGCATGTCCAGCGTTGGCCGGCCCACGTCTTCCGTTATGCTTGACAATATGGCTGGCGCCGGTGCCGGCATGCGCGCAGCCTTCCCCGCCCACGGCGAGTACGGTGATGGCCCGACGCGTTCCTCGATTACTATGGCGGACGGCACGACGCGCCAGTCGCGTATCTCGTTTGCGGATCAGCCCCGGCCCTCAGTGGACGCGCTCCGGCAGCATATTCCTTCAGGCCTTTCGCATGCCGACTCGTACTACAACTCGGCTGTGGATGATTCGCCGCCGAAGCGTGGCTCGCCTCCCGTCGACCCCTTCGCCACTAGATCATCATTGGACGCGTTGCGGGACACCGAAGCGGCCGTGCTGTATCGAATGGATGGTGCACCAGAGCCAGAGGCGGTCGAGGCACTTGAGCCTGAGCGCGACCAGCGTCTCTCGGTGCAGCCGCCCACCACGTCGGCGCAACCGGCAGTGGCCTACGGCCCAGACCAGATGCTGGCCGTGTACGCGCAGCGCGGCAAGGTGAACGCCTCCCCCGTGAGCACTCCTACTCCTCCCCCTCCTGCTGCAAAGGGGCGCCCGAGCGCGATGAAGCGGCTCATGAGCTTCAAGGACCTCAGCAGTGGGCGGCGTACCCCGACCGGTCGCAGGACGCCCTCAGGGCGCGATACCCCCGACCTTCCCCGCGGCGCCACGCCCGACCTCCCCCGCGGACCCTCGCCTGACCCGGAGAGTGTGCCCATGCGCTCCCTCGTTCACCTCAACAACGGCGTCATGTCAAAGGAGGCCGTGGACGCGATGCCACGCCCCGGGCCTGGGGAGATGCGCTCCATGGTGCACCAGCACACCGGTGTGCTGTCAAAGCAGAAGGTTGACGCGATGCCCAAGCCCGGTCCACCTGAGGCGTATGAAGACGCTAACGAGCGGCCGTAGACGACGACTGGCTCAGAGTCTGGAGACCTCGTAAAGCTGGTAAGGAACCTCTGCCCGCCTGGACCTTGGGCCGGGCAAGCTATCCTACCGGGCCACACCGGTGATACACCCGGGTGTGCGGCAGCGCCGCGCCGCGCGCCGCGTGCCCTGTACGCTTAGATAACGGCTTGTAATGGATCATTTGGGATGCCTCTTGACGGGGCTATGCATGTCTCGCTTGTGTCTGGGAGTGAGTGTGTGTGGTCAGCCCGCTGGTGTCCAAGTGTACAGTTGATGAAGCAACAAGATGCAATGCAGAGAGGAGAGGTCGGAGTCTGGAAATACGCAAACGACTAGTTTGACGCGGAGACGGGCTCGGCGGGGGTCTTGCTCGACTCGTCGAACTGGTGTTAGAGGATGCGCTAACGCTATGGACGCGTGTGGCCTTTTTCCGACAATCTCACGAGCCCTTCCTGGCTCTCTGGCTTTCCTTCTAAGCCAACGCAACTACTGAGTACTCCGCACCGCTCCGTCGCCTTCCCTCTGCATTCCACTTCACGAGCCACGCCAAATCTCTGTCCACATGCCAACCCTCTCTCGCCACTCTGTCACACCGTAATCGCACTCACCTCACGAAGCCTTTGCCGCTTCACGTAGAAGTTCTGCCCGATCACAACGAGGCCATACACCTGGGTGTCAGCTGATTCTCTCGTCGCCTCCCGCGCCACTCCATCGCTGTCATCATCCTGGTCACACGCCCCACAGCCTCATACTCGCGGCCAGAGCCGCACCATGCCGTACTCACGCCAAATCCCATACACCCAAACACGACGGTGCGGTGCAGGAAGTTTCCGATCGAAGCCATTGCGGAGATGTTATGACGCCAAGATCGTGTTGAAGGTGGGAAGTAAGTGGTGGAGGTTCGCCAGAAATCGGAAACGGAGATTCTCGATGTCCGCGTCCTCGAAATGTCTGCACGATGATTCGGAGCGCGTCACTGGCGTTTCCTCCATCTCATCTTCTTGCCACCTTCCTCCCCGACCACTCCACCCACACCAACGCGCCCATGTCCCTCCCCCGCCTCTTGTCCACTATCCGCGCGCTCCCGCCCACGCCCTTCCGGACCGCGGGGCAGCCGCAGCTCTTCGACGCCCTCGAGGGCATGGTTGCGCGCGCACTCTCCTTGCCCCCCGATGCGGGGGATGCCGCGCTCGAAGCCAAGCAGGCAGGCATGAGCGAGAGCATGCGCCGACGTGTTGGCGCCGCGGAGGAGGCGCTCGTGCGGATCAAGGAGAATGCGGCGCTTGACAAGGTGAGTTTGTGTGAGGTCCAGGCGCAGGAGAACTGGCAGGAAGACGCAGGAAGGAGGTGTTCAGATGAGCTACGAGAAATAGGGCGTCGGCGCGGCTCAAGATGCAGCCGACGATGGTAGGCTGGACGGCGCCCGGTGAGATGGATTGAGAGGCTACCGAGCCGGGAGGACTCGCCACCGGTGTCCGCAGTTGCAGCGTCCGAGCTGGGCCACCCGATGCAGCTCGGAGTCTTGCCTTAGCTGTCGCTGGCAATAGTTATCGTCGGGACTGGACTCCACCGGGAACCGGACTTGTTATGCCCCGAGAAGTCTAGCGCGGCTCGCATTGCCTCATAGATGATGGCCAGGCGGCCTTTGAGGGAACGATACCCCGGTTCTGCTATGGTCGCGCGCGTGCGGACGACATATCGGCGTCCGGCAGCAGTGGCTCGTGCTTTGGAAGTAGCCGTGATGCTGGGAACAGTCGATGCACGACAGTGCCGCCATCCGCTTGACTTGGCAGTTTGCATGCCATGGACGGAGCTCGCGGGCTACACCGGGGCTCGCAAGCCGCCAACGGCACAAGCACGCTACAATGGGCTCTAGCGGGCGAAACAATTGGTCTGCAGTCCGATTATGGCAACTCTAGCTTCCTCGGGGTGTCTGGGAAGCAGTTCCCGCGCAGCCACAGACTGCGGCCTGCCCACATGATCCCATTCACAGGTTATGTCGCGCCACGGTCCGCGGACTCTCGCAATACTGCCTGTCGGATCCACTCTGCTGTGCCTGTAGCTCGCGCCGCTCCACTCCCTGCTGCCCAGTCGTCTGAGTTCGGCCATGTCCGCTCCCTACATGCTGCCTGCATTATCCGTTCTGTCCCGCTCGGCATCTCGGCCTTCCGTCTCTCCTGCATCATCCGCTGACTAACCCCAGTACCCCACCTCCTCAACACTTCTCCACCCCGCCCACGACCCGCAGTACTACGAGCGCATGCACACCGGCGTGCGCCGCTCGCAGCAGGGCATCGGACGAAGCTGGTGGAAGCGCTTCTTCCAGGTCCGTGGTGAGGCGTAGAGTGCCGTGTTGTGATATTATGTATACTGCTGGACTAGTGTGTACGCGATGAGCGGCTGGGATAAATGGGAGCGGATGGGGGGAGCAACGGGTGCCAGTGGATGAGTGGCAGTGAACAAGCAGCGCCGAGAGAGTGGGGCTCCTGCCTGCGTTGCATCTCGCAAGTCGACGGTCGGTTTGGTAGTAGTGAGATGGTGAACAAGTGTTTGTACTTCCATTCTTGACTCAAAGAGCAGGAAGGTTAACTAATACCTGGCAGCTGAATGCCTTGTGCTGCTCAACCAGGAATCCAGTCGAGCACTCGCATCTGACAGGTGGCAGCATGGTGGCCGGGAAACAAGTCCATCTCATGCGCCGAGTGTCGCCACCCACCGCGTTGCATCATATTTGCCACCCATCTGCCTCGCGAGTCTGGAAACTCGTGGTCGCAGATCCACACGCGGCTCAGGCACAATCGTAACTTTTGTGTCGGCGTTAAGTTTCGTTGCTTCAATCCACACAAGTCACGTGCTCTTTCTCCAATTGCTCCCGCCCCGCCTCCCGCCCTGGCCTCTGTGCTCGCCGTGTCTGCTAGTCGCCTCGTCGCCAGGTCTCTCTATCCATCAACACCCTCTGTCCAGCCCAGCAGGTCGCCGCCGACCCGCACAGAGAAAAAACCCGACATACAAAATGGTGCGCGCGAAAACGAACGCCGCGGACGGCGAGGCGCGCGCAGTTGGAGGAAGGGGCGGAGTAGGAGGTCGGCGGAGAGGAGTTGAGAAGGGAACTGCGCGCGCCTCCATCGTTTGCGGACGGACGAAGACATCATTGCTAACAACAGGCTCTCCCCGCGCAGGTCCAGTCCGTCGCTGACGAGGGCGTCGTCAAGCTCTTCGGCAAGTGGGACGCTCAGGAGTGAGTGTGGAAGATGCGAGAAATGGGACATGGACATGGACAACCCAGCCGGGCTCGACAACAGATAATCGCACGCGCGCGACCGCGAACGCGAGCCCTCGCGAGAGAGAAGAGCTGGGGAGGATGGGTGTGATGAGGGGGACGAGCGACGAGTTCGGCTGAGATGAGGTGGAGCGAGCGTCGAGAACTCGAGTGCACCAGACCATCGATGGCCCTTCGACCACAGCTGTCCATGTCATGTCCCAACGCAGCGATGAACGATTTTATGGGCGAATGCTAACCCTCAGGATCGAGGTCAAGGACATCTCGCTCACCGACTACATCAACGTCAACCACGCCGTCTATGTTCGTGAGTAAACACACCCAGGTTTCGTCAACATCTCTAACAGCCAGCCCACACTGCCGGCCGCTACGCCAAGAAGCAGTTCGCCAAGGGCCGCATGCCCATTGTCGAGCGCCTCGTCAACGCCCTCATGATGAACGGCCGCAACAACGGCAAGAAGATCATGGCCGTCCGCATTGTCCAGCACGCCTTCGAGATCATCCACCTCGTTACCGAGCAGAACCCCATCCAGGTTCTTGTTGACGCCATTGTCAACACCGGCCCCCGCGAGGACTCGACCCGTATCGGCTCGCAGGGCACTGTCCGTCGCCAGGCTGTTGACGTCTCGCCCCTCCGCCGTGTCAACCAGGCCATCAGCCTGCTCACCATCGGCACCCGCGAGTCGGCCTTCCACAACTCCAAGTCGGTCTCGGAGTGCCTCGCCGACGAGCTCGTCAACGCCGCCAAGGGCTCGTCCAACTCGTACGCCATCAAGAAAAAGGACGAGCTTGAGCGTGTCGCGAAGTCGAACCGGTAAACGACTCGGCTGGGCACACTTTGGGCCGCTCTGCAAGGAGCGGTCCGTGTACTTGCGTTCTGCCGGTAGGAAGCTCGGTGGACGTGTACGAGTGTGGTGTAGCGGTGGAGGAAGGGCTGGGATGGGCCGTAGCTCTTTCTGCATCGAATCTTCTCATCATGAAATTTGGAGTTGCGTGAGGGGCGAGGAGTAGTCGCGATCCTTCGTGCCAAACTCCATTATCTGCCGATCTACTAATGATCCTTGAGCTCCGACGCGCCTTCTATCGCGTTCGCGGGCGTTGGGCGTCCAACGCCAAAGGAAGACTCGCCACCCATCATCTCAGCTGAGCGGTGAGTTCGAACTGACAGCTCGGCAGCTGTCGACGGGATTAGTGCCACGTGGACCACGTGGACCACGCGGACCACGCGACATGCACGTGAAGGCCACCTGGGGCTTCTTCTGGGCTGGGGTCACTGTCGGGGTTGACCGGACTGTGCCGTTCCGCGACGTTTCCACAAGAATCGGAAAAGGCGCGGGTGGCCCTTTTTCGCCTCGCACATCGTGTCATTGTCTCGTGTGATCAGAGCATTCTCTGGACCCTCGACGCTATAACGGGAGGCCTCGAGACCCACCGCCTGCTGTGCAAGACGTTCTACAACCTTGTGTGTTTCAGTACTGATGCTCAAGGAGCACCCGCCTCGGATGGGATGAGGCATTATTTGGGAGCGTAACATCCGAACGGATGAAGCTGACAATTTTGCCGGATGCTAATCCCCATACTGAGTTGTCTTGGCAGCTGCGCTGGCTCTGGCCGCTTCTTGTTCTTCGTCAGCAATCCCAGCTGCGGAAACGCGTGTTCTACCATGACGTGCCGGCGACCGACGCGTCCGAGCAAATAGACTAAAAATATGTGGATGACATGGTGCCCCAGGCGGCGGCGGGAATGCGATATCAGTGCTGATGTGAGCAAGAGTGGCGGATGACGCAGGGGCGGTAGAGATATGGGGGCATATGGGGACATATGGAGGAAACGGTCAGCGCCGCGAGCCGCGGTAGAATGGCAGAGCAAATACTAAGGCACGCTGCCCGGCCTGCAGAGCGAGCCCAGGAAAGAATACCAAGGGCTTGAGATTTCGAGACCCTGGTAATAGGTGCACTGCAGGACAGGATAATATCGGGGGTTTTCAGATGAGCAATTGAGCAATAAACTGAGCGTCATGATAATCGTCGCGCTGCCACGCGTTTGGTGCAAACGACGACACGTGTTGACCCTCATACCTCGCTTGTAAATATTATGGGGGACAACGAACATCGAGGAAGGAGCGATGAAGAGATAATCATCTAGCGAGCTATGGAGGAGGAGGGAGGTGGGGGCCGTAGAAGATAGCTTGGAGGGCGTGTAAATAAAGGTTACGGCATGCACAGCCAGGCCCTGGTATGCCTGACGTTTTAAGTGCAGTCAAGTTATTAGACACTCCACAACTGCTGCCTGCCTTACTCCGCATGCTCTGTCGAGCCGCCCGCGGGAATGGCATGCCTTGCACATGGTATGGCGTAGCGCTCGGTCAGGTGCGCGGCTTGGTTGTAGAGCCGCGGCAAGGCGGCGGGCATGGGGGTGGGTGGGGTGCTGCCGGGATGCCGGCCGCAGAGGACCCATGCGAGGACCGACATCCTGGCCTTAGCTGGCCTTGGGTGGGGTGGCGTGCGTTGGGACGGGCAGTCACCGACGTCAGGCAGACTTCCCTTGAAGCATCCCATTCTTGCCGCCCTCGACTTTGTTGCACCCAGCCAACAGTCTGCCAGCAGCCGGCCGCGCCAGCTATCAACGTCAGTAGCGTTCCAACAAAAGCATCACCGCCGATGCTCTGCAGACGCCATCAACGCCTCTAAGCCACTTGCATCTATTACATCCATCCATCAACTATACCATCCCCTCGCCTGATCGCCTCCTCGCCGTTTCTCTCCATCTCCTCCCATTTTCACTACAAGTCTATTCCATCTCTCATCGGGCGTTCCGCCCACTTTTCACACTCCCAACTCCCCACTCGAGCTTTCTCCTCGCCACCGCCTCCCCTTTTGCTCTCGCACTCGCTCTCGACCTTTCTCGCACCCCACTCTAGTTGCGTCGAGCGAGCGGGATGGCCCCCTCAGAGGATGCGCGACCAACGCGCCCCGACTTGCAGCGCACCATATCTCGTTCCCACCTCCATTCTCAGCCCCACTCCAACAACTCCAATCCGAGGTCGTCGCAGCCAACCTCGCCCATCCCAACCCCGGAGGATGAGGACAACCGCTCGTCTTCGCCGCGCACGCGCACAGGCAGCAACACGTTCATTTTCCCCATTCGCTCAGTGTACAATAACCGCAACCACGCCGGTCCCCAGGGCAACGCGAGCACGCAGTGCGCGGCTCCAACATCTCCGATTCTAGGCCGGACGGACCTGCGGCGCCCGTCGCTGGGGAACGAAGGCACAGATCCCATGTCATTCCCCACTACGTTGATGGACATGCTTGACGGCTCGAGCCGTGGTCGCGGCTCGCCGCCGCCCAGGCCGCCCAGGAGTACTGCAACACTCAACCGTCGGTCATCACATCCAACGCCCCCACTCAGTCCAGGCGTTCGTGACGAGCCCATACTGTCGCCCCGCGGGCGCACCACACTCGAACCTGATGACGCGGGGGTCACAAACCTCGTCAACGACTTCTCTGGTATCATCCGCCTTGGTGACGCCCCTCAAGGCAGCACTACAGCGGGGGGATCCTCTACAGCCCTACCCGCGGTGACGTCCGTGAATACCGCAACGCCCGCCTCTGGTAGACCGCCACGCACTGGGCAGGCTAGCATTGGCGGACTTTTGCGTAAGGGAGCACAAACCAACTCGGCGAGCATCCGTGCGCAGACCCGAGACTCGGTCCGAGACTTTGTCAATGAGCAGGCGCATACCATCCACGTTGCCGACCCCAACGCCGCGGCGCCCTCCCCGGGGCCTGACCAGGCTGACGTGTCCAGTATCGGATCAGGCCTCCCATCGTCCTCCGAGAGCGCGTCTGGGTCCAGCGGCAGCAACCTATACACACCCCAGGCTGTCAACGCGAACCGGTGGGCGTCCTTCCATGACGCCAGCTCGGAGAACGTGTCGGACAGCCCAGCAGACTCCACATCGGTCGGAGGCATGTACTCAGAAGAGGAAGGCGCGCTGGCGCAGGAGCCAATTACGACCTTTCGCTTTCAGCACCTCGCAACGGAGGATGGGCACCACGTTGTTATTGGGCGCGAGGGCAAGCTGCAGCGTTGCGAGGACGAGCCGATCACCATTCCCGGCGCAGTGCAGGGCTTCGGTGTGCTCATTCTCCTAGAGGAGGATTATGAGACGGGTGACATGACTGTGCGCCAGGTGTCCGAGGTGAGTAACTGCTTTGTTAAGCCTAACCTCAGAATGCGACAGAGCTGCTTGGATTGTCGCCGCAGTACCTCTTCCGCCTTCATTGCTTTTCTAATATCCTTACCGTTGACCAAGAGGATGTGCTTCGCGACAACATCGAGTCGCTTCCTTATCCAGACGACGAGCTCGCCGAGGAGGGAGGCGAATATGAAGGACCCCAGGTGTTCCGCCTTAGCGGGTACGGCGAACCCGGAAGCGACGATACATGGGACGAGGAGACGTCAGGCTCGATGCCGTCGCACCGCCGTCGTGAGTGGACGTGCTGGGTAGCTGCGAGCCGCCCCAAGATGGACTCGTGGATTAAGTATGACGAGCATGGTGAACCTCTCCCCATTCCCGACCTCGTAGTGCTCGAGTTTGAGCTAGAGCGCGATAACTACAACCCCCTCACGCAGCCGTTCGACTATCTAGCCGAGGAGCAGATGGCGATGTCCGAACCGGTCGACCGGCGTAGCGAAATGGGCCAGTCTCACCGCGGGTCCTTTGGCAGTGGACAGAGTTCTTTCTCAAGTGCAGGACGTGCCAGCTCCCGAGTATCGAAGCAGCAAACGGGTAGCACTCCGTCCTTGGTCGCCGATGGCTCCTACGGTACCCCTTCGGTCGGCACTGGAGGTTCCGTCGGTACTGGAAAACCTAACGGTACTGGTGGGTCTGTGGCCACGGGTGTCTCTTCAAACTCACCGGCGACCCAAGCTTCCAATCCATCCGCATCAGAACTGCCGTCCGGAAGCACTTTCCCCACATCGATGCAGTCCAGTTCTGGCTCGGCATCGTCAAACGCGTCCTCCAGGCGCAAGCGATTTGGTCTCGAGGGCCTCGAGGAGGACCCTCCGCTGGACCGCGTGCTCGAGAGCACAACCAACTACGCCAAGCCATTGCGCTCGCTCCTTGGCATGCGCCGCGCTGGTACGGACGCATGGTCCGAGCATGATACAATGTCCGGAAGCGGCAGTGGCAGTGGCAATAGCGCACGCAACTCGCGCGGGTCACGAGGGTCCCGCGGGTCGCGTGGGTCTGGGGCGCGTCGTCGCCAGAACAGGCGAACACGCGCGCAAAGCTCATCAGACACACTTGATGTCGTCGCAGTGCTCAACCAGATCAATGAGCAGCTCGGCCGCGCACAGGACCTCGACTCATTTCTCAAGGTGACTGTGGGCCTCGTCAAGGACCTGTGCCGCTTCAGCCGTGTTGTCATCTATCAGTTCGATGAGGAGTACAACGGCAAGGTTGTGACTGAGCTTGTCGACTGGGGCACAACCACCGACCTGTGGAAAGGGCTCATGTTTCCCGCAGCCGACATCCCGCCGCAGGCTCGCGAGCTCTATCGCATCAACAAGGTGCGGTTTCTGTACGACCGCGACCAGATCACGGCGCGCCTGGTGCTGCGCGACAAGAGTGACCTTGAGCATCCCCTAGACATGACGCACTGCTTCCTCCGTGCCATGTCGCCGATTCACATCAAGTATCTCGCCAACATGCACGTGCGCTCGTCCATGTCCATCTCAATCATGGCATTCGGCAAGCTGTGGGGTCTGATTGCGTGTCACTCGTATGGCATCCACGGCATGCGAGTGTCCTTCCCTGTGCGCCAGATGCTGCGCATCCTTTCCGACGTCGTGTCGCGCAACGTCGAGCGCCTGCGCTACGCTCAGCGACTCAAGTCGCGCCAGCTCATCAACACGACAGGTTTCGCCGGCATCGCCGCTTTGGGCGCTAAGGCGGCTAACCGCGGCGGGTCGACAGGCGGCGACACGTCCGACTCGCACTCCTCGCAGGGGTACATTGTCTCCAACGCTGACGAGCTGCTCACCATCTTCGATGCGGACTCGGGCCTGCTCGTCATCAACGACGGGTGCAAGCTTCTTGGGCAGTGCGAGCAGGCGCACGCCATGCTCGCCATTGCAGAGTATCTCCGCATCGCGAAGTTTGACGATATTGTCTCGTCCAACCACATCACTCAGGACTTCCCGGACCTCATCTTGCCGCGGGCGACCGACACGATCGCAGGCATGCTGTATGTTCCGCTCACCAACGAGGCTGGACAAGACTTCATCGTGCTGCTTCGTAAGGGCCAGGTCGACGAGGTCAAATGGGCAGGGCGACCTTACATCAACGAGGACGCCGCGAACAAAGCTGTTCTTGAACCGCGCAGCTCGTTCAAGACCTGGATCCAGAAGGTGACTGGACGGTCGCGCCAGTGGACCGACGACCAACTCGACTCTGCTCGTGTCCTTTCGCTCATCTACGGCAAGTTCATCCACGTGTGGCGCGAACGCCAAAACGCCTTGATGTCGAACCAGCTTACTGCGATTCTGCTCTCCAACACAAGTCACGCCGTGCGCACACCACTGTCGCAAATCATTAATACGCTCGAGCTGGCTTTGGCGGGCAACATAGACTCCGACACGCGCAATATGCTGGAGAATAGTCACCAGGCGTCGCGCGCCCTTCTTTTCCACGTTCACGACCTGCTCGACTTGACGCGTATTGAGACGGGCAATGAAACAGCATTCAATGACCCCTTCGACCTCAAACAGACGATCGGCAACACCGTACGCCTTTACCAGACGGAGACGCACCGCCGCGGGATCAGCTTCGCTGTTACGATGGCCGACGACTTGCCACCGATGGTCATTGGTGATGCGCGCAAGGTCAAGACAGTTGTGTCCAACCTCGTCGCCAACGCGGTGAAGTACACGCGCGAGGGTGCGATAGAGGTGACCTGCCGGCTTGAGCCAGGTGCGGAACATGGTCCGGACTCGGCATCGATAGAAGTTATCGTCAGCGACACGGGATGTGGCATCCCACCCGAAAAGCTCGAGGCTATGTTCGTCACCCTCGAGGGCGCAGAGGACCGGGCTGAAGGAGGCGGTGTCGGACTTGGCCTCGCCGTCGTCGCGCGCATCGTGGAGCAGCTGCACGGCCAGCTGCGCGCTGAATCTGAGGTCGGCAAGGGCACCAAGTTCTACTTTACGTGCAGCATGGGCGTCAACGCCGACTTCCACCCCATGGGCTCAGCTTCAGGTGGTTTTGAGCAGGAGACGACAGCGAGCCCAAACGCTGATCAGGGAATGCTGGGCCTGCAGCGTTCTGCAGCAATGGCGACGGCGTCGCTCGACCATACCAAACTTAGATCCCGTGATGGCGCGGCAACGCCCGGCGACAAGAGGTCTCCCACCTCGACGCCCGCGCCTGGTGCCGCCGAGTCTGAGCCCGTGTCGCCCACGCGATCCAAGGTGGGGCCAAAGGGTGGGCCGCAGCTGCGCATCCTGGTGGTGGAGGACGACGTGATCAATTCGCAGATCCTACAAAAGCGCCTCAAGATGGACAGCCACCTTGTGCGCACGGTCGAGAACGGGCAGGAGGCGGTGGACCTGATCGCGTCTGACTGGGACTTCGACGCGATTATAATGGACATCCAGATGCCTATTATGGACGGATACGAGGCGGCGGCGGCGATTCGCGGGCTCGAGGCCAAGACGACGCCGCCGTCCGACATCGACCCCGTGCGGGTGGACGGGCGGATGCCAATCTTTGCGCTGTCGGCCAGCTTGTACGAGGACGACCGCGTGCACCTAGGAACGCACTTTGACGGGTGGCTACTCAAACCGCTGCAATTCAACCGGCTGCGCGCACTGCTCACCGCGCTGCAGGACGAGGACAAGCGCGCCGAGGAAATATACCAGCCGGGGCAATGGGAGCGTGGGGGATACTTCCGGGACGGGCGGAAATTGTAGCATCGGTATATGGGTACGGTTATGAGGCTAGGTGATCAGAGTAGTATTAGTCAGTAAGGCGTGGGTATGGGTTTATGGGATGTGGTGAGCTAGTGTAGCAGACGGATAGGGGCTAGGTACATACAGTCGCGACTGTGTAATGCCACAAGAGTAGGTGTATATGTGACGGCAGATGCCAATTGAAGACACGACTGCCACAGTGGGACAATCAGAGCGCTGGTGGGAATACGGTGGTGCTGCGCGTGCCACCAGCGAGCGGGACGTGCACAGTATGACTGTACCGGTGCCACCAGTGTCAACGCAGTGCACTCCCACGCCACACTTGCCAGTCCGCGCCGCAATACCACGATGCGGCATACCTTCTTGCCTTAAACTGTCTATTCCGCGGGACCGCTCGCGGAGATCCATATCGCGGCCGCCGCCGTGTATGGCCATCCCCCTCCCCTCACTTTCCTCTCTTCCTTCACGTCTCCCGAGACGGATTCCGACGCCTCATCCTCCCTGCGGCCAGCCCGCCAAACCTAATCTCGCCACATCGCCACCCGAAGCTGCAGCCGCGTTCCTCCAACTCCGCCCCGAATCCAGATACTGCTCGCCAAAAACAGAGCTACAGTTGAGTGGGTCCCAGACATGACTGCCAGAGTTCGACAGCTCTGTCGCCGCGGGAAAGGAGAGGCCGCAGGCCGCACGCCGAGGCCGAAGCGGAATGTCCCCGGGCCAGGAATCTCCGCGTGCCTGAGTACCTCGACGGACTTTCCATCCCGATTTCCACCGCCGGTATCCCGGCGTATATCCGCCAGACACCGGCCGCGGTGTTTGGTTCCTCGGCGATCGGCGGAAAGTTGTGCGTGTGCAGTCGCCGGGCCGCTGCGGTGCGCGGCACTGCGGAGATAGGGACGCAGGGTGCTGATGATCGGCGAGAAGGCATTGTGCGAGGAACGGAAGGCAAGCGCGAGCTGTAAATAGATGTGGCGGCGAGGGCAAGGGAGAGAGGGTGGCTGTAGAAGGTTGGGCGCGATGCTTGTCAGTGCGGCCATGGTCGCGCTTCACAGCCCGCGCATGGTCATCGGTGCATCTAATGGTTGTCCTGGTACATACAGGTGGTGGTACACGGCATATCTAACTCGAGACTAGACTGATGATGCGGAAGTCGTTGCCTCCGCCAACCGTGTCTGTTTCGTTGAGGTTCAGGCAGTTGACACGATGCGTGCCCTCGGGCAGGTTTTCCGCGAGTGTGGTATATTGGCCGATGTTGCTGGCGTCAGCAGAAGACTTTGGAGCCGACCGCGGGCGTGGCGCAATCACGCGCTCTCTCGCAGCTTGCTCCGCTGCACAGAAATACTCACAGCCAGTCGCGCTTCCAGTACCCGTTCAAGAGCACTCCCTCCTTGCCCGCCGCCTCGTCGTCGTCAATCCAGCAGCGAATCTTGCCGAGACTCATCCGTTCACTGCGAAGATAGAACATCTTGATCGTGCCGGCGTGCACGGGAATCTCAAAGGTGACCCGCGAGCCCGGCTCGCGTGTCATGACGTAAGGCTTCTCATTGTGGTCTGGGTGCAGCCAGTACTCCCACCCATCGGCAAACGTTGGCGTGAGGTTGAAGCGCGCTTCGGTGGCCTTCGTGGAGAGACATGTTGGCTGAAATACGGGGCGGCGTACGTCAGGGTTGGCATTCCACTCGGCCATGAACTCGAGGCGCGGGACAAGGCCGTGCTCGACGCGCCGCTGCCACACGCCCGGGCGGCGGTAGCTCGCCTTATGCTCGCCCTCTTGCCCTTCTTCCACGTCCGAGGGACGCTCGTACGGTTTGATCCACGTCTTCTCCTCCTCGGACCACCCCTCCTCAAGCGCGGCCAGCGCGCTTGGCACATTCTCGTATAGCTTGTTGACCTGCTCATCGTACGATGCCTCCCCCGTTTCCTCCAGCACTGACTGGATCGCGGGCTTGGGCGGGGGTAGTCGAAATGCTGGGCTGCTCACGAGCGCGCATGTAGTGTCCCTCAACAGCGACGCGATGATGTTGGACGCGTCGCGGTGGCCTCGGGCGTTGGTATGCCGGTAGTCCCTGTTGCCCCATCCATCTTTGTCAAAGTACTGGAACATGAGATCGGGGAAGCGCGCAAAGTGAACCAAGGTAGGGAGACGTTGGTTGAGGAAGGGGACGTCGTAGTACTGCGCAAGAGGAAGATGGTATCGTCCCCCGGCGCCGCCCATGCCACCGCCCGTGAAGCCGAGGACCTCGAGGATGATAACCGCCGGCTGGGAGTCGAGATCGAGCAGCCCGCGCACCAGATCCTCCATCGTATTGAGATTATCGGGTTCGCCGACGTCATTGACCCCTAGTTCCACGATGACAAGGTCTACGTCCGTGGGAATGTGCAATGCGAAGCAGAACGAGAAGTAGTCGGAGCCTGTCGCCGGAGACGCGCCATTGATGACCGGAATGTCTGTTTTTGGTGCGTAAAAGGCCTTGAAGAACTCGTGTAGAAGCAGGGGCCATCGCTCGTTGTCTTGCACACCGTGTCCTGCGGTGACTGGGGTTAGCAAGGGGCGGTGAGTCGTGCGCCGTTTTCATCCGAGGTCTGTGCGCACGAGTGCAAGGCCGTATCAAGCTAAACTTGATACAGATCACAGGAGCCCAGCACGCTCGGTACAGCAGCGAGGTACGTACCACTTCCGCCAATAATGCCCACAGCAACCTTTTCGCCGCGCATAATCTTGTAGATGACGCGTTCGAGGCGGGCCAGTGAACCTGCCGTCAGCCAAAGGAGGGTAAGCCAAAGGGGCAAGACTAGAGGACAAGACGCACCCTCATATCCACGCGTCATGCGAAGATTTGCGCGCGAGTATTGCGCCTCGAAGGGATCGGGGCGCTTGCACTCTGAGCGGAGATGGTTGAGGCGGCGCCGCATGTCACCGCTCAGGATTTGGACATCGGAGGCTACCTCAGGCGCCTGGTCTCGCCATGGAACGTATGAGGCGACGGTCTCAGAGCCCCACGCGTGTGCTAGCACGAAGATGAACACGGCGGCGACGATGATGGCGTAGATGAGCGGCCGGCGCGCCATGGTGGTCGGGAGGGTCGGGAGCGCGACCATTTTGGACCGGGTTGGGCGCCAAGAAAAAGGGGCGCCAAGGCCTCCAGTCGAGATGGGGAGGGAGTGGAGCGCGCCGCGGCGAGGAGAGAGAGTATTGGCGCGGCGCGTGATGTCTGGATGTATTAGGTGAAGTGTGGGATGAGGATAACGGGAGAGGAGATTAGGTAGTTAGAGATGGAGTATGAAGTTGTGGAGGAAGGTTGATGTGATGTGATGTGGCGTGGCGATGTGGAGAATGTGAGGCGCAGCTCGGCGATCAGCACGGCCGGACACGCCACCTCCACTCCGTCACCCCCAAAACGGGAATCCCTCCCCACCATCAGGCACGTCGCGTGGAGAGCGTGTCACCCAACGTCATACTGATACTACTACTGACAATGACACCATGACACTCTGACCACATCCAACCACATTTCGTGTTTTACGACGTTTTACATCAGGCTGAGATCTCTCCATCTTTTGCGTCATGAAACGAGAACGAGAGAGGAAACCCACAAAAACAAAAAGAACATTCGCGTGCTTCCACCACGGAGATGGCAGTCCACTCCGCAGCACAATCCTCACTTGTTATCGTGGATCCCCCGAACGCGGATTCACCGCGACTGGCGACATCATGGTTGTGCCGCGAGTCTCATAACCATTCAATAGACCAATAATGCGTGAATTGACAGCATGGCGTATGACGTGAAACACTCAACATGTGCATTTATGCGCATGTGCGCAATTGCGGTGACTGCCACGTTGCCACATGCCACATGATCAACCACACTGCCGAGCGCAGTCTCATTAGCCGGTATGTGGCTGATTTTGTCGATCATGCACGCTCGAAATCAGGTCCGAACCGTGAGATCGGTCGGGGTTCTGAATTCTGAATGGAAGCTTAGTTCAAGTGCGCAGTAGAACAAGCCATCGCACGGGAGTAGGGGAGGCTGATCGAACGCAAGTCTGCAGGCACTGCAGTGGAACGCAGGAGTTAGCGGCGGGCCAGAGCCGCGATCGGATTGACTTTCGTTCCTCTTCATCGATGCCCGATGTACCGCAGGGCAGTTCGGGATGCTCAGAGTTGCCCTCGCCCTCACATCTTCGTCCTCGCCTTTGTCCTCGTTCTCGACCTCGACCTTAACCCCATTCTTAACTTCGTCCTCGTCCTCGTCGATCCCACGGACCGGCAATCGCACGAATCGGATGGCATCCGACATCGCTTATGCCATGCCGAGAGGCGACAGTAGCGTACGTTGGATTCAAGAAGACGGTCACCCGTTCCTCCATGTCGATATGCCATAATTACATGATATTTCATGGGCGTGGAATCCGTGGGATTCGCGGGATCCATGGGAGAGTTTTGTCTCCTGGTAGCGCGGTTTGGTGACTGGTGCCAGCTTTCCAATTCCCAAGTTGCGGGCTCCAGCCCATGCCTGGAATGCCGGAACTCGGTCTGACCCTCCACTACACCGACTCTATTCTCCCCTCGACGTTTCGGAACACTTGCGCGACCGGGAACGCTCGTACTCCCACAGTGCATTGCGCACTTGCACTTGTGTCGTTGAATCTGGCCGGGCCAGCCAGTCTTGGCTGATGCGAAACTCGAGGGTATTGAGAACAATGCGACGTGCCTTGCAAAGATGAGGATGACAAGGAACGTGTCGCAGGCGTGCGGTCTACCTGACGCTGACCGAGGCGGAGATGTGCCTCCGTGTCCGAGGTGACAACCCCCGGGGTTCCTGAAAATCGGTGCATCTATCCGGTGCCGTGAGATTATGAGAGCCGAAGTTTGTCGAGACTCTATCGCGTCGTGTGTACCTCGTTTGTCGTGCGTCGCACGCTGAGTGTATGAGTGTTGAGCGTAAGGCGTCGGGCGTCGCGCAGCGCGTGTAGACAAGCAAGACGCTTGGTGCAGGGACTCGTTTCTGGGGGGGCGAATAGAGAAGGGCACGGGCAATGTGAGCATGCTCGAGCCAGAGCCAGATAATCCAGATAATTGCTGACGCGCATGGCATGGAACGTTGAGCGCCAGCGCCGGGCGCCGGGCCTCCCCCCGGGCACCGACCGGCCGTGTTACTCCCCGGTGGGCACCGCAACTTGGCAATACGGCTCCATGGCTCTGACACGGCCTGCACTGGCTAGGAGAATGCATGAGACGATGGCAAAGGATGAAGGGGGATGGGAATGGATGGATAAGTATGGGGATGGGACGAGGCCGGCGGGCATTTTAGGGCGGTGCGGCGCGCGCAGACAAGCGGTTCAGTGCGGTTCCGAGAAGATGGCCAGATCTGGCGGAAGTTGCACTGCTGGGCATGCTGGGAATATGGGAGCGTGTTGCGGATAGCGGCAGATGCCAGGCCCATACTACTCCGCCCAACCTGCCAAGCATCGCCCTCACGTCTTGGCTATCGTGACCCGTGTATGGACCAGCACAGCTAGTACAAGCATCAACGGCGCATCCGCACCGACCCGCGCCTCAGGCTCGGGCTCGGCCCCCTTCGCACCCGCACGCGGAGTGGCTTATGAGTCAGCTCGGCTCATGCTATGCCGCCGGAGGGAGGATGAGGTGAGGCTGAGATGAGGCTGGGATGAGGCAAGCAGCATTCCACACTTTCGTGCTCCATGTGAGCCATGTGCTCGGCATGCTCGGAGCCTCGGAGCCACGGGCAGGTAGAGAGCTCGGCTCGGCCGACTGTTGCTCGGTAGCGTCGGGAAGGAGGGGGGCGGTAAGTGGCACGTCGAGGTAAGACAAATGCTAGTTTGGTCATGATATGTGGTGTCAGCGCGCGCTGTTTGATGGATGGAGAAAGCAGAGCATGCAGAGATCGAAGAGCGTCCACTTCGGACTCCGAAGCACAGTTGGGCGCTCGAAATATCTTTCAGGGCACAAGGGCGCAGGGGGCGCAAAGCACAGAAGGCGCAGCGGCCGCAGTTGGGAAACAAGCAGGGATGTGCAGCTTGTCCCCCCCCCTTGTACCCTGGCCCCAGTGATCCCTGCGCCCCCTATCTGCTCATCACTCATTTCTTGGTTGGCTTGTGAAACACTTTTGCGGCTACGGCCGCGGTAAATCGTCATAATAAATAATCACGTACTGCGCCGCTGCGAGGTAGGAATAGAACCACGCAATAGTTAGGGCCATGCATGCTATAGGCTACAGGTTTGTACAGGTGTGGGTCGGACGGCAACTCGATGAGGCTTGGACGTGGGTGTGCTATGGAGGTGTTGCCGTGCAGTAGGTCCACCGCACTGCAGGCGGCAAAGCGCGACGAAGCGAGGCAGACCCGGTTGCCTGCGGCTGGCTGCCAAGATACAAGTGGGCTGGGCGGCTGGGCGATTAACAATGTTGCTGCGTAAAAGTCGCCGAGGTGGCGGCCGGTGCGCGGCGCCCGGGCTTGGCGCCGAGTACTAGGGGCGGGGAGAGGCGGACATTGTGGATGTGGACGGGATCGAGACCGAGGTGAGCGCGCACAGCGCGACGACTGAGTCGAGAGACGGTAGCGAGGGGGTATCGAGTCTATCGCTTCAGTACGCAGGCTCGTACTTTGCGAGGCGGCGCTGGAGCTCGGTGACCTGGCGGCGCAGGCGGAGCATCTCATCGTGCGCAATCTTGATCTCGAGATCCTTGGCGCCGAGCGTGGACTCGAGCGAGCTAAGATGCTCTTTGCGCTTGGCGCGGAATGTGCGCGCAGAGATGCGGTTGCGGACGCGCTTGCGCTCGCGGGCCGAGAGCGAGCGGTACTCGTCTACCTTCATGCCCCAGATCATGCCGTCACGCTCGACGCCCTCTTCATGCTCGTGGCTGTCATGCGAGTGGTGCGAGTGGTTGGACCGCGTATCCGCATCGGGGTCCACTTCGCCCTCGGCGTCCGAGTCGGCTGCACTGTGCGGAGGCGATCCGCCGAGAGGGGAAGGCGAGGCGACCAGCTTGTCGACCATGTCGAGGCTCGGAGTGGTGTTGGGGGTGCCGGACAAGCTTCCGTGTGCACCGAGGAGTGAGGGTGCGATGGAGCCGCCGTACATGTTCATGTTCATCCAGTACTGGTTCTGTGCGGGCTGTGCGGGAGGCCAGGTTGGGAAGAGGTCGGTTCCGGCGGTCGGTGCCGTGGCGGTGCATTGGTTTGTGGTGGTGCTGCTAACGCTGTTGTTGCTGCTGCCGCTTCCGCCACCGAGGCCGAGCATCCAGTCCTGGTTGTTCATGTTGTTCATGTTGGGCAAAAGGCTGGGTTGCTGGTAGAGATACCATGTAGCCATGTTCTGCGCCTGGTTATAGTCAGCATGTGGCATGAGGCAAGGGTGGGGAGGGGCGGCGATCAAGGGGAGGAGTGGCGGCGACTAGATTAAGTTTGAAGGAACACTCACGAGTAGGTTGGCAGAGGCTTTGTCGCCGACAGTGTCGAAGGGGGTCGGAGTAGCGAGGGCCTCCATGGCGATGGGCTCGGGGTTGAGGAGGCAGTGTAAGAGATGAGAGAGTAGGAGGGAGTTGGAGGGGAGGTGTTGGCTGACTGATCTGATGATATATCAAGTGGCCGACGGGGATTGCGGAGGGAAGGGTGGGTGACTATCGGCGGCCGTAAGGACAGGGTTCCGGTTTGTTATCAATTTCGGGGGGGTTGACCAAACGCGAATAGCTCGTCGATGCACATGCGCTAAGTGCAGGGGTAAAGAGACGATGAGGATGGGGATGGAGATGTAGAGCTGGAAGTGCGGTGACTGGGACTGGGAGAAGCGGTGGTAGTGGTACTATGTGACTGACTACCTTCGGATAGGAGCAGAGGTAGGTAGCGAGGTGGGAGTAGATGGGAGTAGAAGGGGATAGTATAGCAGTGCAAGATGTCTTGGCCGATGCCTTATGAGCGGTGCCGAGTGGCCAGATGGGATAATGAGGAAGAGGTAGAGTGGTAGAGAGGCCTGAGAGTTGAGAGTAGTAGCAATAGCTAGAAGAGATCGTGGCTGGTGAACAAAGAATGCGCCACGCCTGGGTTCATTTATAGATATTTCTGACAAGACTGCGAATACCATACGTCGGTGAGAGAGCGAGAGAGAGGGAGAGCGATATGCGCGCGATGCGGCCGACCGAAGCCGGAGACTCGGGCAAAGCGCGAGGCAGATGACCAGAGCCGTAATGTCCGCAATGTCCGCAGAGGTCCGCAGAGCGGCAGAGTTAGTACCAGGAATATACAGCGCAGAGCGTAGAGCAGGCTCAAAGAACGAGTCGTTGCGGCATGCGGCGGCATGGAACTCGTAGAGCAGCAGAGACCGAAGAGAGAGCGACTTGGACAAGAGCGCTCACTCCTCGCTCCACCGAGCTCTTGCAACTGTGCCTGACCCCTAAGTAGATTCCCTTACTCCCTTATTTCCACTTTTCCCTGGCTAATCCCTGCCCCTGTATTTTGTACGCCTCCAAAGTTGAAAAGCCCCTGATTCCCCCTTGGACAGCCCTGGATCATGCCTAACTAACCTTGATGCACGTCATGATGCTGCAAAAGTCTCGTCCTCTTCGTCCTCTGCACTTCTCACAACCATGCTTTGTCTCGCCATTGTCTGCGCTCGCATCTCGGTCATCATCATCGATGCGTCTCTGACCACGCCGCCCATCCACCCCACCACCCCGGTCATGCGATTATTTCATTATCACTCTCACGATATCTCAGGCCTGGGCTTGCCGCAGGGTCCGGATCGGAATCGACACGGCGACGAGCCGTGTCAAGGTACCAGCAACCCTCGGGCGAGCGAGCGAGCATGCGATTCGACTATTAGCATTGATGGTCATGCAGTCATGCAGTCATGCAGTCATGCAGTCATGCAGTCATGCAGTCATCGGTTTCACCGAAACATTTACTCGACTCCGCGCTTAGTGTTGCGGAGACGGACTGCGGCGGCCGCAAGAGATAGTTGCACGTGCCAGGCGTTCCTGGACTGTTTGCCTCGGCCCTCGGTCGCCGCGCTCTTGTTCACGCTCCTCGCGGCTTTCTCAACAGAGATAAGCCGATGGCAGCCGACCCGAGTCCGGATGCCCGAGGCTGGGACCCGCTAGGTCCGGCGTCATCTGCTGCTGCTGAGCTACTGGGCGGATTACGCTGACGTACTGACAGCTTCTGGGTTGTGGGTTTGGCGGTTCCGCTGCTGCTGGAATCCTCGCCGTTGCTCGATTCAGTGCATTTTCTGTCAGCTGGAACCGGCCGTGCGGACCGAGCGATTACAGGCCTCGTCGTCGCGTACAGTCAAGCCGGCCTCGAGTACTCCCAGCAGCCGGCCGGCAGGGGTCAGCATGCCAAGCATACCATAACCGGATACCTTGCATCAAAGTCAATTCGACTATTGTAATAGCTAACCGCCAAATCCTGCCATGAATGCATCTGTCGCAGCCAAGTCGCCACTTGGCCACTTGGCACTAGGCCAAGCGATCGCCAGCTCGCAGCTGCATTCCGTGTCTGCTGACCTGCATCCCCGAAGCGGAAGATGTCCCAGTGGCGTGGACCTGATTGCAAAGACCCTTGCATACTCATGACGGTCAGCCATGCCCGGTTGTTGAAAGAGCTGATGAGCTGATGAAATCGCCCTCTCACGCCCACGCCCTCGTCTTGGACTCCGCCAATGCGTCATGCATGCGAATCAGATGGCGACAAACAACACGCCTGCTGATCAATGGCGCTGATCAGCCGCCACGGAGCGCGCGGTGGCAGTCTTCCCACGCGCCGGAGCCTTGAGAAGTAGCCGCCTCGGTCTCGTAGATGGTTCAGGTGGCAACCCCATGAATCCGAGTATCTGGTGTACTCTCACGCTATCCCCTCCGCTCCTGCCGTGATGAGAGCGAGATCTGCATCCCGCGTTGTGAGGGCAAGACCCGGCATGGCGGGGCATGGCAATGCGAAGCCGAATCCCACCTCTCACCTCACCTCTCTTTGTCGCCCTCCTACCTCTCTACTCACCTCCCGCTCTCCATGGCTGTGCCTTCATATCGCTGCGACTCTGTGGAGCAACCCACGCCATTTCGATCATATGGGGACTGCAGAGCTGCAGAGCTGTAGAGGGGTTTCCCGACCAGACCTCCGATTTCCACGGAGTGGAGCGAGGAACACGGGGACCGGGATCTGGACGGGCAAGTTGAGATTGGCATGTGCGAGAGAGCTCTGAGCCAAGCGCTGGCATCGCTCTCAGCGGGCCACTCGCATCCCTCGCACTCCTCGGTCCACCGATCCACCACCGAGCAGCGAGCAGTGCGTCCGACGACCACGTCCTTCGTTTAACGCGCCTCGGTCCTTATCTACGCATACTCGACGCTTGCGTGTACTCCGACATACCGATATGCGATGAAAACTACCCTTGCTCGAAATTTCGTCGCGAAGGTACGGCTATGTTTGTGCCATCCGCCACTAACCTTGTCGTCACTCTCACTCCCACTCCCGCTCCCGGTAGCCCGCATCGCCCGGTGCCGCTGGCCGCTGATCCGCTGATCTGCGATATGCAGTCTGCCTGCCTTCCATTCCTGCCTATCTATTCCAGGACGAGGTACATGATCTCCGCGCTCCGAATGCTCCTGGTGGTGCCCAGAACTTTTCCCATGTACCTGGATGCCTGGATGCGGACGTCCGCAATGTCTGGATTCTCTGGACGCGTATCGATCGGCAAGTTTGCGCATCTTACGGCTTTGCCCTCATCCTCTCGCAATGCATCATTGTCATGCGCGCGCACACGCAACTCCGGCCATGCGGCCATCCGGCAACACCAGCCGTGTAGGCCGTTTTGGTGGCCCCAAGGCCCGCAGGCAAACCCAGCTCATTGCTGACGCAGACGTTGAGCCGGCTGAGCAAGAGTACTAGATGCATGGCTGACGATGTAGTTCCTGACTACTACTCCAGACGCCAGGCCAGTGGCCAGGCGAGCCGCGGCATCTGACCGAACTCCCGGCGCATGGTGGCATTGTGCGAAGTTGCGTTGTGCAGATTGTAGCCTGCAGCTTGTCCCCTGCAGCCGGTACCTCCGCCGAGGCCGTATGCAATGCGCAGCAGTGCTTACTCACTCCTATGTTGCTACCTGCAAGCGCACTGCCACGGATCTGCGAGGGCATATCGAAAACAATTCAAGGTGCGACATTGAGGCACGCAGCGGCAATCTCCGATAACCCGAACGCAATACTCACTCGACGCACTCACGCGCAGCACTGCAGGCAGTGCGTGCTGACTGCGGCCCAGCCTATGTCACGCCGTCCCTGCTACCATGCTTTCTACGATCTACCCATTATCCTCTCCTACCCCTACTCTACCCCTCGAGCGCAGCGGCGATAATTTCGTCCACCTCGGCCTTGTGCCACGCACCCACGCCTGTGGCTGTTGTTGCCGACGCCCGGCGGCCCGCGTACGCTGCGGGCGCGCTGCCCCGGTCCTCAAGGATGCGGTTCAGGCGGGGCGCTACGAAGGTCCATGCGCCCTGGTTGGCGGGCTCCTCCTGCGCCCACACTACCTGCGTAGACGGGGGGAAAGGTGCGAGCGCATCAGCGACCTCAGCGGCGGGGAAGGGCGACAGCTCCTCAACGCGCACTAGGGCCACGTCGTCGACGCCCTGCGCTCGCGCCGCCTCTAGCAGCGTGTAGTAGTGCTTGCCCGAACAGAGAACGACCCGGGATGCGTGCTCGACTTCGGTCGCGGGGATGACGGGGCGGAAACGCGTTCCCTCGGCCATGTCGGAGAGGGGCGAGGCCGCGATCGGCGCACGGAGTAGGCCCTTGGGCGACGCAATGATCAGCGGCTTACGGTAGTTACGCAGCAGCTGGCGCCGGAGCAGATGGTACAGCTGCGCCGGGGTCGACGGGTTCGCGACCTGCAGGTTGGCGTCGTGCCGGGGCGTAGCGTCATCGCACAACTGGAGGAACCGCTCAATCTTGCAGCTCGAGTGTTCCGGACCCGCGCCGTCATATCCGTGCGGCAGCTGCATGACGAGGCCTGTCTGCTTGAGCCACTTGGCCTGGGCGCCAACTAGGAACGTGTCGATCATGCTCTGGGCCCCGTTGTGGAAGTCACCAAACTGCGCCTCCCAGATCGGCAAAAGGCGCGGGTTTGCCCAACTCATGCCGATTTCGAAGCCGAGAACAGCCATCTCGGAGAGCGACGAGTTACACAACTCGAGCTTGCCGGGTGCCTGCAGCGAGTCATTGAGCGGCACAAAGCAGCTCTCGTCCTTTTGGTCGACGAACATGGCATGGCGTTGCGAGAACGTACCGCGCCCCACGTCCTGTCCCGAGATTCGAACGTCATTGCCCTCCTCCATCAGTGAGCCAAAGGCCATCGCCTCAGCCGTCGCAAAGTCCACCTTGGACTCGAGTCCCTTGAGGCGAGAAGAGATGTGACGCCTGAGGCGCGAATGAACGTTCTGAGATCAGCTTGCTCTGAACGAGGAGTTGCCTTGCCCCATCTGAGGACCATCACAGCTCGCCACTCACAAAGGTCTCAGGCAGCTCGACGCTCTTCTTCCCAATAGCCACCAAGCGGTCAGCTGGCAGCCCCGTCTCTGGGTCCGGCTTGGCTTCGGCGCTCGCTGGCCACACCATGCCTTTCCACTTGCCGCCGAGCATTTCGCTGTGCGCCTTGTACCCGGGCACTTGCTCAAGCGCCTTGTCAAGGCTCTCATTGTATGCTGCGCGGCCGGCTCTCGCATCGCCCTCCGAAAGCACGTTGGCAGCCTTAAGACGCTCCTCGAACAGCTCCGGCACGCTCTTGCGCGCGCGGATCTTCTCGTACATCAGGGGCTGCGTGTACCCCGGCTCATCGAGCTCGTTGTGTCCCCAGCGCCGATAGCAGATAAGGTCAATGATGATGTCCTTGCGGAACATGTTGCGGTACTGGAATGCTACGTCGACCGCGCGCACCACGTCCTCGGGGTAGTCGCCGTTGACGTGCAGGATCGGGCAGCCGATCATTTTGCCCACGTCGGACGCGTACATTGCCGAGCGGGAGAACGTCGCCGGTGTAGTGTACCCGATATTGTTGTTGACGATCATGTGAATCGTGCCGCCGCTACCATAGTGCGGGAGGCCGGAAAGGCCCAGCGACTCAGCGACAACGCCTTGCCCGCTGAAGGCCGCGTCGCCGTGCAGCTGGACGCAAAGGACACGGTCGCCGAGCTGGCAGTCGGCAGGGGACTCCTTGAGGAGCTTCATCTGCTTTGCACGGGTGATTCCGAGAGCGACTGGATTGACAGCCTGGTGTGAGCGACGGAGCCCATGCCACCGGCGTCCAGGGGTGCTCGACTGCAGACTCCAAACTCACCTCAAGATGACTCGGGTTCTGGAGCATCTCAATCTTGACCTTGCTCCCATCGTAGTCGAGCTCACGGATCCCGCCAAGGTGCGAGATCACGTCGCCGGTCGCACCAGGCGCCGTGCTGGGGTCGAACTCTGGCTGCCCCTTGATCTTGGCGAACAGGCCGGTGGGGGAGTATCCGAAGAGTTCAGGCTCTGTGAGGAGGTTGAGGCGGCCACGATGGGGAAGCGACACTACAATGCTCTGGAGGTTCGCCTTAGCGCCAAGCTCGAACAGCGTGTCAAGAGCAGGAAGCATGCTCTCTGCGCCCTCGCATCCTGCCATCAGTCCGAGTCCCTCCACAGTCAAGCCGCCGATCTTTCGGCCATCTTTCTCAATCTTGTCTCAACATCCCGACACGCAACTCACCATATCGCTTCAGATTGGGAAACTTCTTCCCGAGGAACCGGTCAAACTCCTCGCTACGGCTAAGCAGCTCCCACACGCGCTTGCGGCGCTTGTCGCTCATGTCACCGGTGCTCGAATGCGTCTCGACGTGGTGCTGGAACCACAGTCGCTCGTCCTTGCTGGGGCACTGCTGGAACTCGTACCCGATCCTGTCGACATACACGCCCATGAGATGCTCCGTGATCTCCTGTAGCGTGCGCGACGCGTCCGTCCCCTCGCCCGTCTCTGAGCGAGGCACGTCCCCACTTTGCGGCAGGTGCATGATGCCCTTGAGGGGGTACTTCTTGTCGTCTGACAGTCCATACCGATAGGGGTCGAGGGCGGAGACGGGGCTGAATTAGTAAGTGGTCTCGTGCGTCTTCCTTCTCCTCCGCACTCACTCCCGCTCCATCAGGTCCAGCGGGTCGACCTGGCGTTAGCGTTGCCGCGTGATGGCAACATACCTTGGCTGCGCGGTGTCCATGGCGGCGCATCATCTCAACGTAGCGCAGCAGCGCGGCGTTCTCGTTACGGTTCGCCAGCTCTTCGGCCGTGTCTGGCGTCAGCGCATTCTCTCCGCCAGGTCACTGACAGTCAGGCAGCGTATACTTGCTGGGCACGCGGTACCCGAAACTCGCGTCATCGTGGTATCGCCGGGCACGGAGTAGCCCAGCAAGACGTGGTGTGTGGCGGGGGGCTCTAAGCATCGTGATGATGATGTGGGAGAGAGAGGAATGGCGGCGGCGGACGTGGCTTAAGTGCTGGCTGCCTGGGGGTGGCATGGAACGAGACGCGCTTGCGGGGGCGGGGTATGGGGGGGGGATCGGCATGCGGGGTGGGCATGAGGCACAGGGAGCTGGTGGCGGGGCCAGTAAGCGCGGATGCGGCTCCCCACCTGCTCTGCAAGCCGAGAGAGCGCGCCGAGAGAGCACAGAGAGTTGCAGAGCGTGGCTGCGTCGCGTCCTCGAAACGGGACAAGTGACCGGATCTTGACTCCTCAATCCCGCGGAACTCGTTCACCCAGCACACTCGGGAGTCACTCAATCACATGGGTCCACCGCGGTCATCGCCGATCTCTGACGTCATTCCGCCATCCTCGTTCAAAGCAATATGGTGTCCATGCTGTACCATCAAAATGCGAGTGTGTTGTCAAATGCTCAATGCTCGATAATCCTCTTTTATCACCAGATCCTCAGTCCCACACAAGCTGGCCCTTGTTGTTCAGAGACGCCGCCTGCCCACCACTCCCGCCGTCAACAATGCGTCCGCGCTCACGCACAACCTTCTTCTGCGACGCATTGTAGATCGAGTTGATCTTCTCCCTTTCGTCAGCGAGCTCAATAGGTCAATCGTACCGCTCCAGGTCCCGCTTGTGCGCAGCCAGACGACGGAGGCGATCGGCCTCCTCTGCTTCTTTGGCTACACGCTTCATCTCCGCCTTCTTCTGGTTCTTGCGCTGCACCTTGGTGAGAGGGTCGTTCGAGCTCGCGCGCGAGGGGCTACCGTTTCCGCCACCTCCACCGGCTATCGACACTGACACGGGCTCTGTCTGTCAGCAAACCATGCGTCCACCATACACCCTCGCCTTCGACAGGTACGCACTCTTCTTTGCCGCCACGACATTCCACCCATCGTCCTGAGATCGCGGCTCGTCCGACCAGTCGGAAGACGCATAGTCCTCGGCGAACCTCTCGACCTTCTCCGGTTGCACAACTCGCATCACACGAGCGAGTTGCGGTGGGCGGTCCTCAGGCTCGAGCATGCTTTCATCAGCAGAGAAACAGATGAAACCCACTCGTCGACCTTGGTTTTGCGCGGTTTAGGGACAAGCTTCTCCGCCAGCGTCTTTGGTTTAGGCCTGGGAACGGAAGCGGGAGAACCGCCAGCTGCGGCGGCGAAGGAGGGCGTTTCAGCTGGCACCTCGGGCGTCTGGGGCGCTGGGGCTGAGACAGAGCCAGGCGAAAGCCTAACGTCTTGTTTGACCTCCTGCTTGAGCGGCGCCGAGTGCTTGCCCTTCCTGCCCTTCTTTGGGCCGGGCTTAGACTCCTCCGCCTCGCTCACAGTCGCGGGGGTGTCGGCTGACCCATCTTGACCTGTTTTCTTTTTCTTGTGCTTCTTGTTCTTTTTCTTGGCCGCCGCGTCGTTACTGTTGGCGACTGAAGTGGTGGAGGTCAAGTGCTGGTAACCGAAAGCGAGGAAGACGACCAAGGCCGCCCCAATAAGGGCTTCTGTGGAGATGTAAGGCATCCCACGGAGTGCCGTAAACGAGTATGAGGGAGCTGGGTGCAGGCGTTCCAGGCGAAAGCGGGACAGATTGGAGAGAAAAACTCGAGATGGAAAGCTAAGAAAGTCGAGAGAAGGTAGCAGAGAGGTGAGTGCCGATGCCATGACGCGTCCACCAAAAGGAAAGCGATGCGGCCAGGCCGATTGCAGCGAAATTGCCCAATCAGGTGCGAGCGTGGCCACGTGGAAGGGTCGCCTGGGTGGGTGGCGCGGCACGGTGAGATGCCCTGTCCGCCGTCGACGTGCATCATGTCTCCTCCTCCATTTCCACTCGCCCGCACGCACTCATTCTCCGTTTCAGCTTGATCCTCATCTCCCTCCTCGTCACTCATCTACATTTCTCATTTTCTCTTGTTTACGGCATCTTAACGAGCATACCCAAGCTCTAAAGCACTACTTGTAAGCCTTTCCACTCCGTTGCATCGCCATCCACAGATGTCCCCAGGCTTTCCACCCTGGTCATCCCGCTGCTCGTGCGACGGATACCGTCTCATTGCGCAGTCTCCGCTGACCACACAGCCTCTTAGCGCCCTCCGAGTCCTGAGCCTCTGCCCATCATGGACCAGCAGCTCATTAGCCTCGTCAACAAGGTGCGCCCGCTCCCCGACTGCTCGCTCACCCCAGCTCCAAGATGTGTTCTCCAACATCGGTGTTCAGAACAATATCGTGGGTGGCAAGCGAAGGCTCCGCTGACCGCAGGATTTGCCGCAGATCACTGTTATCGGCTCGCAGTCCAGTGGCAAGTCATCAGTTCTCGAGGTACGCTCATTGTCTCTGTGTCCATATTGACCCAAGAACATTGTCGGACGTGACTTCCTGCCCCGTGGCACTGGTATCGTGACACGTCGTCCGCTCGTGCTCCAGTTGATCAACCGGCCTGCGACAGCTAAGCCTAATGGCGCCGACAAGAAGGAGGAGAAGGTCGAGGACGCTATGGCCAAGACGCGCGTAAACGAGACCAACCCCGATGAGTGGGGAGAGTTCCTGCATCTTCCTGGGCAGAAGTTCTTTGACTTTAACAAGATTCGCGAGGAAATTGTGCGCGACACGGAGAAGATTACGGGAAAGAACGCCGGTGAGCTGGGTCTCAATGGAACAACCAGCTGATGGCAGGCATCTCGCCCAACCCCATCAACCTCCGAATCTACTCTCCCAATGTCCTCACCCTCACGCTTGTTGACCTTCCCGGTCTCACCAAAGTTCCAGTCGGTGACCAGCCGCGCGACATTGAGAAGCAGATCAGGGACATGCTCATGCGCTTCATCTCCAAGCCGAACGCCATCATTCTTGCGGTCACAGCAGCCAACACCGATCTGGCCAACTCGGACGGTCTCAAGCTCGCGCGAGAGGTCGACCCCGATGGAACTCGTACCATTGGTGTGCTGACCAAGGTCGATCTCATGGACCAGGGCACCGACGTTGTCGACATTCTCGCTGGAAGGGTTATCCCTCTGCGTCTCGGCTACGTGCCAGTCGTCAACCGTGGCCAGCGTGACATTGACCAGTCGCGATCCATCGCATCCGCGCTCGAGGCCGAGAAGAAGTTCTTCGAGACCCACCCCAGCTACGCCAGCAAGGCGCAGTACTGCGGAACTCCGTGGCTCGCGAGGAAGCTCAACATTATCCTCATGCACCACATTCGCAACACGCTGCCAGACATCAAGGCGCGTATCGCAACCAACCTCGTCAAGTACCGCCAGGAGCTCTCCGCCCTTGGTGGTCCCATGGGCGAGACCAACCCCGGCAGCCTGGTACTCTCGACCATCACCGAGTTTTGCTCCGAGTTCCGCTCGGCCATCGATGGCAACACGAACGACCTCTCGCAGAACGAGCTGTCAGGCGGTGCGCGTATCAGCTTTGTCTACCATGAGTTGTATAACAATGGTGTCAAGAGCATCGACCCATTTGACCAGGTGAAGGACGGCGACATCCGCACGATCTTGTACAACTCATCCGGTTCGACACCCGCTCTTTTCGTGGGCACGGCCGCGTTCGAGGTTATCGTCAAGCAGCAGATCCGCCGCCTGGAAGACCCCTCGCTTCGATGCGCATCTCTCGTGTACGATGAGCTTATCCGTATTCTTGGGCAGCTTCTCAACAAGACGACCACGTTCAAGCGGTACCCTGAGCTTAAAGAGCGCTTCAACTCCGTTGTCATCAACTTCTTCAAGAACTGCATGAACCCGACAAACAAGCTTGTTTCGGACATGGTCAACATGCAGGCGACGTACATCAACACGACGCACCCCGATTTCTTGAATGGCCACAAGGCTATGGCCATTGTGCAGGAGCGCCTAAACGCGAACAAGCCGCCTGAGAAGATTGATCCCAAGAAGCCGGTCAACCAGCTGCCGAAGGACCTCGAAGAGAAGAAGGAGGAGAGCTTCTTCGGGTCGTTCTTCTCCAAGGACAAGCCGAAGCGGAAGGGTGTGGCTGCCATGGACGCGCCCCCGCCCACCATCAGGCCCGTGCAGCAGCTGAGCGACCGAGAGCTGATGGAGACGGAGGTGATCAAGCTGTGAGTCCGTCCCCATGATCTACACTGACCCTAGCCTTATCCGCTCCTACTTTAACGTCGTGTCTCGCGAGATGATTGACATGGTTCCGAAGGCGATTTCGTACACGCTCGTCAACTTCGCCAAAGAGAACCTCCAGCAGACGCTCCTCGAGGAACTGTACCGCCAGGACCTGCTCGACGACCTGCTGCGCGAGTCGCCTGAGGTCACTGCCAGGCGCAAGGAGTGCGTTACGTGTACGAGCTTTGCTGACATCCAGGGTTATCAAGATGGTCAAGGCGCTCGAGTCGTCGGAAGAGATTGTCGCTGCCGTTTAAGGCGGTGTAATGGCGGCTACTGTACTAGAAGTCTTTTGTCACGTCTGATACCCTCATCCGGGCTCTCCCATAGCTGGGGCCGTATGCATCGTGTCCGGGACGGGGTAGATTTTACCATGAACAGCCAGGGCTTATAACTGAGCTAACGCCTCTCCCGGAATCATGCAACATATACTACACCCTGTGTCATGCTCGCGAGCTTCGACAACACATGACTGTTACACTCTATGCATCATCTCCGCGCCGACTCGCCGTCTCGCACGCGCTTGAAATCCTCGATCCACTCCTTCTCCACCTTGCCCTTGGGGAGCACGACAAAGCTCAACAACCCATCGCGCAATGGAACGCCATCCCGCCCCTTATCGGTAATCTTGACCGCCTTGGCGAGCACCTCGCGCAGTGTGATCTCCTTGCCGACCTTGAGCAGGCGGCGCTGGACCGTCTCGACATACACGACAAGGTTATTGGTGTAATACTCGTGCTTTTCATCCCACGGCGACCACTCTGGCGAGGTGGATGTCGGGGTCGCCGGGAATATCGGCGCGAGCTGGTCATCGAAGCTGGTCTCCTCGTGGAAGTGGGTGACGAGGTCGGACTGGCCGTACTGCGGATACAGGAAGAAGACGGGGAAGATGAGCGGCGTAGCCGCTGTGGGCGCGACCCAAGCCTCCGCTGCCTCCTTCGGGAAGAGGGGTGCGTCAACGAGGGCAGCCGGGTCGAAGTGCAGCGGTTCCGGGATATCGGGCGGCTCGGACGTGTTCGCGACGATGAGGCCGCGGGTCGCGATGGCGAGTTTCCGCGCTGCGTCCGTGATCGTCGTGCGGCGCGCGCGCTCCTCGCGCTCGCTGACGCGCCGCTCCCCCGCCTCGATTTGTGCCGCGAGTGCATCCCACACTTTCTGGTTCGCGCCCTCGGACCACAGCCCGCGGCCGCGGGCTACCGCGTCCCGCGCTTCAGCCCAGCGCTCGAGCGACACGAGCGCCTGCGCTGCACGGTACAGTGCCTTGGACGGCGGGTCCTTGTTCTTCGCGGCGGCGAGCGCAATAATCGCCGAGGTGTCGCGCAGCACCGCGCCCATGTTGCGCAGTGCGATGTTGCATGCCGCGCGGTTGTTCAGGAGCGAGACGCGCAGCGCTTCGTCCGCCGGTCCAGAGTCCAGGCCGGACGTGTATGCGTCGATTGCGTCTCGGTACGACTTTTGTGCGTACAGCTCGTTGCCGTGGTTCTTAAAGTTGATCGCGACTTCTGGAAGGGTGTCAGCGTCGCGGCCATCGAGCGAAGCGAGGTGCAGGCCGAAGCAGGGCGGGAGGATGGAGCGTACCCGCGTGCCCGCGCGCTCGGACGGCGCTATCGCCTCCAGCCGGCCACCGGCTACCTCCAGGCAGCCTTACAATTTGCGGCCCTCACTCACCATCTCCCTCTCCCTCAAATACCAGACTCTTCAGCGCCTCAAGCACGTAGTCGCCGCCCGTGTCCTTGGGCGTTTCGCGCATAAACAGCGGGGTCGTGTCCAGCACCTTCTGGAATTCGTCGTAGGTCACGGGCTCCCGCTTCTCGTCGCCCCGCGCCCGAGCCATCGCATCGAGCACCTTGTCGATGCTCGTGTCGTGTTCGCGGTCGGACATGGTGGCGAGGGAGTGGAGAAAGCTGGACGGAAATGCGGAAGATGTAAGCAGATCGCGAGTTGTGGAGGAACTTTCTCGAGCCGAGCTGGGGCCCCGGCCACGTGGCCTCCACTTTACTTGTTGCTCCCAGAGATCAGCAATGACGAGGAGTACACTCGTCACACATTATGGCAGCCCGCACTCCAATCGCTGTTATCAAGCGCGTGTGGGAGCGCATTGCGCCGCTCCAGCTCGCCGAGCGCAGCTGGGACAATGTGCGTCGTCGCGAGGCATGGCTAACCACAGGTGGGCGTGATCGTCGGTCCGTCATGTGGGGTGGAGCTAGAACTGACCACCAGAGGCGCCGTTCCCGGAGGAGCGCGAGAAGAAGCAGGTCCTCCTTACGATTGACCTCACGCCATCCGTGTGTGCCGAGGCGCTTGCGCTGCCCGCGTGCTCGGCCGTCATCGCCTACCATCCACCAGTGAGCTGCGTTCACGCTTCGACTGACGTAGATCTTCCGCGGGCTCAAGACTTTTACGCTCGGCGACCCGCTGCAGGCGAGCCTGCTGAAGCTCTCTGCGCGTGGGATTAGCGTGTTTGCGCCGCACACGAGTCTCGACGCGACGCCGAACGGCATCAACACATGGTGCGCTGTGAAACGGAGAGTGCTGACGGCAGGCTCGTCGAGCCGTTTGCGGGCAATGCGAGCGCGATCGAGGTTGTGACGGCGTCGGAGAATGTGCCGGCCGGCTTTGAGGGCGCGGGGATGGGCAAGATCGTGTCCCTCAAGAGCGGGATGGGCGTCGCCGACGCCGTCAAGGCCATCAAGCAGCATCTCGGGCTCGAGTATGGTGCGTGTCGCTCAGGCCCCGCTGACCGCAGTCCAGGTAGCTACGCCGTCAACAGAGCGCAAGATTGAGAGCGTCGCCGTGTGTGCTGGCTCGGGCGGCGGCGTGCTGCGCGGCGTCAAAGCCGACCTGCTGCTCACCGGTGAGATGAGCCACGTGAGTATCGGACACAGCTGAGCTGTGTGGGTTGAGCGATGAGAAGCAGCAGGAGACTAACACCAGCACGAGGTCCTGGCGTGCGTCGCAGGCGGGCAGACGGTCGTCCTCGCGAACCACAGCAACACGGAGCGGCCGTATCTCAAGGCTGTGCTCCAGCCGTGGCTGCAGCGTGAGCTCGATACCGAGGGCGCAGGATGGGAGGTGCTCGTGAGCACGACGGACGCGGACCCGCTCCGGACGATGTAGCCATGGACGATATATCCACGTCGGCGATGTATCAACGTGTGCGAGCTGCGAGACAAAGCTGACGCGACGCCCCGTGCGCGCCGGTGCCGCCGGCGAGGGCAGCGAATTGCCCCTCGCGGCTCCTGCGCACCCGCCTTACTCGCCTTGTGATCCGGAGCACTGACTCACACAGACGCAGACACAGACACAGACGAGCAGTCTCGTCGACGTGGTCAACATACATCTTATTCACCACCATCATGTCGTGCCCTTCCACCCCCGACACGCCCTTCAACCCGACGTTCGCGATGCCCCCAGGCCCCGGCCCGCTGCAGCCGCCCAAGTCACCCGCTCTGCGTGCGGCAGAAGCCCTCGGGCTCGGCCTCAGCACCCTCAGTCCGCCCATCACGCCGGCGCCTCTAGCCCCCTCCCTCCCCGGCCCGCTGTCGCGCGCGCCGAGCCGCGCCGCCTCTCCGCTCCCCAGCCGCGCGCCGAGCCCATATCCCTCCCGCGCGCCAAGCCCTGGACCCCGCGCACTCGCACCGCCGCCAATTGAAGATGCGGCGTTCTGCGACGGCGACTTTGAGCTCACGTCCGCTGACAACGTCCGGTGCGTTAATCTCCAGGAGTCGCTTATCTCAGCTTCCGCGTGCAGACGTACCACCTCTTCTCGGCTAGGTAGGTATCCTCTCTCTCACCGCCTGACGCCAGCGCGGGCCTGCGCGCCGAAGCGTCGTGGGACGACGGCGGGCGCGCGCGCCACCTCCACTTTGACGACAACGAGATCGAGGCTGCGCTGGTGATCCGCGCCTTCCTGCGCGTCATAACGACGGGTACGGTTGCAACAACGCCAGACGGCAGCGGAACGCCGTCGGTGTCAGCGCTGCGCCGCCTCATCCTTTTTCTGCGCAAGTGGGACTGCCCCGTCGCGCTCCAGCTCGTGCTGTTCAAAGTCAAGGAGCTGCTGAGCCAGGGCATCTCTGTGCCAATGTACACGTTCATCCTCGGCGCGACGGCCGACGACGTCGAGACGTGCGCGCTCGCACTCAAGCACCACAGCCAGAGCTGGAACGGGACGGCCTACGCTGACGTGCGCAACGAGGGCACGCACGGCGCCAGCACTCTCGACCCAACGCACCTCCCGTACACGCTTTGGAGCTGGGTGCCGACCGAGTATATGTGGGCTCTGAGCCGCGCGTGGGGGCGCAATGTCAAGGACGGGGCGCGGCTGCCGGATGAGTTCCAGCGCGTGCTCGCTGTCATCAAGGGTGAGGATGAGAGAGGGATGTTAGGCTAGGGAGAGAGAAGGCGGGAAGACGGTGCGAAGCGGGATCAAGCAGACGGCGAGCCGTGTGCAGGGGCTGGGGTTGTCGTAGACCGACGCGCCGCCCGACGCGCGCCGCGGGCCGCCCAACGCGCCGACGCCCAACATCCGACACCCGATGGCCGATGAACTGGGCGCCGAACATTGGTGATGGCTGACTCCAGGCGGACACAGCCGGACGTCGTCGAGCGCGACGTGCTAGAATCGCCGAACTGGGCGTTGCGAACGAGTGAGTTGAAGCGAAGGATGGTGACAGCCTTGCGGCCATGCATGCAACGAAAGAGACGACATGACGTGACGTGGCCTGAGCGAGCTGAGCGCGATTACACACTGGCCACGCGTGGCGCACACTCGCCCCCTTCCCTCGCACCGCTCGCACCGTCAACCCCCCGTCAACCCTTCGTCACGCCGGACACGTCGGGCAGACGAAGAAGACGAGGATCCATCTGCATCTCCTGATCCGCATGCGCCCTCCGCCCTCGAATTCCTCGAAGAGACGCACAGCTCCCCGCTGACGCCCAGTTGTTTCCCACGCACGGCGTCACGGCATCAAAGTCGAGGATCCGAGGAGCGCCACACGCCTCGACGCCTGCCTTTGATTAGTACTCTTGCATGTGCATTCGGCAATTCCGCATTTGAATACAATATACATAGAATACGATGTTCTTGACTCCTGATCAGCTTGATCAGTCCGATCTCTGATATCTCTGATCTCTGACGTGATCCTCGGATCCTTGGACCGACAGCTGATGACATCTGCAGATCGTTCCAAACCATGAACTGCGAGATGCGGGACTGCCGCGCCACGTTCGTCCCGTCGGGCTTCGGGCGTGGGAGACCGGAGAGGGCGGGTGGGCCGCGGGGGAGACGCGAGACGAGGGCGACGAAAGCGACGAGGGCGGCCACGGGGTGGCGCTCGCCGCTTGGGCCCATTCCTCGCGCTGGATTTGTCTCTGCGGCGCGTGCCGCACCTGATCACCTGCCACCTGAATTGTTAAGAGCTGACAGAGTGCAGAGTGCAAACTCAAGCTGCCGCCATATGTACATATGTCAGATCAGATCAGATCATCTCAAATCCTTCGTCTTCGCTAGCAATCGGCGCTCACTCGCCAACAGCCCCGACACAGCCGACAGCTTCTCTCCTTGATCTCCTTCGTACTCTTATACCCTCAAGCGACATCTGTAGTCCCCGTGACCCCTTACACTTCAGCCCCACCCACCACCCAGCCAACTTCCCACCATGCTCCACCCAGACTACACCGCCGGCGACGCCGAGCTGCACTCTGCCGACGGCGTCGTCTTCCGCGTCGACCGCACCCGCCTCTCCCAAGCGAGGTGAGCCCACCTCTCAGCACCACTAACCCAGCCCGTCGCTCCGCACCCTCCCGCTCCCCGCCCACCTCCCCACGCCAGCCGACACGCTCGCACCCTTCCTGCGCGCCGCGCTCGGCGGCCCCCTCCCCCTCCCCCACAACCTTCTCGACGCCCGCGACGCCCTCCTCCTCCTACAGAGCTATGACTGCGCGTCCGCCCTCCGCGCCGCCGTCACAGAGCTCAAGGTCCGCCTGATGGACGGCGCCGCGTGTCCCGTCCAAGTCTTCGTGCTCGCCGCTCACCTCCGCGACCTAGACCTCTGCCGCACTGCCATCGTACATGGCGACCAGCCCAGTCCCAGGCAGTCGTACAGCGACGTCTTCTACGACTCGGACGACGACGAGCCCGCCTCCCCTGGCGCGGCGGACGCCGCTGTTCTCGCCCACCTCGACACCATCCCCCAGGAGTACCGCGCCGCCATGGCTGCAGCGTGGAATTCGTCTAGTGACCCCCGCGATCGCGGAAACAGCTTCGTCCGGCACATGTGCCTATGTGAGTAATTTGCTAGAGCAATGCGTGGCTGACTCTAGCGGCCAACTAGCCGGCCCGCGGAACGAACTCAGCCCCACCCTCGCTCGCTTCCCGGCGCCACTGCCAACTTCAGCCATCATTTTTCCTCAGCATTCAATCTGATATCAGCATCCCTGTCCATTGCTTTTACCTTGTACCACCCTCTCACATCGACATCTTCGCTGTGCCCAGTCCAGTCCAGTCAGCAGTCAGTTTCTTCAGCCAGTCAACCAGTCCATTTAGAAAAGAAAAAATCAGCTTGCCGCTCCGTCATGCAATGTGTGTCATACTCCCTCTCTGCAACCACTAAGATGAAAACTGCGCAACCAAGTACTGGCTGACCGACGTTGGCGACAGTGGCGTCCCCAAGTCCGTGATAATAAAGTCGACGAGCTGCGGGAACGTGACGTCAAATTTGGGCTGGTTCTTCAGAGTTCCCGTGGACAACTCAGCAGGTGGCGGCAGCGTTGACGGTGTCGCAGACCCACTGGGCGGCTGGGACGTAGACGGGCGGCGGAAGTGCGAGCTCGTTGGCGTCGTAGGAATGTCGGCGGAGAACGTGAGGGGAAGCTTGTCCGCGTCGCGTGGCATGGGGAGGTCGGTCTGGGAGAGCGGGTAGTGGCGCAAAAACTTGTATGACTCGGCGAGTGCGTATACAGGCTTCTGCATAGCTTTAGCCACGAGCGCCACTTGGTACGTCCCGACAGACGAAACCAGCGCTCCGCTCTCGACGACCGCCTCACACCCAAGCAGCACCATATCTACGCGCTCCATGATGTATCCGATCGCGCTGTCCAACACGACCTCGCAGGGGATGCCGGCAGTGGTGAGGATCTGCTGCGTGCGCTCGCTGCTGTCAGCGGAAGGTGGAGAAAGGTGGGCTGGCAAAGGGCGCCAGTCACTGATACAAGGCAAGGACGGTGCCGCGTACTGGAGCGGGAGACGACTCACCCAAGACACCCAGGACGCGCCTCCGTCACATATACGCTCACGCGCTTGTGCTGCTTGTGCGCGCGCAAAATCGTCTGAATCACGGTTCTAGAGTACGAGTGGGTGAGGATCTGGGCGGAGTCAGCGCGATCACACTCCAAAAGCCTTACGACGCAGTCGTCACGGAGGAAGTCGACAGCCTGCTGCGCGATCTTGTCGCGGCACTGGGGCGCGGTGACGGAGCAGAAGGAGCGGCCCTGCTGTATCAACTGGCGCTTGTACGCGGTGAACTCGCCACCCGAGTCCATTGAGGCGGCAAGGAAGCGCTCCCACAGCTGGCACCCTGCGCGGACACCCAAGCTGCTCTGAGTTGCGGTGAGGGTCTGGCGCCCGTGCGAGAGCTCGATCGCGAGACCGGAAAGGGTTGTGGACGTCGATGCCTCCATCAATTCCACAAGAGCGAGAATTGCAGCGACGGGGTGCGGATACTGTTGTCAGCGGGGTTTCAGCCAGGGAGGGAAAGCGACACGAGGTTGCGCACGGCGCTGGTTCTGCTCAACCTGGAATTGCATCAAGGAGATCGCTTCGTCACTCGTTCCCCATCACCCGCTCATATGTCCCCACGGACCACGGTACACTCTCATATCTATGCACACAGCGTCACGCCTCCGTCACTTCCACTCACCTTCTCATCCGAAAGAGCGCGCTGGTAAGCAGCAACGACGTCAAAGTCCTTGGATTGCCGCATTGTGGACGGAGCGCCAAGATTTGGGCTACTTGTCGACGACGTGGCAACGGATGCCATGGTAGAAGGATGAGAGAGCGAAGAAGGGGGGAGTAGTGAGGAGTGAAGAATGAGGAAGAAGGACGTCAAGTTGTGGACAAAAGTCGAGGCTCGAGTTGGAGTCGAGTTGAGCAGTGGGGCAGATGTCTGACTGGCAAAGTGGGACATGTGTCGTGCCTGAAATCTGGTCGACTGATGTCTGGTCTAGCTCTGTTGTTATTAGAGATGGTTCTAATGGGGTTTGAGATTGATTAGGTTGGATACGGAGATTGAGTAATAACACATGGCTGGAGACGGCAGAAGGGCAGAATGCAGTTGATGCAGAATGAGAGACATCGTCTGGCGCTTCTTGTCCGCGATTGTCCGCTCGCCTCTCTTGCAATCCTCCCCCCACTCGCCCACTCGACCCACTCGAGCCTCTCGAGCCACGCTCGCCGCGCCCCTCCGCCACCGGCACCCCTTTACCACGTCACACTGGATCGACACACGGCCTGCACGCCTGCATCCACGACGCCACCATGTCAACTCGCGACTACACTGACTCTGATTCGGACGACGCTCCATCCCCATCACCTACCTCGCGCGCCATCTCCCCCTCATCGCCAACCAAGGATCCAGTCCGTTTGAAAGTGAGCTCCCCTCTTCCTCATCTCCCTCCGCGTTGCATCTCCTGACGGAAGTTACGACCTGGCATATACGATTCGGCTGAGCCGTCGCCGTCAGTTTCCGCTTCCCCGCCCCCGCGCTTCAAGATAAAGCTCGGCATGAAGCATCCGCGACAGGCGGCATACTCGTCCTCCGATGAAGAGAAACCATCGAAGAAGCAGAAGACCAAGGTCCGCTCGCCGCCGCCACCCGCTGCCGTTCCCAAGAAGAAGTACGACTGGTTGACGCCGAGCGCTGCCGGCGCGTCGCATCACGGTCCCGAAGGCCGCAACGAGCGCGCCCCGTCCGCCCTCTCGGCTATAAGCCCTGCGAGTACCCCCGCTGAAGACACCGCCGCAGAGAAGAAGAAGGGCGGACGCCGCTCTTCAGGCCAGCCAGGGCCGGGCAAGGCGTGGCGCAAGGGCATGCGGAAGGGCGATCCCATGCCGTGGAAGGAGGGCAGCAGCTTCATGGGCGACAAGGTGCGAAGCTCGCCGCTCGCCACACCGCAGCGTCACAGCGTCTCCCGTGAGGTATCACCTGATCTCGGTAAGTTGGGGTGGTGGTGGCTGTGGTAGCGACGCACATCGTGGTGTTGTGGACGGGGGTCGGAACCAGCAGTTGCTGACACAAGATTCATTATTGCTCGCCTCCGTCGCGCGAGAGCGTGAGCGCGTCGAGCGCGAGCCGAGCCCTCCCTTTGTCTTGGCAGACCCAGTCAAGCTAGGCATTCCAGTGTTTGCCAACCCAATCGTATCCCCCAAGATCTCCCTCAGCCAGTTTCCCAAGGTAACCCAAACCTTTGCGCGTATGGACCTGAAGCCGTGGCCAAAGGAGGAAGTACGTCGGTGGAGCTACGATGAGCGCGTGATACGCGGCGTCGGAGGTGGGAACCTCAAGTTCAAGACGTGGTCTCGAGGTGAGTGCGAGCGACTTCTGAAGTCGAATGTGGTCAGGCTTCGCCATCGTGACCTAGGCAGCTAGCAGGAGTCCGAGTTTGGAGGCCTTTTGGTCGGTTGCCAACGCGCTCCGCGTTGTCTCACCACCGACTGATCTCAATGGGCGCAATGAGCTGACTTCAGGCCCCGACTCGCAGCTCTCGGCTGTACTAGCCTCACAACGTGAGGCTGAGGCCGCTGCGCGCGCAGCCAAGCGCGAAATGAAGCAGAAGGAGAGTGAAACACCCGACCGTCCGTCTTTCCCCCACTCGCTTTCTGGCGACAGTGTGCCGCGTGCAATGTCAGTCGATGAGGAAAGTGAGGCGGACGGCGACGACAGCGCTCGCGAAAGCCCCGCACCACGCAGACGCAAGCCCGCCAAGCCGAGGAAGAGCAAGCTCGCCCAGGAAATTAAGCCAGAAGCGGACAGCAGCGTGCCACCCGAGTAGGCGGCGAGGACGTGAAAGGACGGTGAGCGGGTTGCAGTGAGAAATGGAGGCCAGCCAGGAGAACGCAGAGATACCCTGCCAATCGTAGTGATGTCGCCCCTCGTGCGTATCGTGCATTAGAGCACCTTGAGCGTGATATGTCAAGCTTAGTTGTACAGATTACTACTTGTGCAGTCTTCTTCTCTCTACCCTCGGCGCTTGGCCAGCGCCACGATTAAATCCGTGTTCCACCCAATCCTCCACTCACCCAGCCGCTTGAGCTCACGCCATACCTCGCCCTCAGGCGGCTCCGTCCCCGACGGCGGGTAAATGACAAAGTCCGCCTCGCTCAAAAGGGAGCGCAGCAGGCTACCGAGCAGGAGGCAGACGAGGCACGCAATGATAACCGCCGGAAGGGGAACAGCCGTCGTGGGACGCTCGACACCACTCGTCTCGTGGATGGGCTCAAGAGCAAGCGTACTCTTAGGAGCCGGAGATGCTCTCTCACTCGGCAACGGTGTTGGCTGGCGGACCGGTGAAGCGTGCTTCGACGCCGGGGCCGACGCGCTGAACTTCATCGGCAATCTCCAGAACGTGTATCGCTGTGCCTGCGGCTGGCTGGCCACCTTCGGCTTGGGATCTGGCGTAGGTTCCTCCTGCTGTCAACTCATGACTGCGGGGTGACTCACCTTCTCAGGCGGCAGTTGCGCCGGCTCATTAGTTGGTGTCTTCGTGTCTAGACTGTTCGTGTCCGAGTCCTCCTCGAGCTGTGGAACCGGAACCGCAGGTGTATCGGGAAGATATTGCCGCGCAATGGCCAGCGGCTTGTCAAGTGGCACCGCACCGGGTGCACTGACAACCTGCGGTAGTTTGAGCTTCACTGGCTCCTTCTGCCGAGGACTCTTCCGCTCGTCCTCAACGGGGAGCTCCACACCTTCAAACATGTACGCTGGAGGATTGGAACGGCGCGGCAACAGGCGGACTTGGACGACCGCTCCGTCATTAATCAAATCCAGCAACCAGCGTGGGCGCGGAAGTGGTGCCGTCTTGCCCGTCAGTGGGTCGTTGACCGGCGCCTCATAGCCTGACGTCGGGAGTGTCACACGCAGCAAGTGGCGAGTCTGCGACGTCGGGTCAAGGCTGGCCGTCTGAAGAACCGAGGGCGCAAGCGAGATTACGGAGCACTTGAACGGCATCCCCAGCTTGTCGCCGGGATAGTCCAAGGGTAAGGCGGTGACATCGGTGCCACCCAAACCGTGGTATGCTTCCGGCAACGAGACAGCGCGAATCGCAATCTCGCACCCACTCTTGACAAGCTCGGCCGCGACGTCAATCTCTGCCACAATCAGATCACGACGTCCACGCCTGATGTCCTCCGAGTAGTCAACGAGGTGCGAGCGGCTGCTTGCCATCGAACTCTTGCTATCACTGTGCGAGAGGGCGGGGCGCAGCTTGTCGTCGCGGCCCGTCGGCGGCTGCACAGTCACGGTAATAACATAGTCGTCGCCGTCGATGACCTGGTCGATCGGTACTTTGTACGGCTCAATGCCGTCCAACGCCCAGGGACCCTGCGTGCTAGGCTCGGGCGTAGCAACGCTCATTGTCGGCCAACGCGAGCGAGAAGGCGGACCCTGCGATTTGAGCGTATTCTCGACATGGAGGAGCGCTCTCGGAAGGCCTCCGTTGAGCATGTTGTTGACCGACACGGGGATATTACCGCCATAGTCGAGCGCGCCAACGTACATGCACCGAGTGGAGGGTATCGCGTATTGCTCGTGCGAGTACGGGTCGATTGTCTCGAGAATCCAACCTTCAAGGATGAAGTTGCACGTAGGCATTACACTCGGGTTGTACTTTGACGGATCAAGACCCAAGGTCACGGGATCGAACATGGACGATGATGCGTGAAAGATTGTAGACAGAGACGCGTGGGATGCAACCGACGGCGAGGGCGGAGGGCTATCGGGCACACGTGCGACGACGGTCGCGACGAGGGCACTGCGCGACCGGAAAGGAAATGCTGTGTGCGCAACGATGTGCGACGTCGTAATGCCGTACCCATACGTTTGTAGACGTACAGGCTTCTCAAAGTAGTCGCTCTTGCGGAAAGCTGAGACGGACGCTGACACTTCTTCGGCTGTGAAACCCTCGATGATCCGCCCTGCACGGAACACCGGAAAGCTGTCCGAGACGTGGCTCACGATTCGCTTTTCAACCTTCAGTCCGTCACGCTCCGCCACGGGCTGCCACCCAAACGGGTCGGTTGACTCGCCATCACGGTCGGCGTTGATGCGCGTGAGCTGGGCCAGTGCACGCATTGCAGCGTCCACCGGCGTGCTTCCCGACGCTGGGGTAGGGGTCGGGCCAGCCATCGGCACCAATGCTGCGCGTGTCTCGGACGCTGACGAGTACAACTTCGTGAAGGGTGTGGACATGCGGCCGAACAGCGATGACTGCGTTGCGGCTTTCAGAAGTTCATCGTCCTGCGCCGCGCTGCGCATCGACATGTTGCTCTGGCGTTTGCGCAGCACACCCATAGCAGGGGGCTGATCAAGGGCAGCCCTCGAGGCGCGCGACCGTTTCTGCTTTTGCAGCTGCTTAACGTCTGCTTCTGATAGATCTTCGTTATCGATGCGCAATTTGGACCCGTTGACCGTCAGGCTAGCTTTGCCGCCCGTTGTTGCTGTACCGCGGCGCACTGTCAGGGTGACAGAGTCTAAGCCCAGAGCGGCCGCATCGTGCTCAATTGTCAGCCATAAACCTCCACCACTTGGTGACAGCCTGTGACGCTTGAGAGCAGAGACACTCTTCGGTGGCGGGTCAATGAGCACGAGCACGCTGTTCGACCACTTGTCCGGGTCGCAGCGTACGCCACACTCGATCGTGGTCGCAGTCGACGCGTTACCGTTCGCTACCTTGGCGCCGATTGTGTCAACCTCGCCGGGCTCCTTCTTCTCCGGAAGCGAGGCTAAACCAGGGAATGCCGTCGCCGTGCTTGAGGAATCGGACTTGCGGCCTTCGTCTGGCTCATACTCGAAGCGGTACGTCTCTTTCTCCACATCGTAGCGCGACGACACCGCTTTGGCCCCTCCTAGCCGTGTCACAACTGGCGGCGCGCCATGCTTGATCGCAAACTCGCCCATACCTGCTAATGCCGTCATCATGACCTGGGGTATGGACGACTTGTTTGACCACCCGCCTGGATGGCTCTGCTCCAGCAGCGTCACTTGCGTAGTGTTCGGTGACAGTGCCTCAATCGACCACCCTTGCAGGTCGATCTGGGTCCGGATCACGTTAGGATCGATGCACGGAGGAATGACAGGGAAGAGATCGTTGTCCTCTGTAGAGAAGCCGAAGATGTGAACGGAAGAGGGTGACTTGTACGTGGTGCGCACGAGCACGGAGTCGCGAGCGCTGGGGTCAGCTGCATGCTACATAAATGCTTGCGCACGATGTGGGCCACGAAGGCTTTGACTTGAAGTGCCACACGTCTGTCAATTCGCTGACGTCCTCTAGCAATGTCGCGTCTTCGAACGTCTTGTCCCAGACCGACTGCGTTCCAGGGGTGATGATGGTCGCAAAGAGGTCCCACACCCCGACACCCACGAAAACAGCTTCAGCGCGGTACACGACGAGTGTCTTGTCAATAGAGTTAAGCTGGTGCACAGAAACGCCCTTGGACTCGGCTACAGGCTTCCACTTAGGTTCTGGCTCTTGCAGAAGTGCCGTAAAGTCTGTGGTAAGCTGCTGCCGCAACGAGCGCTTACAGATGTAATTGCGCCTGATGAGGCTGGCGATGTTCCTATCAGCTGCTAGGGAGCGCCCGTTTCGAGAATGGTGTTCGAAGGAGCCCTGGGGCGAGCCAGTTCTTGACGTGTCCACCGAAGCAGTGGATATTGGTAAGGAAACCGCGCTCGTGCCCGGCGAGCCGTCCAAGAGGTCACGCAATGGCGCTATGCTCTCCATCTGCTGCACTGGCACGGGGGTTCCATTGATACGAACTCGACCTCCAGTGGGCGAAGTTGCGGTCTGCTCAATGGAAACTTTGACGATGACTCGTTCGTCGCCGCCGCGGAGCTGCGCGTGGCTCAGGCGGAACAGCAGCCGCTTCGGCGCTGCTGACCCCGAAACCAGCGGTGGCAATTGCCCCACAAAGGTATTCCACATTGTGGAGGGCGAGTCTTGCCCATTCTGTGTCTTTGCCTGGATTTGAACGTCCCACCCTAATGTCGAGGACATTCCGAATTCCAGCTGTCGCTTCGTCCCGTCCTTGACGTCGTCTGTCTTGACAACATTATAACTGGTCGAGAGCATCACACGAGCTGGGTCGTAGCTCATGTCCGAGATTATCACGCTGTCACCATAAGTGAGAAGAGAAGGCATCTTCTCGCTTCCTTCACGGACGAAGTCAACGAGGCCGACAATGACTGAAGGAAGGTGTTGAGGAACGGCGCCACCTACAGCCCAGGTCCCCTTGGGATTCCATGACCAGAAGCAAGTAATACGAGCCTTTCCTTCTGGTAATGGTGGGTCGACGGATCGGGACGCAACCCCGGGAAGCTGAATGCACCAAGCAAGGAGTGAGACATTGGCGCGGACGTACGGCGGGGCGGGGCGGAGGTAGGGGGGCTCATGTCGGGAACGTGGGAGAGAGGTAGAGACATCAATGAGGGTATGCTGGTCCACCAGCGTCCGCGAGATGGTCACCGCGTCACGCGGGCTTGCCATTAGTCCAGCACCCAAACAAAACCTACCTCGATGGCCACCCCAGGCGGTAGTTCGTCTTGGTGACGCGCGTCTGCGTGTCGAGAAGGTTGAGCAGTTGCGCTTCGTCGACCATGCTGTCCCCTGCGGTCAGCTAGAGCTGCATGCCCCGCAGACTCACATACGGGCCGAGTCTCCGGTGTGGCCAAACAGCCTCGGAAGGTGTCGACGTTGACATCCGTGCCGCAATCGACGTCGACGACGGCGCGAAAGACTTCGCCACCCTTGCCATTTCGTCTGTGGACGGTCACGTCGCTGGGCGTGATGCGGCCTAGGGCTGCCGAGCGACCCTTGGCATCGCGCACGGAGCCCGCAGTGGGTGGCGGGCGGGGTGGCCCCGAAACGAGCTTCCATGCGGACGACGACGAGCTGGACAGCAGGGCGCGAAAGTAGGCGACTGAGGCATTGAGCGCTTCGTGCCACGCCGTCTCGAGCCTAGATGGTGTTAGCGTGTGTGATGTCGCGGGGTGACATACCTTGAGCCGTCATCGAGAATGTCGACGGGCATGTTGTTGGCCTGCTCGATCGGGGCACAGGGGCGCTGTGCTTTTGTCGAACTGCAGGCCGGGAGGATGATCGATCTGAGAGAAGTGCGGGGGGCGATGCGATGAGCGTGGAAGAGTGTTCGTGAGTGTTGTTGTGAATGAAGGGGAGCACGAAGGTGATGCTCGGACGATGAAAGGGAAGGTGTTGCCTGGCGAACTGACGTTACGATGATGTCACGTGGCACACAACTCACCCCCTCATCCTCCGCCACCCACCATTGCCGTCGACATCGACACGGACACGGACACCGTCGTTCTCATCACTTACTCTCCTTTCCCACTTGCTTGCACACCCTATCGCCGACCACAGGGAGGTCTCTCCAAGGTCATGCCAAACCCCTTCGGCATGTTCGGCTCGGACGCCGGCTCAGCCCCCGCTTCCACCTCCCAGAGCCGTTCCGCCTCTCCCGCACAGACCTCGGCCGCCCTCCCTCCCACCTCTCTCCGCCGCCCCGCATCTCATGGCCGTCTGGCCCAGCTGATGGTTCCAGGAAAAGGGAGGGCGCGAAGCTCGTCTTCGGCGAGTCAAGAGGCGACGACCACGCACATCACCGTGCATGCAGATGACTCGCCGTTAGCCGGCCGCACGACTCCGGAACAGCGGCGTCGGTCTGCGCGAGGTGAGTCGCAGCTCAACATTTCTTACACCAGCTGCCGCTGCGTCACTGCTTGCTAGCGATGGAAGGTACAAGAAGTATGCGCAACAGGTCGACAAGAGCTTGCAGTCGTTCGAGAATGTCAACGAGTGGGCCGACTTCATCTCGTTCCTGTCGCGCTTGCTCAAGGTGCGTCCACATTGTGTCTCCGCTCATCCAAGACACTCCAGGGCCCATCGCCACCGTACTCTGAGGTTCCACGAAAGGTTATTGTGGCGAAGCGTCTCGCGCAATGCCTTAATCCCGCCTTGCCGGCGGGCGTCCATACTCGAGCGCTAGACGTGTACAGCCACATCTTCAGCATGATCGGGGTTAGTCTATCGGAGGGCGTTCAGCACTAACTTGTACAGGTAGAGGGATTGAAGCGCGATCTCCTCATTTGGTCGTCTGGGCTGTTCCCGTTCTTCCAGAACGCGTCCACATCGGTTCGACCAGCACTCATCAACATCTATGAGACATACTATCTGCCGTTGGGCGAGGACTTGAGGGCGGCGACTAAGGCTCTCATCTTGGCTCTGCTTCCGGGAGTGGAGGAGGAAATTGGCGACTTCTTCGAGCAGGTGAGCTCGCGCCTTCCATGCCAGCTAATACCAGGTCATGTCGCTGCTTAACCGCCTCTCGGACGCGGTGTCGCAAAGATTTTTCCTCCAGAATGTCTTCCTTGTTTTAATTTCCAGTCCTGTCTCGCGTCTTGCGGCTGTGAACTATCTCGCGCGTACTCTCACCGAGCCTCCGGTGGACCTCGTCTCGGACTCTGATGTCGGGCTCTTAATACGAGGCGTGGCGGCCGTGTTGGGAGACGACAACATGCTTGTGCGTCGGGGCGGCCTCGACCTACTGCTCAGAGTGTTGCCGATTGACGGGGCGATTCTGAAGTGAGTGTTGTGATGAGTGTGCTAACGACAGGGACGCGTCCAAAGGCGACCGTGAGCACTTGACGCGCGCAGTTAGCGCCGTCGTGCTTCACCGCGATGTATCCCTCAGTCGACGAGTGTATACGTGGTTTCTCAGCGCCGACGAGGCACCTGAAAGGCAGATTGAATTCTTTGAGGCGCACGGATTGGATCTGCTTGCGACCACGCTGGAGCACGACATGCAGCTGCTCCCCAGCGCGAGCGATGTTTCGGATGCGCAGGCACCTTTCAAGATGTTCCTTTCGCTGCTTGACAAGTGGGAAATAGGCGAGTTGCTGTCGCACCGCCTAGCAGTTCCGTCTCTGGAAGCAATCCGCTCAACAGCAGCGGCTGGCCACCAGGATGAAGTGAGCTTGGTTGTTTCGGCGCTAACCTCAGGTTCGCAGCACGGCGTCCGCGGTTTACGAGGCAATCGAACCTAGTGTGCTGTGGAAACACCTGTACAGGGGGGTCGAGGAGGATATGGAGAAGGGCGTGCTGGACGTGGGTTACCACTTTCCACGCATATCTGACGCTCAGCATCTGAAGCTTGTTCTGTGGCTCCTCAACGCTATCCCTCAGCACGACGAGGAGACGCTCACAATACACGTCCCGTTGATGGCAGGGCGCATTCTCCGCGGTGTGGTAAGCGAACACACCAGAGGTCTAAGCTCACCTCAGAATGAAACTAAACAAGAGGCTGTTCTGGAGGCTGCACTCAAAACGCTTGAGGCTTTACTCATTGCTACCCCGGCGGCGCTTTTCAACAACGCTCCGGAGAAGGTAGAGACCTGCGAAGGCTCATCTAGGTCGGCAGAGGAACTCGCCTACTCGCAACCACTGAACGCAGAGGAGGCTGCCAAGGTCGTTCGTTCGAGGATAGTGCCCCGAATCGTGTCCGATGTCTTCGAGATCAGTGAAAAGGCGTTGAGGGAACGATGGGCGCCATCACTGCTGCTGCAATTTGTGCAGCTAACCAAGGCGCTAATCGATCGTGAAGTACCCCCACTCAACGCCGTAGACAGCAAGTCTTGGTCGGCAGCCGTTCTTCAATGCCTGGAGAGGGTGCACTCGTTCGCCGTCGTCGACGTTTTAGTCGACTCGCTATTACAAGCAAGTCGCTCGCGTTTGTTCAAGCCGCCAATTGACCTTGCTTCAGATGCGGTCATGAGCCCCATTCTCGACGCCCTCTTCCGGTATCTTCGGCCTGACGCAGCGGCATACCACGCCCGTGCAGTCGAGCTACTGTGGGAGTTCAATCAACTGGCGGAAGTTCACACGCTCGAGAGCGTAATTGCGCGCCGCATGAGCTCACCAACACGCAAGGCTGAGGCCTTTGAGGCATTTGGCGTACTCTGGCGACAGTCGGACGACTCGATGCTCCCGGGAGAGATTTTCCACGTGCCCATGTTCATGATCCTCGACGGACTTAGGGGTGACGACCCGCACGTTCTTCGGGCAGCCGAGACATGGATGCGCTGTAACTTACGGTCGTATTTCCGAATGCTGGACCCCCTCTTGCGACGCACATTGGCGCTACTTGCACAGCGGTCGGGCAAGGTCGCCTCTAGCGACGCCTCGCTGATGTACTACTTCGTCACAAGCCTGACCAGTTTGTTCCGTTTCGGTGGGCAGGGTCTGGGTAAGGCATGCCAGTCGATGGAGATCCGCAAATCGCCCAACACGCTTTTCGTGAACCGCGTCGAGGAGACGTTCCCTGAGGCGACGACGTATCTGGAGCTATTAACTGGGCTTCTCACGAGGTTGGTTTCGTTTGTAGCGCCTGACTGATCGCAGGTTGCTTGAATCTGCGCCGAATGAACAGCTCACGCTTCGTGTGCAGTCCGGCTCTCTGGAGCTGTTGCAACTCCTGGTGTCTCGCGGTGACCTGCCACAGAAGTCACAGGCGCAGGTCAAAGTCGCCCTCGTGGAGAAGCTGTCCGAGGCCACACAACATAAGCATCTCACCCTGCAGAACACTATGCTGCACCTCCTCCACGCCGCACTGTCGCAAGGAACGGAGCGACGACGCGGCCACCGGGTATCCTCGTCGACCTTCTCGCTTCCGGAGCGACCCAACAGCCTCGACACGGCCGAGCATGAGTTCGAAGACTCGATGCTGCGGATGGTAATTGCCGGCGTGTCTGCGCCTGGCAATCGTCCGATTCTGCAACACTGGGTGGACTTTGTCCTGATGACTGTACCGCACCTTGAGCACGATGCGCGACAGCTGAGAGCGCTAAACGACTGCTTCTGCGAGCAGCTGCGCATGACGATGCTCAAGCTCCGCACGACTTTCGCCATATCCACTCCCGGCGACGTTCCGGCGACGATAACCGAGGCGGAGCCCATCATGCTGATCGGAGTGATTGAAAGACTCGCCACAGTATTGGGCGGAAGGGCGGGCGGAAGGCGGAGCGAGGACCGTGACAGGCGCGAGCACGACGGCGGCGGCGGCTTCCTGGGATATTTGCCAACGGTGTTCTCCGTCGAGGCTCCGCAGGACAATGCGGTGAGTCGCGCAAAGTCCATGTAAACGTCCGATTTAAAGCTAATGACAGTCAAAATACGAAGCGGCACGGTACCTTGACGACATAATGGACTGCCTTCTGGTAACGTGGACAGTAAGCAACGAGACGGATGCGCAGTCGGCCCTACCAGTGGCGACCGCCGCGTCCAGGATACAGATCATGTCTCGCACGCGCACGCGTGCCCGCAAGGCGCTCGAAAAGTTGTTCAAGGCTCAACCATCCGAACTGGTGGCGAGTTCGGTGCAAGTATGGGCTGCGCAGTCAAGCGACATTGAGGACTCGGCGATTTTTGATTGTCTCGACACCTTGGCGCCGAGCGCCCAGAAGGTCGTGGACCTCATCTGCGAGCATATGAACGGTAAAGGTCGTGGGGCTATCGAAAGGTAAGCCACCGTAAAATCTCTACAAGCTGACTGCAGCTCAAACCCCGCGCTTACCGCCTTCTTGGAGGCATACATCAGCCGCCTCGAGGGGCCCATTGCTGTGCAAGTTTGGAACGCGCTGTATGGATGCGCGCGTGATGTGCTCAGCCAGTCAAACTCGCCATCGGCGCGTATGCTGCTCTTCCCGATGCTGCGGTGCCTCACGATGTTGGGCCAGATTGTTTCCACGACAAGCGCGCTGGAGGACCGCCGCCTCCGGCGAGACCTGCAAGAGACGTACGTCAGGGTTCTCGACGCAGTACTGTCGAACGCCACGCGTCTTGGTGACAGCGCACTATGGCAGCGTGGTCACACACTCAGCGAGGAGAAACCACCCTCGTCTGACGGCGTGCAGAAGGTGAGAGAGGCCGCCCTGGCACTGCTGACCCAGATCTACTCTTTCATCGGAGACCACGTGCTGCGCAATCTGCGCACGTTCCTCGCAGACCAGGACAAGTGGTCTTCGGCGTGCGCGAGCGTGTCCTCGAATATTGTGACGCCGGCTTTCAAGCAACAGAAGGTCGATCACGTCATACTCTCGCTCCTCCATGAGCTGACGAAGATTCCTGGAGCGGCGAAGACGTGGCGCGTGCCCGTGGGCGACGCGTTCAATGACAACCGATTCTTCCGCATTAGCCCGGAGGAGGCAGCTCAGTGGCGTCCACTTGTCTGCGCTCTGATGGACAGCGACAAGGAGCGCCTTAGTGACTTGTTGGGAAGGATTGCCGCTGCGCCCAGTGCAAACATTTTCACGAATCGCGAGGCTGAGACCATCTCGCGATCACTCAACCTCCGCCGCCTCAGCTTTGTTCTTCTCGCCGCCGAGCGCAACCATCACCTTGCCCAGCTGCCGAGTATCCAGGAGAAGCTCGTTGAGATCCTGCGCACCAACGTCGTGTCTCCTCGCGTGCACTCGGAGGTGTATCTGTGCCTGCGAGTCCTCATGACTCGCATTTCGCCGCAACACCTCGCCAACTTCTGGCCTGTCATCCTCGCCGAGCTCGTGAGTGTGTGGATGAGGGGTGCTGCTGACGTCAGCTACGCGTGTTCGAGGCAACCATGGACGAGCCACCAGCGGACGGGAGTGAGGACCTTGCCCTCGTGCTGGCCGCGTGCAAGTTTCTCGATCTGTTGCTTGTGATTCAGTCCGAGGATTTCCAGATGTGCGTGTCGTGCAGAGGTGTCACCACGTCTTATTGCGCCACCGCTGACCTCAGTCACCAGTGGATCTTCGTTACGGACACGACAGACGCTGCGTACCCTCCCGAGCACTACTCACCCGAGGCGCTGGTCGACCGTCTCTCCGAGATTCTAGTCGAGAGCGCCTCCATCGCGAAGAGCGAGGACGCTATTACCGTCGAGCTGGCGGACGATCGCCCGCGCCGCCCACACCTTGCTGGTGTGCGCGCGCTGCACTCGCTGCACCAGCTACAGCCCTTCTTCAGCCGCGCGAGCATCGACACCTTCGAGGGCGTGTACAACGACGCAGGCGTCGACTGGGATGCGATCGAGGAGGGCCTGAACGCCGAGATCTTTGGACAATGAGCGGCGCAGCCGCAAAGTATAGAATCTAGATGCATTACTTCTGCGCGTTGGTCCACATCGCGAGCTGTTCGCTGTCGATCTCCGCTATCCTCCTGTCGACCTCGGCCCGCTTCTTCTCCAGGCTCGCGAGGTAGTCCTCATCGCTCAAGCGCTTGACAGGCAAAATATGGGAGAGGACACTCATCACGCGGCCCGTGATGGGCGCGTCGCCGCGCCGCTCGCCGGCGGGCTTGGCCGGCTCCTCAAACGCGACCATGACATCGACGGGCCGCTCGTCCGCCCGCGCTTCCGCGCCCTCCCTTACGCGCTTCGCCAACACTTCAAGCCGCCACACCCGGGTCTGGTTCACGAGCCCCTGCCCGACGGTAGCGAGGAGCGCGGTGGTGAATGCGGCGGGGAGGAGCGTCCGCGGCCCGCCTGGCGTCAGCACGTTCCACGTAGTCTGGCAGAAAGGCTGCGCGTACTCACGCGTAAACGCGCTCAGCGCGCCGCCGGCCGCGGCGGCCGCGACCGCAGAGTCGAGGAGGCGGTCGGTGCGCACGTCCCACAGCGTCGTGGGTTGCTCGGAGGGACGGGCGGCGAGGCGGGCGTCGAGCTCGTCTGCGCGGCGCGCGTGCGCGCGCGTCGCGCGCGCGCCCAGGAGGATGGGGGACACGAGGTATTCGCGGGTTCCTGGGGTTAGGGAGGGGGTGGGGAAGGTCGAGAGAAAAGTGGAGGAGGGGGGGGGGGGAAGAGGAGGAAGAGGAGAGAATACCCACCGAAGAAGAACAGCGACGCAACGCCAAAGTTGATGCCCATGTTCACGCCGAGTTGGAAGGGGTTCTGCCGCCGCGCCCAGCCCAGTGTGCCGCCGGCGCCGGCGCCGGCGAGCGCGGAGAGCACGACGGCTTGCGCGACAAACAGCGGCGAGTCTGGGTCGAGCGGAAACTCGGCGGACGCGAGCGTCGTTGTTGGGCGCTGGGGGTGGGCCATGATCGTGGAGAGATGTTGAGAATGCGGAGCGGAGGGCGGAAGTGGAGGTCGACAAAAGCTGGACTTTTGGAGGGCGCTGTGGAGATGCGGGGTCGGAGGTGCCTCACAGCGCGGTTCACTGCCTAAGGCTCCTTCCTACCTGCGCCCAGTCCATCGCCGCGCTTCCGCCTCCGCTCTCCACCCCCTCACAGGTTACATCTTTGTTCTACAACTCTCTCTGGCAACGTGCGGCCCTCCTGCTGCCGCCGCGACTCCTAGATAATGCCCGAGCTCGGCTGGAACTCGTCGTTCTCAGGAGGATATGGGCTCTCGGGCACCTGGTTGAGCGGGCGGCCACGCGAGCGCGAGCGCGCACTGAGCCCCTGCTTGGACATGACAAAGTCGTCGAAGCGCGCGGCGTACTCGGGGCTCCAGCGCGACAGTGCGGGGCGGCCGAAGATGATATCGTCCATGGTCCACTGCATGCGGGCCTTGTCGACGGTCTGGGGTTAGGTGTGCTCCGAGGGTGCTCTTCAGCGCCTCTGCATTCTTGGTTCTCCGTTTAACCCGCTTCCTTCCCTCCAGCCCGATCGCTCCACTATCGCCGCAGTAAACTCACAGGAGACGTCTCGTTGTCCGGGCAGATCACATAAAAGTCGCCGTCGTTGAGCACCTTGTCGAACATGAAGTCGACGGTCTGCTCGGCGGACCACGCGCCAGGCGGCTTGGTCTTGAGACCGCCGCCGCCGGTGAGGCCCGTAAACACCCAGCCGGGCACAAAGAGGTGCGCGCTGCAGATGCACTCCGGGAGGTTGCGGAGCTGGTACGCGACTGCCTCAGCGCTGCCCCCGCGGCAACTCACGCTGTTCGGTGAACACGCGCACCATCGCCTTGGAGACGTTGTAGCCGGCGTTGCCGGGCGGGTTGGTGATGCCCTGCTTCGAGCCCGTGTTGATGATGACGCTCGCGTTCTCCTGGCGCGCCATGAAGGGACCGAAGGCCTGCTCTTAGCTTTAAAGCAGAAAAGGACGCACCTGCGCGACGTTGATGATCCCCTGCCCGTTCGTGCCTAGCACGCTCGCCCAGCCGCTCTGGAGATCCTCGAGATCCCGATCCAGGCTGATGGCGGGACATGGGCGGGAGATGCCCGCGTTGTTCAGGAGGATGTGGACCTCGCCGTGGTGATCCAGGACCTTGTCGCGGAGGGCAACGACCTCGGCGATGTTCGAGACGTCACACTTGACCGTTAGGATGTCGCCGGCGCCCTCGGCCTTGGCGGCTGACGCAGCGGCCTCGAGGGGCGAGACGTCGACGAGGACGAGGTTGAGGTTGCGCGCGGCGAGATACTTGGCCGCGGCAAGACCGATCCCCGAGCTGGGGTTAGATGACGGCGGTGGGTGAGGGAAGGTTGGGCGGGGAAGTGGGCGGATGTCGGCGACACAGCTGGTGAACGCTAAGGAGCTCCGAGGCCGTCCTCGTCCTCTGAATATAGCAGCGCCCAGCTACCGAGCTTCCCCCGCTGCCCGACGCTCGACTCGACGGCTCTCGCCAGAGCCTGTACCTGTCTACGCCGACGGCCGTCGCCGTCGTCACCACACACACCCTCCCCTCCTGTGCCTGTCCCCGCTGTACTCACGCAGCACCAGTAATGACGGCAACAGCGCCAGCATGTGCGATGGTGGTAGTCGTGTCCTCCATTGTGCTTGCGAGTGAGAGTGGGAGAAAGAAGAGAGTGAACACAAAGCAATCACTGACGATGACGGTCGCAGCTGCACAGTGTCCCCCAGAGTGCCAGAATCGAGGGAGCCCCAGCTTATCACGCGATCGTCATGCGGTGGTCTCTTCTGAGTGGCTGTCGGAAGCGGCATTCGGATGTTACGTCATCCCACGCAGCGCGATTAGCGCGGTGGACTGAAATCGCGCTGAGGGCAGCGGCAGCAGTAGCTCAAGCTATAAGATCGAGAGACAGAGACGTGGTCAGGAGCCGGGACGCGAACGCCAGTACGCGAGTAGTGCGGCACGCCAGACACGCAATGGGTTTCTCAGAACATTGGATCTCGATCTACTTCCAATGGCGCGCGGCGATTACATACCGCCCCCGCCCCACTTGGGCTACTTGGGTAACGGCTTCGGCTTGGCCTCTAGTGATGGCACACCCGGCACAGGAATCAGGATGTTGCAGGAGCTTGATCGCGCACGAACCGCCCAGCTGCAAGCGGCCTCTTTAGTCGTCAAGACTCTCTTCTCGTCTTCTTTGCGAAACACATGCTCACCAATTCACCAAGAGCACTGCACACGATCACACAAACTCTGGCACAAACTCCCGCTCACACCACTGGATGCCGCACCCGTTCATATCAATCCTACTCTATGCACAATGAAACTGGTGGGAAGCCGTGCTGGGACGAGGTGAGGGCTTGTGTGGTGTGGTATATCGCTTAGTAGACAATGCCGTCTACATGTGTTGATGGTGTAGGGTAAACAATCAGACATCGAGAGAACAACGATTAGTGGCATGAAAGCCAACAGCAACAGGCAGCGAGTGGGTGGGGTAATGATGATTGTCGTGGTTCCGAGCCCATGAAAGAAATAAACACGTCTAGGGATGGAAAAAAAGAAAAAAAGAGGTCGTGGCGGTCGCTACCGGCAAGCGCGGCAGGTGATGAATGACAAGAACCCACCGCGGTTCTCGCGATACTCTGGGTCTGCGTGCTGCTGCGAGTTGCCCTGCTGCCCGCTTGGGCGCGAGTTGACGTTCATGGGCGAGATGGGCTGCGCGCCCTTGTTCGGGTTGGACGCGTCATATCCGTAATCGCCAGCGTTCATCGCGTTGGCCGCGAAGGGGTGCCCGCCCTGCTGCGAGTGGTGTCGCGAGTTTTGGTGCGATGGAGCGGCAACGTTGACAATCGCCTGGTTGCTCGCGTTTGGCTGCTGCGAAGCCGACTTGCGTGCGCCTCGCCCTGTCCCACCACCGCCAGACCCGTTACGGAGTCGGTCAACACGGTCACCGCGGTTGTCGCGGTTGCGCGTTGGCTGCCTCTGAACGTCGGCCGACGAGTGGGATGTGCCAGCCTCCCAGCCCTTGCCGCCGTTAAGCATGTTCCAGTCGTACACCTGGTCGTCGACCTCGCCGGCATTTGCCAGTGCGGTTGCAAACAGGTCACGAAGGAAATCGTAGTCGGGGGTCTCGTCAAAAGTGAGCTTGCGAACATAGCTGAGGTAGATTGCAAACTCGGCTGGAGGTTAGTTGGGAACGATCATTGAAAGAAAACTCACAAGGGTAGCCCTCGCCGAGCTCTGCAATCGGTGTCGACTGCTTCTTCTCGCCAATCTTCTCGTATTTCTGCTTGTTGGTCGCGGCCTTCAAACCCTGCCACGGCAGACCGCCGCGGAGGAAGTAGAAGAAGACGTGGCCGAGAGCCTCGAGGTCATCACGGCGCGACTGTTCGCGACCCAAGTGAGTGTTGATGGACATGTAGCGGGCGGTTCCACTCAGGCTCTTGCGCTCGCGGTAAGGAATGTGCTGCTTTGTCTTTGGGTCACGGTACTGCTTGGCCATTCCAAAGTCGACAACGTGAATTGTCCCTGCCCCCTTGGTCCCGGGCCGCCCGATGAGGAAGTTGTCAGGTTTGATGTCTCGGTAGATGAGATTCTTCTCGTGGATGGTTTGAACGCGAGAGAGCTGTCGTCAGATTTGCCCCAGTTTGGCATCACGTACCATCTGGCGAGCGGTCATGCAGCAAGTCTTAACCGAGAACTTGCGCCCACACATGTCAAAGAGGTCCTCAAGCGAAGGTCCCAAGAGGTCGATGACCAGGATGTTGTGCAGACCTTCCTGGCCAAAGTAGTAGACCTGGGGGATACCAGCTACGCATGTCAGTGATAGTGAGGCGACGTCGACTCACGGCATCCGCTCAAGATCTTGTAGCTACGATACTCGTCTCGAAGTTGCGGGGCATCCGACTTGCGTGGCTCCTGTAATACGGTTAGCCCAACCCTTGCGCACGGGCCGAGGAGAGTCGGAACAGGTGCTCGGAACTCGAGGGCCCAGTCGCCTCTGATGGATGGACAGCGAGAGCTAAACTTACAAACTTGATGGCGACAGTCTGAGAATTGAGCAAGTTTGTACCTGTGAGGGTCAGCGGGGGAGGACGGCGTGGAGGGGGTCGTGTGGGATGGATGGCATGGTGCGATGTGGCCTTGGACCAAGCAACACAATGATGCAAGACTGACCTTCAAAGATGACGCCGAACGAGCCCTCTCCAATCTTCTTGCCGACCTTGTAGTGTACACCGACGATGTTGCTCGAGCTGGAAGAGTGGCTCCCTCCCGAGAGGTGAGCGCCCGGGTTTGAGGCGATGACATGGGTGGTTGCCATGTTGGGCGATTAGCGCGGGGGGGTTGTCGCGGGGGAGGAGGAGGAGGAGGAGGAGGGGGAGGAGGAGGAAGAGTAAGAGAAAGGAGAGATGGAGGAGGAGAAGGGTGACGAGTGATGGACGGAGGGGGGGGGGAGCGTGAAAGGTAGAGTTGAGAGAGATGGAATTGATGGATTCAAGGGATGGCTGTGTGTTGCTGGGCCGAGAGGTGGAGTGGATTGAGTGGATTGGGCCAACTGGTCGATGGGTGGCCTCGGTGGCTTGAGCGGGGAGACCAGAGACAGGAATCCAATGCCCCCTTAGGGGTGGCAGGCGGCCAGGCGGGGCGGGGGGGAAACAAGGGGAGAGGCTTGTGTCGGGGCCGATGAATCGGAGAGCGAGTGCAATGTCTATTTCAAGTTGCACGATGCGAGAGAGAGATGCAGAGATGCGAGGAGGAGAAGGAGGACGAGGACGAGGACGAGTTGGAGGAGCTCGAGCAGGTGGAGTAGTGGTGGACGGACAGAGTGTGCTCCAAAGAGGAGAGAGGAGGGACGAGGAGGAGGGAGGAGTCTAAGGCGGTGAGTGGCAGCCCGTGCAATGCGTCTAATGCGGAGAAAGCCAACAATAGCCTGCCTCCACCTTTCAAATAGCCTGGACAATAGCAGCAGGGTAATAAGAGGGGGTATTCAAACGCGACATCCCCCGCATCGCCCATGTTGCCCATGTCCGCCCACATAGCGGAATCAATTCCTCCCGGCCGGTCAAGTTCCAGCCATGCACCCATCAAGCCACCCAACTTGAGACCCTGCCCTCCATCTTCTGCCACATCCGCAGATCTCCCGGAGTTTCGGCATTTACCACGTGCAAACCACGATGAGCGGACACTCCTTACCTCTCCGCCTCATTCTCCATGCTTGCTCCATGCCAACGTGTCAACATCTCAACATTGCATTTTGCGCAATCCCCAGATCTGCAGCTCTACCGCGCCACACTGACGCGCACCCCGCCGGCCAGGCTACAGGCAGGATGGAGAGGCTGGGGCTGGATTACACAGCTCCACTGGCCACTGATCCACTTCCTCCATGCTCCACAGGAGCATACCACACGCGTGCCGTGGCGTGCCGCGTACGCGTGTTGACATGGGAGTTGGTGTACAGTACAATCAAGAGTCCGGAAGCCATACGTGGTGCGTTCGTATGATCGTCTGCGTACCCGCATGTCATTGTGTCTGTCAAGGTTGCAATTCGCAAGCAAAGTTGAAGGAACGGAAGCCTTGGCCTTTCGCCTCGTTCGTAGCCTTCGTGGGATCGTGGGAATACTGTACAACCGCCTTCCGGCACCATTCACTGTTGAGGGATTTAATCCAGGCGCGCAGGACATGCCACGCCTCCTATCCTGGATCTACTTGCGTCGAGCGCGTCTGGGGACCATCTTGCCGGGCCGAGCTGAGGCGCGGTGAGCCCCGCCGCCGATGCCGGTGTATGCCAGTCAGAGGAGGAATGCTCACGATGCCAGCCAGGAGAATCGGGGGCCAGTACGCCCTACGCCACTGGTATACTCATCGACCGGTCTGGCAAGCTGGCAAAGCCGGCAAGACCATGCCCGGCGTATTTGTCCAAGATCTAGGCCGCGCAGACGTGCCAGCCAGTGCTCGTAGCCTGACCCTGCCACGGCGCAAATTACAAACCGAGATGCCGAGTGGATCTCGATAGCGCAGATGCACGGGAGGGCAGGCCAGTCGGCAGTCAGCGATCGGCGATCGGCGAGCTAGGCCAGTCGGCCATCTACTGTACAGTAGTACAGTAGGTCCTCCCGGAGATCTCGTCCGCTGCAGTTACTCAGTGCTCGCTCGCGCTCGCTCTTTCGTAAAGGCGGCGCGATGCGATGGCATGAGGCCAAGAAATAGCCGCAAGTGCCAGCTTGCTGATCTAATCAGCCCTGAGACGCAGGGACTAACAGGGCCAACACAGGGTCGGCGAGAGTCTCGAATGTTTTAGCGGGGTCGAAGGGTCCGATGGTCTGGGACATCTCCTGTACAGCTGTACAGTACAGCACAGACAACGGCCCGGCCTCGGGCGACGCTACACCAACGCAAAAGCAGAAGCAAGCACGACTGCAACACGCAATGCGGACCCTCAAAGAAGCAGTGTCGTGGCGCCAGGCGCATGGAGAATAGCTTAAACGAGCTTCGGCCGACCGCGGGGTCTGAGCCACGCTGCCGGCTTAGGGATCAGGAACACAGGGGCCGCCCCAGGGGGTTACCATGGATCGGAAGTGGGCTCTTGTCTCGTGTCGCAATGTTCCCAAAACGAAGCTGGCGACCGCAAGACAGATCCCAAATACAGATGCAGTACAGTGCATCGAGTAACGCCCGTCCCCCATCCCCCAACCCCCATCTCTCGAGTCTTGGCTTTGGAAGAGCGCGACTCTGCAAAGTGCAAAGAACATGTTGCCGGCACCGTGGGCGCAAGCAGACTTGGTTTTTCCTGATAAAGGAACGGCTTCTCCCTGAACCCACCCTGAGCCCTGGAGGAACTGACGCCGGCGGGGGTGCATGACCGCTTGAGACTGGCTTGTGGCTCAATTGCTCATCACCTTGGGTACAGGAGTATTGGATGCTTGCAGCGTACGGCGTACGGAGTGCGTGCCGGGACATTACAACACTACAGTACAGGTAATCGCCCAATAGGCGTGGGCGGAGAAGGAGACAATGCCGACAGAGACTTCTCTGTTGATTAGGAACACGCCAGGACATGGACACGGCCTGCCTGATCGGGAAACCGCCAATCCGGCCTTACCCTTATGGGCGTAGTGGCCGCATGTGGTGGAACATTACCCCGCTCGTCACCGCCATAATCTCCAAAGCGGCCAAGCTGCAAGCTGCTGCCGTCAGCGTCTTCCGCGTCCTCGTCCTCGTCCTCCTCGTCCTCGTCCTCCTCCTCCTCCTCCCTCCCTCATGACTCATGAGCATGACTGCGTCCTCATCGTGGGGAAAAAAAAAAGATGCATCTCTGCCTCGCGCCTCGCCTTCCGCCGGCCCAGCTCCCGCCCC